TGTGTCAACTCAAGATATCTGGACTTGGGTTCTGAGGAATCCCAACACGACTGCAGGGTTCTATGTGACTCAGCACTCGAAGTCGAGCTCAAGAGCAATTACAAACTTCTCCCTGAATCTCCAGACATCGCTGGGTCCGATTACCGTACCGAACGTTCAGCTCAATGGCCGTCAGAGCAAGATTGCTGTCACGGACTACCATTTCGGAAAGCACACTCTGCTGTACTCGTCTGTCGATATCCTGACATACGGCTTGTTCGACTCGATACCAGTTCTTGTGCTCTACCTTGAGGCGGGTCAAGTTGGCGAATTTGCTTTCTCTGGAAACATTTCTGTCAAGTCATACGGCACCACAAACGTTACAGCGTCCTGTGTCAAGACAAACGGGACCTCTTCCTACACCAAGCTCGTTTACAGACAATCAGCTGGCAAGGCTGCCATTCACTTGTCCAATGGTGTCCTGATGTATCTCTTGGACGTGTCAACAGCCTGGTCATTTTGGGCTCCACCTACTACTCCAAACCCCAACGTCGCAGCAGATGAGCAGATTTTTGCGATAGGACCTTACCTTGTTCGTAACGCCAGTATCAGCAGCAATGTTGTCTCTGTCGATGGCGACAACACCAATTCAACGACACTCGAAGTCTTTGTGGGCAACACAAATGTTGACACAGTCGCATGGAACGGCCGAGAACTGCCTACGAAGAAGACAGCGTATGGCGCCCTTACAGCCGACCTTGCAAGTATCCTTGTTCGCAAAGTGTCCATTCCGACTTTCTCTGGTTGGCAGGTAGCCAGCTCCTTGCCCGAGGCTGCTAGAGAGTATGACGACTCTGCATGGACAGTATGCAACAAGACAATCACCCGAGCTCCAGTGAAACCACTATCACTTCCCGTTCTCTATAGTTCAGACTATGGTTACTACTCTGGAATCAAAATATACCGTGGCTACTTTGATGGCAAGTCGGCCACGTCAGCCAACGTGACAGCACAGGGCGGGTCAGCCGCAGGTTGGAGTGCTTGGCTGAACGGGGAACTTGTCGATGGGCACCCTGGAAATGCTTCGCTGCTGTTGACATCGGATGTGCTCGACTTTGCCGGTGTAACACTCTACGACAAGAACAACGTGCTGACAGTGGTCACTGACTATACCGGTCATGACGAAACATCTACTGGTAAAGGTGCTGAAAACCCTCGAGGTCTTTTGGGTGCAGTCCTCAAAAGTTCTGGTAATGTTACTGCCAGTTTCAAGCAGTGGAAAATCCAAGGAAATGCCGGTGGATCTGCCAACATTGATCCAGTCAGAGGTCCTCTCAATGAAGGTGGACTATACGGAGAACGTCTCGGATGGCACCTCCCTGGCTTCCTTCCCTCTGGTGATGAATGGTCCACCGGTTCTCCTGCTCAAGGTCTCAACTCCAGTGGCATTAAGTGGTATCTGACGACATTCGAGCTCGACATTGATTCGGATCTTGATGTACCCATTGGTCTCGAGTTGTCGGCTCCTTCGGGTACAGTCGCGAGCGTTCAAATCTTCTTGAACGGCTACCAATATGGAAAATACATTCCTCACATCGGACCGCAGACACGATTCCCCTTCCCACCGGGAGTTCTCAATAATCAAGGCAATAACACACTTGCTTTGAGCGTTTGGGCAGAGACAGATGCGGGTGCAAAGCTGGACAACGTCTCATTGTTTGCTTACAATGTCTATGAGACTTCGTTCAACTTTGCGCATGATTGGACCTATCTGCAGCCGAGGTGGACAAGCCAGAGGCTGCGATATGCTTGACACACAGGACCACACAGTCATTTCAAGCATGATGCATTTATCAGCTTAACATAGATTGTAGTTCATATTCGTAATACGGAAACAATCGTACAACGGTTGAGCCAACAAGAATGCAGTTGCCGTTTCTTAGTCTGGGTCATCACTCCAAGGAGAATGTTTCATTCAATCATGCATGTCAAAATCTTGCAGAAGAGTATGAAATCAAGGGTCGTCCAAGGGGTTTTCGTTGGCTACGTCAAGGTCAGCATTCAGAACGACAAGGAGAAATAGGAAATGTCGGGACCTCCAAGTATGCCTTCCTTGATCAACTCAGCTGGCGAGGGTCGAGTCTGTAGGTGCTTTTCGATGGAGTCACGACGCATAGCCGCAGCCAGCTCACGCTGGTGGTTTTGCAGAGCTGGAGCGGCGGTAGAGTCGGGTAAAATGTTACGTTCGACCAGCGCGTCCTTTTCCGGACGAGAAGCAATGGCTTTGTTCAAGCTGTCGGTAAGTTTGTGACGTTGTAGCTCTTGCTGCTGAGCCTGCAGAGCTCTGCGATTCGTTAGTAGATGCTCGATGTGTATTCGATCAGAGCTCTGCATACGGCGCAGCATTGGTATTGAGGAGGATGTGCCTCTCCCTCAGCTCGTGTGCTTCTGGCCGGTTCTGGATTGCCTTCTCCAGACTGTTACGGCGCTCGAGAGAGATGGGATTGGTGCTGGAAGGGGGCAATTCTTCCGACATGGTTGGTTAGGAATTTGCTGAGTTCCACAGCAGTCAGAGTCTTGGATAGATGAATCGGTTTGCACAGCACCTGTCGTGGTGTTGATGGAAGTATAGATTAGGTGGCAGACAACGTCCTGCCTTTGTCCTCACCCGACCTACAGGACCCTGCATGAGGTGTGCGGGGTCATTCCAACAAGGGTGTCACAGGGTCTCGCTTGTGGCACCAGTACTCGAGTACAATCAGAAAGCTAAGGTAGGCGTAAAGACACGTTCGGCGGCATTATCATTAACGGCTAATATACACAAGACACTGCTACGGCGAAGCAAGCGCCGGCCAAGGCAGCCAAAGGCAGAAGAGCAATTGCATCACCATGAAAGACTCTTCCCCTCATTCCTTTCTCGGTACTGGGTCTGAACTGTCTGTTCAATTCATTGCTGGAGTTGGATGGTTGTTGGGTGAAGCAATTTATGCACCCTCGTCATCCTCACCAACGCGGATAGCACCCTCGCTGCTGACACCGTGGGTCCAGAAGCCACCAAGCTCAACCTGGGTCTCGGGCATGCTCTGGTGGGTGAAGAGCAACCAAGCACCGAAGACAGGCTTGGCGAGCAGGTCGAGGACAGCGTAGGCAATGATCTCCTGGTCGACGGTCATCTTGCGAGAGCCATCGGCAACACCCCAAACGCTGAGATTATGTTAGAGCAAACGGTCGAAGCCATGATTAGCGGGTACTTACATGGGGTAGATGGTCCAGATGACAAGAGTGAAGCCAGCGATGGAAGCAAAGAACTTGCCAACCTTGCCACCCTTAGCCATGGCGTTGGCGCGTCCGTGGACGGCGAGCATCCAGATGACGACGAGGTAGGCAATGCAGGCAATGGCGTACCAGCCCCACTTCTGAGGNGTGCCCTCACTGCCGTAGGCGGCGAAGAGACCGGTCAGGACCATGATGACATCGGCAACGATGGCCAGAATGATGTGGCCACCGCTGAGGCCGGCGAGCAGAGCAAGGTCGAGAAGGAGAAGAGGGGTGGTCAAGCTCCAGTCGACGTAGCGGGCCCAGTAGACCTGACGGTAGACATCGTGGGTGGTGTCAGGGACGTGGCGGTGAGAGTCAGTGACGGTGGTGCGGTGGTAGCTGATGCCGTGGCCAGTGGCCATGGCGAAGTAGGAGAGAGAAGCAAAGGTGACGATCAGAGTGGTGATAACGTGGTAGAGACGCTTGGAGATGGGGACGGTCCAAGAGAGGCCAACGAAGACAATCATGGAGAGGAGCATCAGAACCATGACGGCCCACAGAGCGCGGGTGCCGGTCTCGGTGACGGTCTGGTACTCAGGGAGAGAGGGAACAACAGTGGGCAGAGGAGCGACAGAGCTCGTGGCCTTGAAGGCCTCAACAGGGTCGACAATCATGGCGGCGGCGTGGATTGTAGAAGGGATGAGATGGAGGGAGGAGAGTGGATGAGGGGATCAAGGAAGAGGAGCAGAGGGGGAGACGTCTTTAAACAAGGCAGCTGCCGGAGCTCTGAGCTGCTGCGCGCGGAGCTTTCGATTCGATCGCGCCTGCCTCAAGCCTGTTGCCATGACGTTGACATGCATGCGATTGCTTCCTTCCCCACAAGCTGCCCGTGCTGTTTCCACGAATTCAAGGAACTCACCCAACGTGCCGACCGAGCCAATCGTCCAGCCCATACGACCATCACTGAGCCTGGAGGCCAGAGCTGTACCGATACCCGAGCTGTAGCTACTCCGAGTACTTTGTATGCACGAAACCTCGTTGCTCCATCGTCTCTCACATTCCTGCACGTTGGCCAGCAGCGTCGGCGCTCACCTGATGTCTGAAAAACAGGCTTCATGCAACACACATCGGCTGCTTTCCCCACAGCGCTTAGTTGAGAATTCGATTGGTGACATTCACGACATTCATGTCTCTGAGAGCTCATTGGCTCTGTCATGGCTTTTGTATCCGCAAGAGTTTTATCGCAAACATGTTGAGCTGCTATTCTTCGTACACTACACGACGCATGGCCGGCTCCGCTTATGCATAGGAGCTGGCTCGTCGCAAGCTCGAGTCAGTTGGTCTGTTCTGAGCAAGTGAGTCTTCCGGGCCACGTTTTAAGCCTCATGCTCTGCGGAGGAATATCGTTATCGTCGTCTCGCCGTCTACTGCTACGCGACCAGCCACCCCAAGTTCGTCCAATGGCAGACGATGTTTGTGAACATGGCCGACATGGAAAACGGTGGAGAAAAGCGACAGATCGCGATCAAGATGGAAGACGGCGGAGCATGGTCGTGTCTCCCAAGCGCTCAGGATCGGTTGCTAACCAGAAGTGACGCGCTTGCCAAGGCGTGGGGTTCACTTCAAGATTTCTGATTGTCAGAGTTCATGTGAGAAAGGCATCCTCAACTCTTGCGCCGAGCCCAGATACCATTCCAACTACAGACCTCGTCCGAGTCTTCCACACTAGCCTGCGAGCTCACTCAAAAACACACACAGTCGCCATGTCTCTCACCGCCGAGCAACAGGACAACTTCGAGGACATCGAGAAGCAATTCGCCGTCAAGGGTGCGCAGCGTCCTGTCGTGGCCTCAAGCATGCCATCGCTGACTGTCTTTGACANNGCTGTCCAGCACATGACCACCTACTGGTCCATCCTTGAAAAGGTGCCCGGTTCTAAGCTCCGCCTGACCAAAATCGACGACGAAATCTACGAGCACTTCAAGAAGGAGTTCCCCGACTACGACCCCAAAGCTACCATTAATGAGGACGAGATGAAGAGCAAGGCAGGCAAGGAGCGCTGGAGAAACTTCATCAACCACTACGAGAAGAAAGTTGACGACTACAACTTTGGCACTCTGTTGCGCTCCAACCCTGCCTTTGAGTACGGCCAGGACGAGACCATCTTCGGTACCACCTACCACCTGCACCCTATATTCGAACGTAGCTGATCTCAAAACTCTANNGCTGTGCGTATGCAGTTCTATGCACTCGAAATCCTAAGGTATGACTTGAAAGCTTCTTGTATTCGATTATTTACTCATGAGACCGGGCNNAGAAATCGCGAAGGTCTGAATGACTGGATCTACGAGAAAGCTCAAGGCCAGAAGGCATCTTGAGCAACGAGCAAATGATACCAACTTCTGCTAGGCGGACGCTGGTGGGGTTGTAGCTGCTATCAACAGATTGCTACTCCGCTGCTTTGTGTACAATCTGTTGCAGAGTAAGCCGCTGCTCACCGAACAAAGGACCATGGTTTTCGACCTACCTTGATGGTCGATGAAGCCACGACGAGTTGCGGAGCGGAAGGGGAGAGCGATGGTCGCATGGAATTAACGGATTGGGCGCTAGAACCTTCCACGCAGAACCCAAGTAAATTCGCGGTAGATCGTTACAGTCGGGGGGCACATGGTTGTCCTTGAAGAATGTCATCTTGGAGAGGGGCTAAATAAGGGGCGGTGCTGCGTCTGCTCAAAGCCAGAACAAGAACAATAGTAACGCGACACATTCTTCACACCAACCGCCGCCAACACGCCACTGCATTGTACCAACTAGGCAAGCATTGTGCAATTGCTCCGGAACCGTCTTTTCTAGAACAACCGCAGCAGACACTAGATTTCTGAATTTAGTTTCGAGCCCTTCACGGCGCTGCTCAAGTCCGCTCCTAAATGCCCAGGATACCAAGACTGACCCGCTCGAAGGGGACCGAGTCTGTTCAAAAGCAAGATTTTGGTGCAAAAAGTCGTTCGGAGAAGGACGCGCCTCTCGGCAAATTAAAGGAAGATGATGTGCATGCAGCGCCATGGCGAGCTCTTTTCTTCTTCACCACAAAGTCACACCTGACATGCTTGTTCATCGGTCTCGCAGCGGCGCTTGCAGTTGGTGGTATCACACCAGCGCAATCCTATTTACTCGGCAAAGCATTCAACGCATTCACTAGCTCCAGCAGTCCAAGCGCAGTTCTCAAGAGTGTCACTAACTACACCATCTACCTTGTTGCTGTCGGAGTTGGTAGTTGGCTAGTGCATTTCATCTTCTTCTCGGTCTGGCTCGCGTTCGGCGAATTGCAAGCCAACAGCGCAAGAGAAAGGTTGTTTCTGGGTATGCTGAGTAAGGAAATCGAGTGGTATGATATGCGCAAGAACGGAATCGGCGCAATGATACCTCGTCTGCAAGCGTAAGGCTGACTCCACTCCCACCAAGAGATTGTTTTTTAAATGATAGCAGACNAGATAAGAGATCTTCAACTCGCCACCGCTCAACCCTTCGGTGGTTTGCTAGCCTCTGCTGCAGAAGCCATTGCCTCTCTCGGACTTGCTCTTTACACTTCCTGGAAGCTCACCCTCGTCATCATTTCGACTACTCCTGTAATCGTCCTTGTCATCGGTTACTTAAGTGCGTCCATGCAACAGTCAGTCAAGAAGCAACAAGAGAAGCTCACGGAAGCACTCAAATACGTCGGCAACGCCATCAACGCCATCGAGACTGTCAAGTGTTTCAACGGTCAAGATCACGAGCTAAAGAGATATTCTTCTCGCCTCGAGGAAGCCGCAAGCTGGTACTATCGTGTCGTCAACGCCAATTCCCAGCAGTTTGGCCTCGTCGGGTTCATGACATTGGCAATATTCGTTCAAGGTTTCTACTATGGCGGTGTGCAGGTCGACAAGCATGAAAAGAACACGGGTGATGTTGTCACAACCTTCTTCTCGGCAATCAGCGCCTTTCAGGCCATCTCTAGCATCTTGCCACAGATGATAGTGCTCCAGAAAGGCAGAACAGCCGGATCAACGCTTAGAGCCATTATGGCACAAATATCGAAAAAGTCAGACGCTCTACCATCACCGGAGCTCTTGAGACCAGGCAGATGCGATGGCAACATCGAGTTTCGAGATGTAGGTCTAANNTTTCAATGCGCAGAATCTCCATCACTAACGACTTCTCAGGTGTCGTTTGCTTATCCAGCCCGTCCAGACCGGATGGCTTTGAAAAATGTCACTTTCTCAATCCCGGCACATGACATTACGTTTATTATTGGGAAGAGCGGTTCCGGAAAGAGTACCTTTGGTCAACTGCTTCTGAACTTTTACCCAGCAGCTTCGGGACAGATACTTTTCGACGGGCTGCCCATAGACTCATTGGATCCTCCCTGGCTCCGGAATCGCGTCACCCTTGTTGAGCAGCACAGCATGTTATTCGAGGACACTGTCTTTGAGAACATCGCCATTGGAACTGAGCATCGACATGATGTTACACAGGAGGCTGTGACAAGCGCTGCTGAGTTTGCTCTCTTGTTGGCCATGATCAATGACATGCCTCAGAGATTTCAATCCAAGGTTGGAGCGAAAGGCGGCACAATGAGTGGTGGGCAAAGGCAGAGGATGGCCCTTGCTCGAGCATATCTGCGAGATACGCCTGTACTCCTTCTGGATGAGTCAACGAGCGCATTGGATCAAGTCAGTCGTTCACTGATGATGGAAGCAATTCGTCGATGGCGCCATGGCAAGACGACTATGATCATCACCCATGATATTACACAAATCCTCCNNCCTGATGATTACGCAATGGTCTTTGAGGATGGCGAACTTGTACAGGAAGGTCATCGCAAACACATGGAGCAAATGCGCGGTTCGCCTTTCCAGAAGTTCTTATCGTTCGACTCCGTCGCTGTGCCAGACTCTCAAGAGATTCTGAGTGGCACGGAGAAAGAGCTAGATCGAGATCCAACATACCAGGAAGCTACAGACGACCCATTGGAGGCTCATTTGGATGCTGGTGAGAACCCTCGATACTCTTATCTGCCGGCACTCTTCGCAAACAGACATACGAAGGCTGCATTCAATGGAGTATATGGCTTTGCTACTCCGCTCAGCGAACTCGGCTCACCAATTTCTCAATTCGCATCGGGGCCGTCCTCACCTACAAACAGGAGGTCCAGCGACAAAAACTCTGCTACTTCAAACGAACCACGAACTGAGGACGCGACACAGCAAAGTGACAAAGAAGCTGTTGGAAGTAAGAGAACAAGAAACAGGAAGTCTATAGCTCCTGAGCTTCTGGACAAGTTCGTAGAGTCGACCGGAAGTCTAGCTGCCCGGGCTCGTCTTACTCCAGGAAATTCAAGGAGAAGACGTCTGCCTTCTGATGAGTCTATACCTGCTGTCGCTGGTGGCACCGAGATGCAACCTCTATCGAAGCACAAGAATAAGGAAGCGCCCGAAGACGACCGGCAGATATTCTCCCTACGAGCTATTCTCAGCACCGTCTGGCCTAGCCTTGACTGGTATACGAGGGCCGTTCTCATTGTCGCTTTTGTTGCTGCCTCCATCAACGGAGCATGTACTCCTGTTTTTTCCAACGTTCTGTCCAAGCTGATAGGAACCTATGGGAAAGGCGACCAAGAAAGACATACCGCTGTGATCTACACCGTGGCAATTCTTGGTATCGCGGTTCTGAGTGGCGCGAGCAGCTATATCATGCATTTGTTCCTAGAATATGCTGGTCAGGTATGGATCAATACCATGCGTGAAAGATCACTAGAACGTATCCTAGATCAGCCCCGTGATTGGTTCACTCACGAAGAGAACTCGGTTTCGCATGTGATGGAGGGTTTAGACCGACATGCAGAAGAGATGCGTAATCTCCTAGGTCGTTTCGCATCATCTCTCTACATTGCTCTTGTTTTGAGTGTGGTTGCTTTCATCTGGGCTTTGACTTCGCAATGGAAGCTCACTCTTATCGCAGCGGCTCTCGGCCCCTACGTATATTTCGTCACCAAATCTTTCAGCACTGTTAGTGGGAACTGGGAGGGTAAAAGCAATGACGCTGCGGAGGCCGCAGGATCAATCTTTACTGAAACGTTCACCAACATCAAGACCGTACGTGCCTTGACCCTCGAGTCTCATTTCCGAGAAAAGTACTTCCACGCAACCAAGCACGCACTACAGGTTGGCTTCAAACGCTCTATCTACGTTGGCTTTTTCTACGGTCTTTCAGATTCTTCTGGAATCTTTATCATGGCGCTCATGTTCTATGCTGGGGCGAAATTGATACGAGATGGTGCCAGCGTGTCAAAGATTGTTGAAGTTTTCATCCAATTGATATTGGCAATCACGAACGTGAGCCTTTATCTGGGTCTTATACCACAGATAGGTCTAGCAAAGGATTGCGCATCTCGCCTGCTTCGACTTTCGACGTTACCTAAAGACTCGCATGAACATCTTGGAAACACACAGATTACATCGATTGGTGATATTGAGCTACACAACCTAAGTTTCTCTTATCCTTCTCGTCCGGATCAAGCGGTACTCAAGAACATCGACCTGCTCATACCGGCGGGTGATACTACTGCATTGGTCGGATCTTCAGGGTCTGGAAAGTCCACCATTGCCGGTTTGCTCTTGAATCTGTACACGACTACAGGCGAATCGTTTGAGGTCAATGGTAGTATACCAGACATCATGCTATCAGGTCGTGATCTGAAACATATACATACTCCAACTTTGCGTTCGTTAATCACGGTTGTCTCGCAGACCCCAGTACTGTTTCCTGCAACGGTTGCGGAAAATATCACATATGGGTTACCACAGTCGTCCCCTCATAGCAGCATGGCATCAGTTCGGCGGGCTGCAGCCGCAGCTGGTATTGATGAGTTCATCATGAGCCTGCCACAAGGCTATGAGACTCTGGTAGGCGAAGGCGGTACTGGACTGTCAGGTGGACAGGCCCAACGGGTAGCTATTGCCAGGGCTCTGGTCCGCAGACCAGCAGTCATGATCCTCGACGAAGCAACGTCCGCACTCGACGTCGAAAGTGCAAACCTGGTTCGGGAAACCATACAAGGCTTAGTCGAGCGTGATGGCACTGGCATGACCGTAATAATCATCACTCATAGCAGAGACATGATGAGTATTGCGAAAAATATCATAATGCTTTCTCAAGGACAGGTTGTGGAGCAAGGAAGCTACGAGGGATTGTTGCGCAAGAAGGGCGAGTTCTTTCACCTTCTGAGTGGAGGAGAGTGGACCGAGGAGCCGGAAGAAAAGGATGACGTTGCAGCTCGCGATCTATCGGGTAACATAGATTGGTAAAGCCAAAGCATAAGCATCGCAGTGTTTTCTCGAGTGTTCCCAAATATCATTGTCTATACAGCCAGTAATCAAGTATTCAACAGACATGCACAGAACATTGAGTTTCAAGGAAGCGGGATGTCCATTGGTAACCACACTCGACAGCTTTGAGGACATGGTTTGCGTCTGTAGAACGACTGCATGGATATCAAGGATTTGTTCATTTGCACTAGGGTGAGATTTCGAAAGAGAGAGAAAAAAATAGATAGAGGGTGTGATGAACGTGAATGCGCCTTATCTCTCAGTTGGCGTTGGCCGGCTCGTCAGTACATGAAATCTGACAGGGGGACTTGATGGCTTATCAAATCTTCCTGAACTAGTCATGTTTACGTATCTATGGAAGTGTACAATACTGTCGGAGAACAGAATCGTGTTCATCGCAAGCTGTCGCATTGATAGCGTTCTTCAAGCAAGCACACGCGAAGTGCTCGCATCAGTTCAATAGCCTACCTTTAATTGTCCAGCTTGAGAAGAGTACAAACGTGACAGACTTCAGCATAGATATGTGGAATGGTAAAGGATGGATGACTACCGATGCAGACTGCCACCATTCTAGTACAGTAGTCAGCCTAATCACGAACCCATGTAGAAGTGCCGCGATGCCGCGCAGCGAACTTTTGTTGAAGCAGACGTCGCAATAAATCATATCTTAATCTCGATCTAGCATGGGAGCGAGCATGCAGCGTGCCGTTAGCCATAAACTTGGATGGACAAGGTTCATGCATCAGTACACACTCGCGAGTCGTTGTTGAGCTCGACCGCGAAGGATTTTACACCACAAGTACAGCAAGTGATGACAGAGAGCTGGCTAGATGCGATGTTCAAGCGGCCATGTCTTTCGAAGCATAGCATTAAAGCAAGCATGATATGCATCAACAGGTCGTCACAAGAGGCGTGTGATTAAGCTTTTGAGATCCAGATCCAGGGCCAGGACCAGAGCCAATGAAAGGACTTCGGCACCTGCCGCATCTCCAAGCGGCCGCAACTCTAAGCTCGAAGCCTCGAAATGACACCAAGATCCTTCGGGTCTCCAACTTGTCCGAATGCATGATGCTCAAAATGTCAGTGATCGCTCTGGAGCCGCATGCTTGCCACAGCAACACATGCATATTCGTAGGATAATGGATCCCTGCTAAGATGGGTGAACTCGAATTTTTCTTCGATCGTCATGAGCAGATACTCAAGGCCAAAGCCCATGCAGGGGGCAAGGCAAGTTCTCATAAAGGCGGTGCCTGCTGCAGGCACATCCTATACCTCATCCTCTCTCTGGTCCTGTAAAATCTATCTCGCGCAGCTAGCGCTAGTCTTTCGCTTGTCAGGTTTTATACCCATTCATAATACAGACATAATGGCACTACGAACGCTTCTATGGTTTGCTAGTCTTGCTTCGGTCCCGCTTGCTCTGGCCGGCAGTCCGACGTATAGCGCCATCTTCCAAAGTCCTTTGCCTATAGCACCAATCGCAACTCCGGCAAGGTGAGAAGTTCAGCTGCTGTTTCCGAAGTTTAAGCCTAACCTCCTCTCANGCTCCGCCAATGTCAATGGTCAACAAATAGACTTCTATGAGGTTACTGTTGAGCCATTCCAAAAGCAGGTGTATCCTGATTTGGGGCCTGCCAACCTCGTTGGCTTCAATGGTGTTGCACCAGGACCAACATACTATATACAGAAGGGCGTACAGACAGTCATTCGCTACCACAACAACCATACTGATGACTCGGTAATCCATCTTCATGGCTCGCCTACACATACACCGTGGGATGGCTGGGCAAGCGATAGTATTCATACAGGCCAGTTCAAAGATTATTACTATCCAAACAAGTATGTACCCTTGGCCCTGATCAGCAGACCTGCTTGCTGCATATACGCTAGCAAGGTCATGCTAACTATCTTCTCACCTATANGTGAGAGCGCTCGATCTATATGGTACCACGACCATGCAGATGGAATCACTACATTGAATTGTTTCAGAGGTCTGATTGGCACATACATCATCTACGACCCTGAAGAGGAAAAACTCGATCTTCCTACCGGAAAGTACGACGTGCCGCTCATGATCAGCGACAAAATGTACACGGCTTCAGGTGATCTCGTCTCGATCACTGAGGACAAGGAACAGGACTTCATTGGGGACATGTACGTTTGCACTAGTCAACGCTCATTCCTTGCTCCAAAGACTTACCCATATCAGCNNATCGAAGTCAATCACCAACCCTTCCCGTATCTTGAGGTTGAGCCCAGGAGATATAGATTGCGATTCTACAACACTGCTACAAGCAGACCATTCGACCTTCACGTGGAGCAGTCCAACGGAAATTGGGTCGATTTTCAGGTCATCGCTTCGGACGCTGGCCTGTTCGGATCCCCGGTGAACTCCAATGACGTTACAATCGCAATGGGAGAACGTTACGAGGTTGTTGTCGACTTCGCAGCATTTGCCAACCAGAACCTTACTCTGAAGAACGCGTTCAATCTTCAGGAACAAGGATTTGCCCAATACGACAATACAGATCTCGTCATGCGTTTTGTCGTCGGCAACAACGTGAATGATTGGTCATCAAACAGCGTGCCTAGCACTCTTAGTCCAAACATTCCTTGGCCAGCAGATAGGGACCAGGTTGACCACGTTTTCCGCTTCCAAGTGGGTGGTGGTATGTGTAGCATCTTTTTGCCCACCAATGACACCCTATCTAATGTATTCTTAGACAACCATTGGACTATTAATGGCGTTGATTTCAACGACGTCAACAACCGGGTACTTGCAAAACCGCCTCAGGGATCAACTGAGCGTTGGAGATTGGTTTATGCTGGTGGTCCCGGGTACCACCCTGTTCATGTCCACCTTGTGGACTTTAAGGTCAGCCACACGTTGGTCTCAAGACGCAGAACCAAAGACTAAATCTACTCAGNNATCATCTCTCGAACTGGCGGTAGTCGAGGTGTCCTCCCTTATGAATCGGCAGGCTTGAAAGATATTGTCCTTCTCGAGCCTGGTGAGACGGTCGATATCGAGGCGTACTATGGCCCGTGAGTCTATACAACGAACGTATGTGCAATATCTCGTACTGACCTGAACAAGTNNTGGAATGGACTTTACATGTTCCACTGCCACAACCTCCGACACGAAGATTCGATGATGATGGCCGCATTCAACATCACAGCACTCGAAACCCTGGGCTACGACAATGTGCAGTCTCTTGATGACCCTACCGACTCGCGATTTGTGGCACAAGACTGGTCTGCCGATGCTTATGCCGATGACCAGATTCAGAGTAAGCTCAACTATCTTGGCAACCTGGGCGCATACAACGAGCAAAGTCAGATCGAGAGCGCAGTTGCTGCATATTACACAAACAACCTCAATCCTCCCGTCGAGAGCGATACTGGAGCTTCCCAGACCGCGGAATCCACACAAACACAGAGCTGGGGCCAAAAATGGCAGAATAGAGGATCTGGAGGTTGGGGCTACCAGAAGGGAGGCCGACCATGGCAGAGATAGACTACACCCATCGTTCGTCGTTCATGTTATGTCGTCTGTAATTATTGATACGTATGTTCTTTAGACTTATACACTCTTACGTTAATAGCTCTAGCAATTATTTTGCCGTAAATAGATGGCAGAACTTTCCTTGAAGTAGATCTTTGTTGTATTTCAATGTCCAGGCCGCCGATTTGCTTGGTCCTTTTGTTTTATGTGGTTAGTGAGCATTCCTTGTTGACAGGATGACCCTGCCACCGAGCTGTCTCCCGGCTCAAGACTCTTTGCACGAAGCAACCACCCGTTCAAGCTTGTCACCAGATACACAGGCACTACGTACAACTTGTGTTGTACATCATGTATTTGAGCAATATTGATTCAGAAATGGCTTATCTCTGGACAATCCTCTTCCATCGTGGTGAAACATCCTTCGGATTCCAGTCAAGCTTACATGAGCGCACAATCTGCAGACTATACAATGCTAGGGATAGCAAGTATAAGCGAGCAAGAATACCAATGTCTCCTAGCTCCACATGATTGGAAACCTCGAATCTCATGCTTGATGTTTGAATGCGACAGGAGGTAATTAAGAGCATGACTAGCAGTGACGAACGACTCATGTGGTTGAGCTTAATTTGACATGTCCTGTCAGCCAGTCTGAGCCTGCTCAGGCACCGTGCACGTACCATGATACGCCACAGCGTCATGCCACGGACAGATTCCGCAGATTGCTATCAAATCTCACCTCCATGACCAGCCATCGCATAAGATAACAGTCAACTAGATTTGCTCTCATCGTCCAAACGGCAGGTTGAAGTGTCACGAGATTTAACCGGCTTCTATAGAGTTGTAACATCTTGCGAAGCAGCATTGTGTGTTCGACTCTATAACATCGTGCCATACTTTCAATGTCAATGCTTGAGATAGCCATGTTACACGTCAGCTGTACGCTTGTGCTTGGTCGAGGAATTCGCTCGTCATTGCAAACCTGGGGCCGGTCGTCCTTCGGTCTCCATTCTTGGTTTTGATGGGATAAATTGCTCGCGAGCGAGACGAGGCTGCTAATCGAGGATCGTGTATCGCCAAAAGTTCGATTTACCAGCAAGACGGTGTTGGAAAAGGCTCGAGTCTTGTCACTCGCGAAGATCATGAGCTACCTGATAGAACCTCGGTCAGACAATACTTGTCTTGCTGTTTATTTCCTTGAACAAGTGTCAACACTACTCAAGTAAGACGTTCCTAAGAGCAAAGCCACGCGACTAGGATCGGCAGCCAGCAAGTTTTGTTGTTGTTAACTCCTCAACGCATCAACGATGCTTAGGCATTTTGAGGCTCTACCAAGCCCTTGACTGGCGGCGTGTTGTCTCCATGAGTCCTTCTTAGCCCTTGATAGGTGTCGACGACGCGTTTCAACTACGTAGATGATCTCGGGTTGATACTTTCGAGACTCGATGAAACGCAATGGAACTCCCTTTTTGCTAGCATATTGCTTCTAGAAAAAGTTAGCGAACTACTCCGTACGGTGTTCAAGTAAGCATCCAACATTGGAGTAAACACATAACATCACATCCCGGCACTCCATCCTCTCCGCGGTTTCATCGCCTACATTCTCTTAAAACCTCCAGCGCGTCATCAAGACAATCACAACAGATCCTCATGCTGTGAGATTCTACTCCGTGCCATCCTCCACCATGAGCTCCACTCGGGTGCCGGGACTGCCGCCGGCATGCAATGGAAGTAGAAGCTCGGCAGCCGGGCATGCAATGGTGCTGGAATGCACTGCCCAGCCCTAGTTTCTGGTGCAAACAACTGTTCTGCTTGGATTACATGGTGCAGAGGCGCCGCACGTCAGATGGATCGGTTGCTCGGCAAGAAGGTAGACAACGAAAATAATCTTTCATCTGTTGGGGCGAAGAGAAAAGGGCTCGACGTCATCCCAGGCTTGAAGATAACATTCCAATTTCTTGGCGGATCACGGCTCGCGAAGGAAGTCCGCGTTCCAGATCCGACACTCGTTTCCAACCTCGAAGCTCATCCGAGAGGTCGTCAAAGAGGTCTGACTGCAATCAATTATTCTTCAGTTGCATTTCGAAGACAGCAGTGTGAACATGATGAAGGACGAAACTACGAGTGATGTCTCGTGTTCTGCACGAAGAATTGAACATGCTGCATGCAACTAAAGGCAGTTCAACCCGTAAGTCTGAGTTTTCGGTCCGTCAGTCGGTCACATCGCGGACCCTTCAACGTCCACCGAGAAGGAACCTTAGGTTGAGAGTGTGATTTCACTGGCATCTGCTTGTCGTGCCACCGCCGGTTCAGTGGGTACATCTGATCAGAAGATGGTGGGTTGTTCCAAGACTCTCCGGGGCGAGTTTTTCGTGAGCCACTTCTCCGTCATCGTATATAGTTGCTCCATCCCTCCCCAGGTTGCTTTTGCATTTGCATCCACCTTGTTGTTTCCCATCATGAACACCGCACCTACACATCTCAGAAACCCTTCACGGAACGCCTCGACGGCTACCGCTTCCTGGACAGAGCAAAACTACAAAGAAAAAGACTCCGAGTCCCCTCGCTCAGGATCTACCGACGATGGTGCCACCGACAAGAAAGAGACCAATGTAGAGCCTCATTCGCAGGGTTGGATTTGTGGAGGCAAGCACCTTGAGGAGCTTCGTCAGAATGAGAGTCTCAACCTCGACGGCCCCTTGACCGAGGTCGATGTCGACCTTCCTCTTACTCGTACTCAGGTCATAAACCAAGGCGACAAGCAGCTGATCGAGCTGAAGTTCGCACCCGACGACAAGGAGAACCCTTTCAAGTGGGGCAAGTGGAAGAGACGTTTCATCTCAACCCAGCTCAACCTCATGACACTCTTCATCGGCCTCGCTACCACTGCATACAGTTCTGGAATCAACAGCATGGTTGCAGAATTCCACCGCTCCACCGAAATGGGCCAATTGGGTCTGTTCACGTTCAACATGACCTGCGCCCTTGCTCCGCTATTCCTTGCTCCCTTCTGTGAGCTTGTCGGCCGCAAGGTCATCTACGCCGGAGCATACTTCCTGTTCTGTCTCTGCTTCATCGGTCTGGCTCTTGGACAAAACATCGCCACGATCCTCGTCATGCGTACACTTCTCGGTCTCTTCGGCTGTGTTGGAACTATCCTTGTTGGTGGTACCTTCAGTGACATGTACGATGTGCACGAGCGTGCCAGACCCATGGCCATGTTCTCGTACGTCGCAATTCTTGGTACGGTCGGCGCTCCCATCTACGCTGGCTTCATCGACATGACTATCGGTTGGAGATGGATCGAAGGTATCCAGGGATTGAGCAACATTCCTCTCCTCATCTGCATCTTCCTCTTCTTCAAGGAAACCCGCGGAGGCGTCGCCCTCCAGAAGCGTGCCAAGGCTGTTCGCAAGGCCACTGGCGATGACCGCTACCAAAGCGCTATGGACTTCGAGACCCCTAGTGTTCAGGCTATGCTCAAGGCATCTTCGGTCAAGGCTATTTACATGTTGGCCACCGAGCCCGTTGTATTCCTGTTTGGCCTCTGGATTGCCTTCTCCTGGTTCATCGTTTTCTTGTTCTTGTCCGTCATCCCCATCACCTTCCAGGAGAAGCGCGGCTGGAACGAAGGTGTTGGAGGTCTTCCTTACATCTCTCTCTGTGTTGGAGTCACCCTCGGTTGGTTGGCTCATCACATTCAGATGAGAAGATACCTCAAGCTCACCCAGGACCCTAACCACAAGGTCGTGCCCGAGGACCGCCTCTGGGCCGCCCTTTGGGGAGCCGTCTGGATGCCAATCGGTCTTTTCATTTACAGTTTCACCCAGTACGGATACCTGTCTTGGGTCGGTCCCACCGTCGCCCTTGCTCCCATTGCCTTTGGTGTTTACTTCATCTTCGAGTCTACTTACAGCTACACTGCCGACTGTTACGGAGAGAGCTCATCCTCAGCAATTGCTGGCCAGGGTCTCATGAGAAACACTCTTGGCGCCGTCTCTCCTCTCTTCGCCTCTCAATTCTTCCACAACGTCGGCAGCCAGTATGCTGGCCTCATCCTGTCGCTCATTGCTTGCGTGCTCACACTGGTGCCTTATGTATTCTACAAGTACGGTCACAAGATGCGCGCTCGCTCGAAGCTTGCCATTGTCTACTAAACAGGCTTTGGCATCTGTCATGATCTCGCATTGAACCTTATGGCATTTAGCGATTGGCGTTATGATTTATCTTTCTGTAATATATACCTATGCATAAGCTTTTCTGTGTACGACTACGAACGGGGTTAGGATTCAATAAAAGTCAGGCTGTCGAAAGGCTACCATACCGAGAAACAATTTACAAACAATCATCACTCCAAATCAGTGTAGTTATGTCAACCAGTAGATGATTGCTGCACACGAGCATGCCACTCTTATGATTGTACCGAGCTCGAGGCAGACAGCCAAGGGAAACGTACGAGCATTGAAAAAGTTGATGGTCGGGGTGATTAGAGAAGATATGCAACCGTTCATAAGAAGAGCTACGGAAGATATGGAAGCGAAGATGCAGGGAGAACCTCGCTTGTTAGACGACGTTCCAGTGCTCGCTGTGATATACTAAATGGGTCGTGTCATCGTCAAGAAGGGTCGTGTGAAGAGAGAGAGAGAGAGAGAGAGAGAGAGAGAAAGAGCTTCGATAGTCATATCGTCGTCTGTACGTGCAACATAATTTATGGCAGAAGGAGCAAGCTCTAGACGTAGTAGCGTCTGCTGCTACTGTGGTGTGATCGGCGAGGAGAGTTGCGTCTGTCGTAGCTACCACGACTGGAGCGTCGCTGACCGTGACGGGTGCTGTGGTACTCTTTCTTGACGACGACAGTATCGCGGTCTCGGTGGTGTCTGTGAACCAGAAGGGCAAGGAGCTGGAGAGGCGTTAGTAACTGGCAACAAAGAATGATGTAGATGAGCGACTTACGAAAGTGATGAAGAAGAAGATGATGTTCATGATGGCAAGGGCGAAGCAGGCCTTGAGCATAGCGCATGTCTTGTTGATGTGGAGTGCCCAGTCACTACCGCTCTGGCGACCATAGTAGCCGAAGGGACCCAGACTGAGATAGATGCTTCCGCTGCTGAAGTTTGCGCAGTCCTGATTTGTGATGGCGCGCAACTCATAGACAGCGGCGATCAAGGTGCCCACAAACGCGAGGTCGACCAATGCAACGAACAAGGCAGAGTGACGAGCGCGCAGATAAGTCACAAGCGTTGCGAGAGTCCATGCCGCCGCCAGAACCGAAGTGATGAAGAGCAACAGGATGTACGTAGGCGTGAGCTGATTGTTGACGACGAAACCATGAACGAACCACGCAAGCATACCCACAATTGGGATGAGGGTGAGTATCTGCGCAATGCGAAACGAGAGGAAGAGGAAGCCTGATAGTGCCATGATTGCGATTGGTGAAGTAAGAAGGACTGCTTGTCGACAAAGGTTGGAGAAGTGTAGAGGAGGCTCGCAAGAGGGGAGCTGGTCAGCACGGCTGCAGAGTCAAGGCGAAAGGTGCTGAGGTAGCACGTAGTATGTATGTGAGGTTACCACTTGCCTAGCCTACTAGAAATTCAGAGGGACACGGTCAGTATTTGTACAAGGTGATGACGACCACTACAACCACTCGCGCAGCATCTTGAGACAGCGAAAATCTTGATTGCAAAGGCTGGGACACTATATTATATGCAGCCAACACCTCTCCATTGCTCTTGGCCTCTTTGGTGGAATCTGACAAACCCGAGAAGGCGCGGGGGCTGGCAAGGGTGTGGAAGCATAGAAGGTGGTTGGGGACATGGAGAAAAGCAGGAAGTCACGCTTCGAGCTGGCCAATCATGAAGCTCGTAGCAAGCCACCCGCCGCTCGCCCTTTGCTTCGTACCCTCCCACGCTGCCAGCATTTCCTGAAACCATCTTCCTTCACTTCCATCCTTCACTCAAGATACAGCGACCGCCTATCGTGTCTCGCTTGGTTATGCCCTTACAACCGATTAACCACGTCTCAAAGCGTGATAGAACACGCTTCTGTCAAGCCTATACTCCAAGGCAAGCAGCCTCATTGTCGTAAAACTTTCTCTGTTGCATGTTTGGCATGTACTTGCATGTCCCTTTTTGTATTTGCACAATCGTAAACAATGTAGAACCTGGCCCCTACACTGTCACCGAAAAAGCTGGGTTGGTTGACTGGATTCTCACCATTTCTGTAGGCTGTCTACTGCCAGGTGTAGGAAGCCTTCGTGATCACAACAACATTTCTGAACCTTGAAGATAGAACACTGGCCAAGTATCTGATCGATGTGGGCGGACAATGTTGTCAACAAGAGACTGAATACTGACCGTCGTCGGGTCCCAAGTGATGGTTTGTTTCACTGTCCGATGAACCCATCTTGATTGACATGTGAGAATCCTTCCCATCACTAACTTCACCACGCATACGTTTGTTTATACACTAAGCTGTTCTGGAGATAAGCGCGATAAGACGTCCATCAGGTTCCACGCTCACCATGGCAAACACTCACAACACATCCGACTCGTTTGAGGACATCATGGTCCATCCTGCATTTCGCAAGGCCACTGACCTGTGTCCAGCCGAGCCCTGGATCTCTGCCATGGCTTCAATCAACACTCTGGTAAAGGATGGCATGACCAAGGACCTGGTGCTCGTCTTTGAGGGCGAAGCAGATGGAGTCAGGCGCTATAACGGTTTTGTAAGTACTGAACATCTGCGTTGTGGATAAGCTCCAACTAAGTTCTTCAAGGATGACCTTTGGGACGCCAAAGGCGACTGCAAAGTCAGAATGGACAGTCAAGATGTCTGCTTCGACAGCAAAATCATCTTCGGAACCAACTCGCAAGATCTCATCTCACTGATCTCAGGTAACTTTTGCGTCTTACTCCTCTGAACAAGACAAAGAACAGTGTGCTGACTGTGCAGTANNGAGTGTGTATGTGAAGAGGGCACTCATTACCACTTCAAGTTGCCCCCACTTGGCGAGGATATGGAGAAGGTCGACAGATACAACCTCGCTGTTCGCAACTTCATCGCAACCATCATCCACAAGCCCATTGTCGGATGTGGTCTGGTGTCCGCTCTGAAGGATCTTCAGATCATTGTCAGACACGTCTTCAAGTTGCAGTTTCAACCAGAGAGGGCTGCCGACTTCGTCCGAGATTACGTGCAGGAAATGAAGCTTGACAACTTCACCAACAGACCTGCCGACATAGGCCGATTCCTGGCATGGACAGAAGAGGCTCGCTGGTCAAGAGCCTATGTCGAAACTTTTGCTCACTGCGTGGGCATGCTCAACTGCGGAGTCCTGGACCACGAATCTCTGGATGCTCTTTCGCCGACAACCCGTGCTCTCCTGGAGCACAGCTGCACGCGCATGCACTATCGTCTCTCGTCTGCCGAGATGCACATGACCATGTTCGGCATCGATTCTACCGTTTTGGATGGGCTCGAGGAGCATCCTGGTGTCAAACAGTCAATCACAGCTTTTCAAGGCTTTCTCAAGCAGTATCATGCTCAGGTCTATGGAACATGGCCACCACCCGTGCACCAGAACAGTGGTCACTGGTTGACTCGCTCGGTGGCTCAACGCTTGCAACAAGACTTTGGCAATCTCTATGATCTACTTGTCGACAAAGACGTCCACAGCGGACTGACTGCTTCCGCTCATGCTAATTCCTTCAGATGTGCACTTGACCGAAGACGGCTTTTTGCATCATGGAATCGTCAGAGCGGTTTCACCTCCTTGTCACACTCTGAACCCAAGGCACCGGACTACTCTCCTACCAGGGTCGTAGAGCAAAAAGAGGAGAAGGGCGCTAGACGCTCGTCCCTCATTCCAGCTGTCCAGAAACACCGCAAGAAGGCTCCAGACCTCGCCAGCATCTACACACGTGCTATCAACGCCGAGACATACAGTAAGCAAACTGACGCTCTTGGTGTCCGTGTACAGGCTAACCCACAAAACANNGTGTCTACATTCTGCAAAGCCTTCCTGAACCACGAAGTCTCGACCAAAAACCAACAGATGGACACGCACGAAGGTCGTCTCGGCCGCTGGATCATCGTCTACTGCATGATGCAGCTTCTGTCCAGAATCGCCGTCGACATTCAAGGTGTTCGCTACACCCTGGGCGTCGAGTATCATCTCAAGGCCGATCTCGACGGCACTCCACCATGGGACATCAACGACTTTCCGGAAAGCATGCGTCCAGCTGGTCCTCAGTACGCATGGGCTGCACTGTTCGCGAGAGTCGCCATGCCGCCACCCGCCTTTAATATTCCTCAGAGAAAGGCGGCCAAGGCCAGGTTCAAGGCCGTCCATTTGGCTGATGGCCGTGTCATGCTCAAGGATCCTGATGGCCACGTTGTCTTCAGATAGATGGTCCGGTTCTATGAATAAAGACGTCTTGTACAAGCCTTTGTGTTCTTTGCTGCGGGAAGAGGAAGGAAGCCATCACAGGCCAGGAGAACTGTTGACAGGATATGAGCCAGAAGTAGTCAACCATTCTGCAGAAGCGAGAGGACAATTGAGACTTCTCGTCCAACAATGAAGGAGCCATCTACTTTGTTACTGTTTCTAGTTAGATCAGATTGGCTCTTGCCCCAGTATGGAATGGTAGTTTTTGGAAAATTCGTAATTTGCTTGTATCATGAGGAACGGTCCTATCCGATATCTACCGTTCCCAGTAACCTGTTATATCTGCAGGAGACTGTCGACATCGACACGACGGTAGTAAGAGATATGCCCAAACTCAATCCAGTGCTGTGCCAGGCAGTCGGGTGATATAAGGATAAGCTGAGAAGGCATGTACTCATCNTGCGAATTAGGATCGTTAGCACCGTTCGATAGTCGTTGGAGGGTAACAAGGCCCTTACCGTGCGCAAATCCTACGCCTGCAATATGCCCAGCACTCCTGACGACCCTCGCACCTTTGAATGCAGCTTCATCTGCGATGCGTACAAGACCGCCATCGCTTATGTCGGGTGCAATGAAAGTGTACTCTCCGCGCGGAACGTTGGGGTCGCCTGTCAGCTTGACAGCCTCGATACGTCCGCTGTGAATGTCATGTCCGTTGACACTGTCGAACGAGGCTGGCGTAGGAACTTCGTAGATCGATGACGTACCAGAATCAGACTCCTGATCTTCTTGTGCACTCGCGTAGCTGCTGTCGCTGCTTTCAGAGTCGTTACTGTTGCGCCGATACCGACCAGTGGCAAGCCACTCGAGCATATGGTTCATTCCATCCGGCAAGGGGTTTTCTCTGCCTCGCTCTGGCTGCAAAACAAGAAGGAACTCACAGCCGTGACCACTGTAATCGCCACACCAAATGCCTTGCCAGGGCTTTTCTTTGGTGGGAATATAGCAACTGGGCGGCAATGTTGCAAATGTAGAAACCTCTTCACCCATGCGGACCGTCATAGCGTGGCCACCAGCATTCATTAGGGTCGGAGCAAACCCACCAAACCCAAGAGCAGTATGGATACGATCAGCAGCGCCTAGGGCCATTATCGAGCTGCTATGACGGCGGCCGGAGAACTCGACCCATTTTCGTAGACGAAAGGTGTTTTGACTGACCTCGTCGAGTGTTGACGGTCTATGCGAAAGTGCCTGGAACGATCGAGTTGAAGCATTGCGAGTTCGAGAGAGAGCAGGAATCTTTCGAGGTGGCCAGACTCTGGTTCCAGGGCCCATTGCGACCTCAGGAAGGTCGCGTGCGAGCATGAAAGATGTGTAAAGACCAGGCGGAGCAGAGCAATCCATCATGATCTCACGAGAGAGCAGAGGCAGAGATTGGCTCCCTTGGTCGTCGTATTGGTCAGGAAGACGGGCCTGAGTACGAGGGTTTCCTGGATCAAGCTTCAAGACAGGAGAGTTGAGATCCAACTGGACTTTGGGGTTGAACGTATGAATAGAAACATCTTCATCATGCTCCCAGTGCTCGAACTTGCGGATGCCAGGCTCAGCGACTATGGCATTTGCTTCGATACATCCTCTGCGCGGATCATAACGAGCAAGCAGCAGCTTGCCATTTGGCTCACTATCCGAAAACCAGATTTTGTGTCGACACAGAAACCAATAAGGGTGGTGAGTGATGTAGAGATCCCGAAATGATGGTAGAGGAGCTGGACTGGTCAAAAGGTGCGGAATCTGGCCGTTAACGTGCTGTTGCCACAGAGCATCACTCAGAGCATGGTTACGAAGGAAGCGGCAAGTCAGCGCCACATCAGCCAGACATGTCGGCTCGAGAAATTGAAGCACGTTTTGAATCAGCTCGGCTGGTAGATTGAGTAATCGTGGCACTGTGTTGTCTTCAGCCATGGTTGTCATTGATAAGGTCAAGTTGTAGGTATATGCGGCGAGAACGGATTTGTGTAGATAGAAGCGTCACCACCTCCACTCTTGCACCACCACCTCGGCACCTTCCATTTACGGACTCATCGCCCAATACCGATGACTGGTAGAGACCCTCTGTTGCTCATACTTCTCGTGGTGCTTACAGGAGAAATGGACATGCACACGTTCATGCTGGCTGGAAATAGGTCAAGCAGGTCTGAATGGTTCAATGCTGGCTGGCTTGATTGATCGAGATCATGACATTACGACAGTGATCGGAACCCTCGACAAAAGCGGACATACAGTCCGGTCTGGCACCTTGCTGGTCTAGTCCAATGCTAAGCTCCCTGAATTCGCCCTTTCGTTTCCAACAGCGCTATGCCGCTATAATCACTCCCAAATGCATACAATTGCTTTCAAACACGCTCGCTCATCGTCATTCACTCGCATCACCACCGTCCGACCTTAACGAATCGTCGCAGCGTCGAATGCCGGAGTAGCCTCTAATCCGGCAGTGTCATGATGGTCACCGGTTGATCCTTGTGGTGTTGAAGCACCGGCTGCTTGCTCTGCCTTCTCAGCCGAGAATGAAGATTTGGACTTTTCGACCTTTGTTGTCTTGGGCTTTGCCGAAGTCTTTGATTTGATCACCGAGGGTGTTCGCTTGGGAGGGCTTTTGGCCTCAGTCTTGTCATGCGCCTTGCTGGCTGAGCTTGCAGTCGGTCTCATCATACGTGCAAGGAAACCATCATCGGATCCTTTGGAAGCAGCGGCAGGTTTGCTTTCGGCTTTCTTGGGTGCGCTCGAGGTCGACGCAACTGATGGTCGAGCAACGGGCTTTGCGGAAGCTGCAGGAGCACGTGCTTGGGGGCGGTTGGTCACAGCAGGCTTGGAAACAGACACTGAAGCCTTGGGAGGCTGAGATTCTTGTCTTGCTGCCGAAGCGGCAGTAGGGGCAGTGAGATGCGAAGAAACCTTGACTGGTCGTGTGGGCGATCGAGGACGTGTGGGTTTAGACTGAGGAGATTTCCTGACAAGACTCATTAGCGAACCAGGCAGTGACACACTTTGAATGTTTCCTCTCACGTCTTGTTAGAAGCAGCGTCGGGCTTCGACTTGGCCTGAGTAAGAGAAGAATTGCTAGGCTTCCGAACCGGGGGCTTAGGCGAGAGGGTAGATGATGACTTGGCTGCTGGTGACTTCTTGACAGAAGTGGGCGCAGGCGCTTTCTTGACAGAGGTTGGTGTCNTTAGGGGCTTCGACTGATGGCTCGGGCGCGGTTGCGACAATGTTGGCAGGTCTATGGGGTACAGAGGCAGGGCTTGCATCGGCGGCTGTGACAGTGCCACGACGGGCACGCGAAGGGAGCTTCGCAGGAGGCGTCGACTTCTCGTCTGCATTGGCGTCAGGGGTAGGTGAGACGAGGGAGCGATCCGTGAGGTCAGAAGGCTGCATGGAGCCGGGCTCCTCTTGCGCACCAGATACCTGTACNACGGACTTAGCATCTGGAAAGGAAATGGACCAGGTCTAGCTCCTAACCGGCTTGTCAGGATTGTCGGCAGGCATATCATCAGCAGGTAGCGTCATAGGTCGAGCCGCGTCGGCTTCCGTGGTCTGGATGGTGTCGGCGGGCTCACCAACGTCGGCGGCTGTGACCTCGTCTCGGAGCTTGCTCTGAGGCATATCGCTGTTACCATGAGCAATCTGTCCGGCGGCCATGTAGTCCTTGGCCTCGACTGCAGGAGTGGTAACGGCGGGGGTCTGCTCAATGGCAGCCTCCGGGATAGTCTCTGCCACCATGGGGTTCGAGCCCCTGCGTTCCGACTCCTGGCTCATACTCTGCCTGAGGTTGGCAATGGCATTGCTGCCTTCGTCGAGGCTGAAGCTGTGCCGGCGGAGGCTGGCAGAGCTCTCTTGCCTGGACTGGTACTCTTCCTTTGTCTTTTGCGGGTCGATGTCCATGGCCGGGCTGGGGCTGCTTGGGCTGCCGTGCTCGACAGAGACGAAGCTCGAGCGGACCTTTGACAGGGGACGGTCGCCGTTGGAAGCCGGGGACAGATGGCCGTTGGAGCGGCCGCGGTCAGGCGAGGTAGAGTCGGTGGATGTGGTGGTGGTGTTGGCGCTGTTGTTGTTGTTCTCGAACATGGCGAGCAGGTTGCGGACTTGGCTGCTGGAACGATTTGACATGGCTGCGGGCACCGAAAGGTAAGCGTCTGCATCTGGCTGCATTGGGGAGTCTTTTGAGTCTTTCAGCCAGGGTCTCGGGATCAAGGTTGGTGTTGATTGCGCTCCCTCGGTCGACAAATACGCTGCACGAGCCGCTTCATCTTATGAAACGAAACGCTAGTGTGCGTGCCAGGGCTGCTGCCATTGGGGGCCACTTACGATACAGAAATCACCAGAACATTGACATGCCAGCAGGGAAACTCGGTCTGGCGGGTTTGGATGCTTGTTGGAATGGTAGGTCGACAAGTCTCTCTTCGAGCTGTCAACTTGTAGCTATTCGTGCCTGAGCCATCGAAGTTCCATGCCCGCCAAGACCCTGCACGTCATATCCAGTATGCACAGACTGACCTCCACCTTGCTGTCTCGTGCAGACCAGACACTACTCCTTGTCGGACGAGTCTGGCTTGTGTTTTGTATCGTCTCTGCACCTCTACAGCTGTCCTGCGCTGGTCGGTCGTGTGTCAAAGGCCAGCTCCGGCTTGGGAAGCCTGCGGAGTTCAAGCCAATCAGTTTCTCGTCTCCTTATATAGATTGCTGGGTGAAACACGTCTAAGGCCAATTTCCTTCGAGAATATGCATGTCAATGACCTGGCATTTGTTTGCAGTGTGTTGGTGACCATTCCGAATGCGCATGAACTTGAGCTTATGCTACTCAATGTCGTTGTAGACTTTCTGGAACAAAGCATGTGTTTCTTGGTGTACACTGTCTTTGTTCTACTGACTACTGGTGGTAACCCCTCGGATGATTAGTCTATATTCAACCTTCACCATTGTCTGGTCGTTCGTTGAGCTGCTCCCACTATTCAAGAGTCCTACGACGGGAAGTTGATAGGTACAAGTACACACGCGAGGCCGTTGCTATCGGAGAGCCGCCGAGAGTCAACAGTCGGGTTGTTGGTCCCGACTCAAGCCATTGTTCCCGACCGCCGTTCATCCACAACTCTTGTCATCAGACTCGCTGGTGTGTCCGCTTGTCCATAGTCCTCTTGCTCGGCTGTTTGGCTGCTTGTCGAGGCTGCAAATATCATGGCGACAGCAGTCTCTCCACGGCCCTCGACTGCCTTCGACCTACGCAACACGATCCCTTACACGATCCGCTTGGGCCGCCAACTATCGTCATGTTCTAGTATACAGTACAATCATAAACCGGATCTCGCAGATCCTGACAATGCCGAGTCTTCGATTCGCCATGCCCCCGAGGGCGGTCGAGTTACTCTGTCATTGAAAGACGGCGCCGACGAATACAAGTATACCGGCACGCGCCACAACGACGACGATGAATACCTCTTGCTGCTCGACGACGAAGGTAAAGACTTTGTGCTAGAAAAGATCGCTTCATCTTACGCTCTGAACTTGATTCGTGCGCCCTGGGAATCGAGCCCCAAAGCCCTGGTCGACCGATACCCGCAGCTGCCGTCCATCGACGACGAGCACGAAGAGGACTTTGAGCATGCAGACGACAACGAAGGAGGTGTTTCGCTGGATCCAGCTGATGCAGACGCCACCAACCCTTTCGATTTTAGACATTACTTGGACGTCGAAGACTCGCCTAGTCCCAACCTTCTTCCCGTCAGAGCTGCACCGACGTCTACTCCGGCAGCCTCTCAAACCTCGACAAGAACAAATACACCAATCGCCAAATCGATCCGCAAGCAGACCTCTGCATTCGCTCCGCAGTCCGCCAAACAACCACCAAAGCCCCGAGCGAGACCAGCTCCTGCCGAGGTCGAACCAACCTCTAGGGATGTGGCGCGCTCGCCCTCTCCAGAAACACAATCACATCACAAGATCCAAGCTCAAGTGCCAGCTGTTCGACTCGACCGTCGTCCTTCGACACGGGTTGCGTTGCCTTCGAAGCCTCTGCCAAAGAAGCGCGAACCAGAAGAACTCTCGCTTGACGATGACGATGACGGGGACCTGATTCTTGAGGATGATGAGCCAGAGCGATTTTCATACCATTCAAACAACTCAAAGTCAAGCCTAGGTCATGCTCTCACGAATGGACTGGCCGAAGGGCCACGCAGCTTGCGAAGCGCAGCAAGCAGTCCAGCTGGTAGTCACATCAACTCACCGGCCGCACAGCGACCAAGTCCGCTTACCGAACACCGGGAACCAGAACACGACGAAGATGAACTCGTAATGGATCCAGACGAAGAAGCCAACGAGTATGATCAGGTTGAGAGTGACGCGGACGAAGACGGTGATGTGGACGCCTTGCATCTACCCAGTCCTGCTCAGGCGCATCGGCCTAGCATTAGCGGACCGACTGTCAGCGGCGACGACGATTACGATCTCGAAAAGCAAATGCTGCTGGAGTTGGAAGGAGGTTTGGACGACGATGCTGCAACTGGACAACAAGGTGGGGCAGACAGCGATGAGGAGAGTGAAGAAGAATAAAGCGAATGTGCCTTGTGGACCGTGAACAATGAGACATGGTCATGCAAAGGAATGTCTGGAGTTCGGCAGCAGGATTTCTGCAATGTTGAAAGGAAATTGGATATACAGGAACAGAGTAATTTTACAGATACCCCCATTTGCTATAGGTTGTTTTAGTTATGCACGATTTTGAATCTTTATCGTAGACTGATCTCGCCCTTCCAAGTTCCCTCAGTCAGGCCGAGAGTCTCAATCAGGTGTTGCCATCTTGGGCCACCTCTCTCCTTTCGCCTAAGGTACTGGAGAAGCTTTTGTCTCTTATGGACCAGGATGGTCAGGTTGCGCTTGTTGATCTTATCGGGTCTTCCTCTGCTCTCCAAGAAATCGGCCACCGTCTTGATCTTGGCCGTCAAGATGGCGATCTGAACCTCGCTACTGCCTGTGTCGGGGCCAGCACGCTCGACCTTTTGTGTGTTGGCGCTGGGGTTCTTCAGCAGAATTGACTCGGCGACCGGAGGCTTGGAGGGCAATTTCTTGTCGGTTTGGTGGCGACCGAAGGCGTCGACACAGCGCTGGATGTTGACGCGAAGACGATCCTTGGACGAGCCGTTCGACAACGACACGATGCGGTTGAGAGCTTCTGTGGCCGTGGCATGCTTCTGTTTGCGCTCTTGCTCGCTTTGTTGGCGTTCCTGATCCCTGCGTTGCTTCTCTTCGGGGTCGTTGGTCTCGAAGAAGTCCTGATCGGCAACAGAAGCAGTCAACTGTTCACTGCGGACAGAGGCCTCCTTGATTTCTCGTTGAGTGAGGAAGAAATTCTTGTATTCCTCGGTCTGGGCGTTCGGGCCAGAAGGGGATCGTTTTGGTGAAGATGATTCGTTGCGAGTGGCAGTATGGGTGTCGCTAGTGGAAGAAGCTGTGGGAGTTGGAGGAATGGCCGTTTCGAATGACTGAACGAAAGGCGTGTTGATTCCTCGCACGGGATCGCCGAGAGCTGCTGAGCGCTCCTGCTCGAGGACTTGCTGGCGCGAGATGTTGGCGGCTTTGCGGGCACGAGCCTGTGCTAGAGCGTATGGATCGCGGTGTCGTCTCTTCTGCTGCACGGTCGAGGCCTGGTCTACAGATGTCGAGGCGAAAGTACGACAGATCTGCGCCGACGGGGATGCTGTGCAGCCTTGTCCTATAATAAATGTTGGAATCCGCGATATACATTCTTGAACATTTGACAAACCATTCAGAGCTCTTAGGCTCGACAATAGAGGAACGCGTGGCGGCATAATTGTGTTTGGGTTGATTAGGTATACCTTCGACTGGTCGTGAAATTTGGCTTGAGCGGAGATGTTATCGGAGGACGTCCAGCGGCCTTCCTTGGCACTTCCGCGACGACCAAAAGCTCGCTGTATTCGGTCAAGAACACTTTCAATCATTACGTTTATACGAAGAATTTGCTCTGGACAGAGCCATCGACTTGAGGATTAGAATGCCATTATAATCAAAATAGAGCAAGACGTGCTGAGCACCACTGCAGTGACAAACTGGTTAGTGGCAGGCCATGACAGACAGCCAGGAGATGGCATATGTAGGCCATATGTCATACTTGAGTTGCTTGTGGTTCGCGCGAGAAAGAGATACACACAGGTGGGCTCAATGTTATGTCCTGTCTGCAAAGCCTCTACATACATCTCTTGAGCAAGTGGTGGTTGTCCAGATCTCGAGGTGACCCTGGCAATTGAGACGGCTAAATCCCGGGAAGTGCCGTTCGGCCCACAGCTTGAAAATCGAGGGCGCGGCTTCCATCTTTTACTGTGTTGCGCTTTCCTCTCCTTGTCACCAGCCCCGTCGACAACTCTATACCGGTCAAGATGTCTCCCTCCAACACCCCTGCCTCCATGGCTGCTACCAGCCAAGACATTGAGATGCTCCTGGCCGCTCAGGTTCGTGCGACTGCGCAGCAGACCGACTTCCTCGACTAATGTGGTCAATAGTGCCACATCGGTTCCAAGAACCTCCAGGTGCACATGGAGCCTTACCTCTGGAAGACTCGCCCTGACGGTGTCAACGTCATCAACATTGGCAAGACCTGGTGCGTTTGACCACACCCGCGCGCGAAACGCAACTTTTCGCAGTCTCGAAATTTCGCAAAGAGAGCCATGTCTGACCTGGATGCGCCTTTAGGGNAGAAGATCGTCCTTGCTGCCCGCATCATCGTCGCCATTGACAACCCCGCCGACATTTGCGTTATCTCTGCCCGTCCCTACGGTCAGCGTGCCGTCCTGAAGTTCGCCGCCCACACTGGTGCTCNNTCTGCCATTGCCGGTCGCTTCACCCCCGGTAACTTCACCAACTACATCACCCGCTCGTTCAAGGAGCCCCGCCTCATCATCACCACCGACCCCCGCACCGATGCCCAGGCCATCAAGGAGGCCTCGTACGTCAACATCCCCGTCATCTCGCTCTGCGACTCCGACTCGCCCACCGAGTACGTCGATGTTGCCATCCCCACCAACAACAAGGGTCGTCACGCCATCGGTCTCGTCTGGTGGATGCTCGCCCGTGAGGTCCTCCGTCTCCGTGGCACTCTCCCCAGCCGTGAGGCCGAGTGGGATGTCATGACTGACTTGTACTTCTACCGCGACCCCGAAGCCGAGGAGAACAAGGACTCTGCCAACCAGGACGAGGCCAAGGTCCCCGGTGCCGACGAGGTTGGCCCCGCCGCCGTCGAGAGCGGTTTCGCCAACGACTGGGAGGTTAGCGGCGCCAACGCTGGTGCCTTTGCTGCCGCCTCTGGCACCGCCGGTGCTGCCGCCAACTCCAGCTGGGATGCTGAGGGTGCCGACTGGGCCGCCTCGAGCGCTCCCGTCCAGACCGGTAACGAGGGCTGGGCCTCCGAGACCAACGCCGAGACCGCCCCCGAGACCACCTGGTAAATGTCACCATATCGAGGGGGGCGAGAGCCGGTTTGATTGAAAAAGTCGATACAACAAAAATGGGGGATTTCAATAAGTCCGACTACGAAAGTTCAAAAAGTCCATTTGCTGCTGTTCGGCATTCCACTTCACCGTTGCGATTCTTGCTCTACTCTAGATCAAAGAGAACGGCGCTTATGAGGGAAAGATATCCACTGGCCTTGCTGCCAGTGGGGGAAAGCCCTGTGCTGTCTCGAAGGGATGTACTTGACCGTTGCCCTATCTAAGTAGACATTGCCACTATATGTTCGCCCGTTCCTCATGTGCCTGCTGCGTGTGACTGTAATATCGTGAAGAGCTGAGCGAATGATTAGTATTCTACCACGACGGACTTGTGAGAAGATGGACTCGCCGTGTGCCGTTTAGGCCGATGTCGGTGGTCGGCCTTCTTAAAATATTCTTGTGGGGGAGGGACTGGCGTGCTCATCATGCAAGAGCCATGGCCAGACGCCCTGAGTCACCGTGCAATTGACATTGACCTTCCCGCTCGCCCCGTCCTTCTCGAGAGCTCCATCGCTGCTGCCGTGAGCCCATTTGTCCATCATGTCGGGCAGCTCAAGTGCAAGCGAGCCCACGCGGGTCTCGATTCTGGGCAAGGAATCCATCATCATTGACTACGGACTCTGGAAGAACTTCGTTGTGCCCGACCTGCTGGAGAACGTATCTTCGGGCACCTATATCCTCATCACTGATACCAACATTGGCGCCCTCTACACACCCACCTTCGAGGCCGCCTTCAACGAACACACGTCCAAGCTCGAAAATGCGCCGCGACTTCTCACCTACCAGGTTGCGCCTGGCGAGAGCTCCAAGAGCAGGTCGACCAAGGCCGCCGTCGAAGATTGGATGCTTTCGCAAGGCGTCACCAGAGACAGCGTTGTAATCGCGCTGGGCGGAGGTGTCATTGGAGACATGATTGGCTTCGTCGCCGCTACATACATGCGTGGAGTGCGCTTCGTCCAGGTCCCCACCACACTCCTGGCTATGGTCGACTCTTCCATCGGTGGCAAGACAGCCATCGACACCCCTCTGGGCAAGAACCTGGTTGGTGCCTTCTGGCAACCCCAGCGCATTTATATTGATCTCCAGTTCCTCGAGACTCTGCCCAAGAGGGAGGTCATCAACGGTATGGCCGAAGTTGTCAAGACGGCCGCTTTCTGGGATGAGGCTGAGTTCGCTACCCTGGAAGAGAACGCCGATTTGATCATGAAGGTTCTGGATGACAAGACCAAGAAGGGCGAGGGCAGATTCACAGAGATTGCCCATATTCTCAAGCGCATTGTCCTCGGCTCTGCTCGCATCAAGGCCGAGGTCGTTTCTGCTGATGAAAGAGAAGGCGGCTTGCGCAACATCCTCAACTTTGGTCATTCGATTGGTCACGCCATTGAGGCCATCTTGACTCCTCAGATCCTGCACGGCGAATGTGTCGCAATCGGAATGGTCAAGGAAGCTGAGCTGGCCCGCCACCTCGGTGTTCTGGCTCCTGGTGCTGTTGCCCGTCTGTCCAAGTGCATCTCAAGTTACGGCTTGCCTACATCACTGGAAGACAAGGTTGTCCGCAGGAGGACGGCTAACAAGCACTGTCCAGTCGACCGCTTGATTTCCATCATGGCCGTTGACAAGAAGAATGCAGGGGGCCAAAAGAAGATTGTCTTGCTTTCGGCTATTGGCAAGACCTACGAGCCAAAGGCAAGCACTGTAGCTGACAAGGACATTCGCATAATCCTGTCTCCTAGCGTGCTCGTCCACCCTGGTGTCGACAGCTCTCTCAACATCTCCTGCAAGCCTCCAGGCTCAAAGAGTATCTCCAATCGCGTACTGCTTCTCGCTGCTCTCGGCTCTGGTCCTTGTCGCATCACCAACTTGCTACACTCTGATGACACCCAGGTCATGCTTACAGCTATCAACAAGCTTGGAGGAGCAACTTATTCCTGGGAAGATGAAGGCCGCGTCCTTGTCCTTACCGGAAACGGTGGTGAGCTGAAGGCTAGCGCTGACGAACTCTACTTGGGTAACGCCGGCACTGCTTCTCGCTTCTTGACCACTGCTGTCTCCCTTGCTAGGCCATCTTCTGTCAACCACACTGTTCTTACTGGCAACGCTCGTATGCAGGAAAGACCTCAAGGTCCCCTCGTTGATGCTCTTCGCTCCAATGGTGTCGAGATCGAGTACATTGGTAAGCCTGGAAGCCGCAGTCTTCCCCTTCGCATCGCTGCCGCTGGTGGTTTTGAGGGTGGTGTCATCGAGCTTACTGCCAAGGTGTCTTCGCAATATGTTTCATCCATCCTGATGTGCGCCCCTTACGCCAAGAACCCTGTGACTCTTCGTCTTGTTGGCGACAAGGTCATCTCGCAACCATACATTGACATGACCATCGCTATGATGGCTCAATTTGGTGTTGAGGTCGAGAGATCTAGCACTGAGGCCAATGTGTATCACGTTCCTCGCAAGGCATACACCAACCCTGCTGAATACGAGGTCGAGAGTGATGCCAGTTCTGCTACTTATCCTCTTGCCATGGCTGCCATCTCAGGCACTACCTGCACAGTCCCCAACATCGGCTCCAGCTCTCTTCAAGGAGACGCCCGCTTTGCTGTTGAGGTGCTACGACCAATGGGTTGCAAGGTCGAACAGTCTGCGACTTCTACCACAGTCACCGGTCCTCCTGTCGGCGAATTGAAGCCGTTGCCTGAAGTCGACATGGAAACCATGACTGACGCTTTCCTTACTGCTTCCGTCCTCGCTGCTGTTGCTAAACCTAATGCGAACGGCGCTACTACCCGTATCTTGGGTATCGCCAACCAGCGTGTCAAGGAGTGTAATCGTATCAAGGCGATGAAGGATGAGCTTGCCAAATTTGGTGTTACATGCAGAGAGCTTGACGATGGTATCGAGATTGATGGCCGCGGTTTTGATCTACAAGAGGCACAGGGTGGTGTCCACTGTTACGATGACCACAGAGTCGCCATGAGTTTCTCTGTCCTTTCTACCATGGCTCCCAAGCCCACCCTTGTCTTGGAAAGGGAGTGCGTTGGCAAGACTTGGCCTGGATGGTGGGACCAATTGTCTCTGCTTTTCAAGGTCAAGTTGGAAGGTGTTGAACCCAAATCTCCTTCTGTTGGCCACACAGTCTCCTCAAGCAACCAAAAGTCAATCTTCATCATTGGGATGAGGGGTGCTGGTAAGACCACTACAGGTGGATGGGCTTCCCGTCTGCTCAACTGGCCCCTGATTGATCTCGACACCGAGTTGGAGAGAACTGCTGGTATGACTATTCCCGATATCATCAAAGAGAAGGGCTGGGAGGGTTTCCGCGAGCTTGAACTCGCTCTCCTCAAGACCGTGATGAAGGAGAAGCCTACTGGATACATTTTTGCTACTGGTGGTGGTATCGTCGAGTCAGCCGAGGCTCGTGGTATTCTCACGTCTTACCACAAGAACGGCGGCAACGTGCTTCTGGTAACCAGAGACATCAACCTTGTCATGAATTTCTTGCAAATTGACAAGACACGCCCAGCTTATGTCGAAGACATGATGGGTGTGTGGCTCCGTAGAAAACCCTGGTACGAAGAGTGCAGCAACTTCCATTACCACAGCCAGACAGTTGAATCGATGGATGGCGCCAGGGCCAAGAACACAATCGAGGACTTTGGTAGCTTCTTGAGATTGCTCACTAATCGTGAGTGTGCTCTGGAGCGTATGAGGAGAAAGAGGGAGTCATTCTTCGTCTCGCTGACACTCCCGACCGTCGCCCCATTCTTGTCCCGCCTCAATGAGATCTCATTCGGAGTTGATGTTATCGAGTTCCGTGCAGACCTTCTGCAGGACCCATCTACACCTGATGGACGCCCTAGCCCAGAGTTTCTTGTCGAACAACTTGCGGCTCTGCGATCAGGCAGTTCCTTGCCTGTCATCTTCACTCTCCGCACCAAGGCGCAGAGTGGACGCTTCCCTGACGGCGCTGACGAAGAGGCAATCAAGCTCTACCGGGTCGCACTTCGCATGGGCTGTGACTTTGTCGATGTAGAGTTGACCTCGTCGCCGGAGCTTAAAGAGTTCGTCATCTCGAACAAGCGTAACAGCAAAATCATCGCATCCCATCATGATCCTGCTGGTAAGCTTTCTTGGGCTACCGGAGGCAGTGCATGGATGCCTCACTACAACGCTGCGCTGGAATACGGAGACATCATCAAGATCGTCGGTACTGCAAAGTCGTTGGAGGACAATTTCGCACTTGCAGAGTTCAAAGCTTGGGCTGCAAAGACTCACCCAGAAATTCCGCTCATTGCCCTTAACATGGGCGAGCACGGCAAGCTCAGTCGCATCACAAACCGCTTCATGACTCCTGTCTCGTCCCCTGCTCTTCCCGTCATTGCTGCTCCTGGCCAGCTTTCAGCTGCCGACATCCGTCGTGGTCTTAGCTTGATCGGCGAGATCGAACCCAAGAAGTTCTATCTCTTTGGTTCGCCTATTTCCCAAAGCCGAAGCCCTGCCCTTCACAACGCCCTCTTTGCACAATCGGGACTCCCGCACGAGTATGGCCTGTTCGAGACTACCGTGGCAAAGGAGATTGAGAAGCTGATTCGTGCCCCCAACTTTGGTGGTGGCAGTGTGACAATTCCACTCAAGCTAGATGTCATGGAATTGCTCGACCATGTTGACCCAGCCGCTAGAATCATTGGTGCCGTCAACACCATTGTACCTACTCAGACCGCCGACGCCAAGACCATCTTGACTGGCTACAACACAGACTGGCAGGGCATGACTATCGCGCTGCAGTTCGCTGGTGCCGAAGGTAACAATGGCGCACTGAAGGAGGCGGCTATGGTTATCGGAGGTGGCGGCACTGCACGCGCCGCCATCTATGCCTTGCACAAGATGGGCTACAGCCCTGTCTACCTGGTTGGCCGCAACACAGCCAAGCTGCAGGCACTGGCCGACGCTTTCGACGCTTTTTTCAATATCGAGGTCCTGAGTGATACTGAGCAAGTCTCCAAGCTGTCACCTGACAGACACCCTGTCGTGGCCATCGGTACCATTCCCGGTGACTCACCCATCGACCCTGCAATGCGCGAGACGCTATGCTCCTTGTTCGAGGCTGGCAACAACCCTCGGGACATCCCTGGACCCGATGACAAGACCAAGGTTCTTCTTGAGATGGCCTACAAGCCGCGCGTGACATCACTGATGCAGCTCGCTGACAACAGTGGTTGGAAAACCGTCCCCGGCCTTGAGGCTCTGGTCGGACAGGGCGTGCACCAGGTAAGTAATTGTTCTTATGAACCACCAGACGCGTCTGCTAACACTTCTATCANNCAGTTCAAACACTGGACCGACATCACCCCCCTGTACGATTTCTCCAGAAAGGCCGTGCTGGGTGATGAGGCGTAAGGGACCGACAAATTGATGGAGGATGATCTAGTGTAACATCATGGCCAAGTACCGTAGTTTTGACCAATGTCGAATCAAAAGCATTTCGTTCATTAGATTCCTCCTCTTCGGCGTGCACTACCTGCCCTCTATGCGACCATGAACTCCAAGCCCGTACACCTCTTCTTGGTCAGGAGTTTCAATACCTCTTTCTCGAAAACGTTGCCCATGGGGCCACCCTGTCGTTGTCTTAAGTCCTCATTTCCATCGTATCAATCCAGGTCAAACTTCACTTTCTTCATACCTGTGACTTCCTTGAGTGATCTATTTTGGATGTACCTTGATCCGGGAGCTCTGAATTCTTCTGCTTTCAATGCCCTTCGGCGCAAACCGTGTGCAATTTACTCGGCTGTCTATCAGGGTGAGACGGCCAATTTGTCTCGCCACACTCATCTCTTTCCTAGCATCGTAACAAAGTCCATGCTCTAATACGATAGGACGGTACCATGGAGACTCTATCAGAGGTTGGAAAGATGGAGGGTAGATTATTGAAATTTCAAGGAGGATACATCATTGACGACAGGGTCCCCTCCAAAAGACTGCTCTGGTTCGTAGGGTACCATGTGTTCTTGGACAACGCCAAACGTCACAGTAGATTGCCGAAGCAACATGTGTTCATTGAAAGGGTCGTATAGACGTTGATTCTGGTTGCATCGTTGCATATGTCAAGTAATTACTCCCTTAGAGGGACCAATTGTTCGCTTCCAATAGCGTTCATCCAATCATATCGGTCCAGTCGATTCTTTACCAGTTGGCTCTGTTCTTGAGCTTCTCGTTCTGGATAACCTCGATCCAATAGTTGTCGGGGTCTTTGTGGACCGTTAGTCTGGAATCAAGCATAGCGAGTTTTGTCAACCACTTACCGAGGATGAAGGCAACGTTCTTCATTCTACCGTCTGTCAAACGCTTTTTCCATGAGACGTTCATGTCCTCGAAGCGCTTGCAGGCAGCATCCAAGTCGTCGACAGAGACGCAGGTGTGGCCGACTGGGAGCATGTCAGTATAGGCCCAGGTATGGAGATGGAAACCATAGCTGGGAACGTACATNCCTTGTGGCTCATCGTTGCCATTGTGGTACTTGACACTGTCGTCGCTCTCGGAGCCGTGGTTCCATGTGAGCTCGAGGATACCCTCACGGTCAGCGATAGGGTTGACACCGTTTGCAGACTGCTCAGGGGCCTTGGGACCGTAGCTGAGGAAGTAAAGAGTGAAGCCAGCCTCCTTCTGCTCCGAGGTGCGCTGCAGGGTCATGCCCATGACTTCTTGGTAGAACCTGAGCGACTTTTCGGCGTCCTTGACTCTGATCATGGTGTGGTTCATGCGGTATGTGGCCACGTCTGACTTCTTGCCCTCGGTCTCGCTGACGGGGTTCTGGGAGATGATCTCGACCCAGTAGTTGTCGGGGTCAAGAGCGAAAGCGATGGAACGCATACGGCCGTCTTCGAGACGCTTCTGGAACGAGTAGCCGGCGTCAGAGATACGCTTGCAGGCGTCCTGGATGTTGTCGACGCTGATGCAGACATGGCCGAAACCGCGGTTCTCCTTGCCATTGCCGTTGTTGACTGTGTAGTTGTCGTCGTTTTCGGTTCCTGCTGTGAAGTTAGTCAGGTGGTCTTTGGTATGGACCCAGTTGAACTCGCCATAGTTGTGGGTCAACTCGATGAGGCCTTCACGGTCTGACCAGTGCTTGGCGTGGGAAACCGACTTGGGATCGTCGTAGGCCATGAAGTAGAGATCGAACTTGGCGTCGGGGTTCTCCAACTTGTTGATCATCTTCATGCCCAGGTGCTCATAGAACTTGACGGATCGCTGAGGNCTGTAGGGAACTTCTGTTAGCTCGAGTCTAGAAGAAAGAGGATGAGTGCTTACGTCCTTGACTCTCAGCATGCTGTGGTTGAACTTGTAGGTCGAGATGTCTGACATGGCGGCGGCGAGGGTACGAAACGATGTAAAGGCTCGTCTGGTGAGGAATGGTTGGACAATTGGATTGAACATGACTTTTCCGAGAGAGCGAACTGCNTGCTGCATGGCTGATGACGCACTGATAATAATACCCCGCACAGCCTTAGTAATAGGTAGCCATCCATCACCGTCGGCAAATCTTGTATCTATCCATGTTTGCTACACGTTCCATATACTCGGTTCAAGGACCAGCTCAGGGGCAGTAGACAAACATGTATTTCAGAGCGTCGTTGATTTCTTAACGTGCTGTCTTTCGAGCTGATCGTACGCGTGTATGCCAATGCAAGGCGAGGTAGTACTAATGTAATAACAGTGCCATGCTTCCCTCTTCAACTACGAGCTGTATTTCTGACCCTCGCTGCCCTTGGTGGGGCTACCGCTGCCGCTGCTTCTGGACCTGTCGCTAGGGCTGTCGCTCGACGAGGCGGCCGAGCCTTCGTGCCCTCCCTCTGTCGAACTTCTGGGCTTGCTGACTTCCTGGTTTGCAGGGCTGACGTTCAGAGGGTTTGATGCCTGTCCAAGCTTGCGAGTGGTTAGCTTCTGTTGCCTTGTGCCCTAGCGCCAATTTTCTCTCCTTGACACGATACAAAGGAAATCAACCCTAGAGACGCCTTGTCTTACCTCTGCGGACTCGCTGGCGGCCGAGTCGTGCTGTTCCTCGGGCGATGTCTTGTTGGGGTCGAAGGCCGTCTTCTCGACGCGAGCTGCCTCGTCGTCCGAGCCGCTCTTGCTGTACTCGTTGGGCTCAGGCTTGAGCGAGTCCTTGTCCTGAGCGTCCTTGCGTGCCTGGAGCTGGTGTGTGTATGACAAAGGTCTGCTGATGATTCTTGCNAAAGGGCGCTGGCTGAGCACACGAGGTTGCTGGGCCACAAGGCGGCGGCTGAGAGGTCCGGTAATCATGCTTGCTGACTTGTTGTGGTTTCAGAGAGGTCGGCGTGATTTGGAGTGGAGGAGCAAGAAGAGATCGACTCAGGTCATGCTCAATTCACTTTGTTGCTTAGCTCCGTCTTGACGTGCTTGTCCTTGTCTTCGAAAACGTCACCGGGGAAAGCTACACCACGAACGTCATTTTTATGCATCGGCCTCGAGGAAATTTATGCATACTTGTGCATATCCTCCTCCCAATATTACTTCTGTTGCACAAACAAGAACTCGCTATACGCTCCACACATGCTATTTCAGAAGCCCAACCAATCGACCTCCTTCGTTCAGTCGTTATCATCAACAACCACCTCTCGTTGTTCGGCCTCGAATCACCGTACCGAGAGGCTTGTCTTTAAAAGAACTTGTTGGTCGGATCGTCGGGCATCTGTGTATACTATTAGCTGCACCGCGACATCAATATACACCATGTCTCACTTACTTCGAACCCAGAGAGTTCTTGCTTGATTGTTTCGGCCATGATTTCCATCTTCCTGCGCTGGATGTGAAGAACGCTAGGTCGTTGCGTGCTACTGACTGTTGTTGACGCCTTTGATCCAACAGATGTTCCGAGCATCGTGTCAGCGCCGTCACATGCGCTCGAGTCCTCGGCGGGATATCGTGCATCGCCAGGCGCCTCTGCTGTCACTTTGAGCTCGCGTTTCCTTCCTGGTGGTACTCCACCTTCGAGTACCAATAGCAACTTGGGCTGCAGGTATTTGACAATCAGGTTCCGATTGTCGAACTCGACGGTGAGCGTTTCTAAAGCGTCTGGTCGGACCACACGTTTTGATGGCTCGTTGGGGCCACCTTGACTGTACTGCGGTTCAAATCTCTCATTGTCTTTGCGCTCTAGGTGTTCTTTCCAGGATATCGATACTAGAGCAACTTGGTCACGAAGCTCTTTCATGTTGGCAGGCAAGGTGTATGCCATTAGTGATCCGTTAGGAGTCATGATGNNCTGCACCAAGTCAGCGCCTGGCTAGATTGAACGTGATGAACATCAGTAGCCTTACAACCACCGTACGAAGACCTTGTGGTCGACGTTTTCGGTTAGTAGCTTGTTGAGGGCTCGTACGTTCAACATGATATCGACTCTCTAAATTCTGAGAATCTGCTATCAGATGGTCAGCTCCTGGCCACATATGACGAAGAAGAGTTCAGGCCACTCTTTTTGCATGATTGGGAATTCTGAAAGATAGAAGCAAATCGTACCTCTTCAGATATGCGTATTCTCGGTACTGGGATTGTGGAGGGCTCGGATGATGGTGGATGAGATTGGGTCGAGTAGTGAGTGGAGATTGACGGGCAAGTGAGTGGAAGGCACAAGGAGCATGTCGATGCTGGATTGGGTTAATTGTAGACGGCGAAAGACAATTGCAACAAGTTGTTCGTCAGACTAGTGGTGCGGCAGACAGCAGATAGATAATGCGGCAGGTTGGTATTGTAGGTAGGCGATACGAAGCCACAAACTTCGGCCGTGCGCGCGTGGTCGATCGTCACAGCCATCTTTCTCTCCTGCTCCACATACACAACACAAGGGTTTGGTCACTACAACTGTCGCAACATGGCCGCCTTGACATGCACACTGGCCGGAAGCACGGGCTTGGTTGTGAGTGCCAGTACAAGCAGACTAGACAAGTGCACAGTGCCGTATTGAAGAGCTGCTAAACTGTCATCAAGGNGCGGCAACATCTACTCGATCCTATCGTCGCACCCCGCGCTCTCGAGCCTCTATGCATACGCTCGCAAAGACCTGCCCACCACTTCTGCCAAAGTCCACCCGCTCGTCTCGTCTGACTCGTCGACTTGGGCCTCGCTCTATCCGCAAGCTTCATCCATCTTCTTCTCTGCCTTGGGAACTACTCGCGGTGCTGCTGGAAGCGTAGCGAACCAGCGCAAGATCGACTATGACCTGAATCTCGAGCTCGCAAAGAAAGCAAAGGAAAACGGTGCTACGACCTATGTTCTGATCTCTAGCCAAGGAGCCAATGCCACCAGCTTCCTGGCATACCCAAGAATGAAGGGTGAACTGGAAGAAGCCGTCAAGCAGCTGGGTTTTGAACACACTGTCATTCTGCGTCCTGGCTTGATCGTCGGTCAGAGGGAGGACTCGAGACCTCCAGAGTTCGCTATACGTAAGATCGCTGGCTTGGCTGGCAAGATCAGCGAACCATGGCTCAAGGACTTCTGGGCTCAAGACGCCGATGTGATTGCCAAAGCTGCCATATCCGCTGCCTTACAGTGTCACGAAGCCAAGGCACAGCAAAAAGTCTGGATCATCGGTCAAAGCGACATCATCCGCATGGGCAAAACCGAATGGAACCGCGCCTAAACACCTGCGCACGATTTCATTACCAACTTGCGAAGCGGAGTCTTTTGTGGCAACACCAAATTGATAATGAGTAGCTATACCCAACACCTAATATGCTTTTCTCTCCATGCATGACTTTGCGCCAGTACAGAATGTTATTGTCTCCGCCTTTCGTTGGTCGTACGACCGAGCCACCTAATAGTCTAGTGTTGTCTTGATGGCATCGTAGATACCTAGTGGTCGTTAGCTCATAATACATCACCACACATTACAGCATGCGCTTACGTGTCACGTCCGGGATGTTGAATCGCTATAGCAGTCAGCTTTTCGATGATCGAAGATGAAATGCTAATCGACTTACCTCATAGATGAGACCCATGTGTGTGCTCCATCCCCCGACTCTCGCAATCGGGGCTTCTAGACTGAGGAAGCATGTCTCTTGAATCGTTGCTGCCACTTCGGCGCCAACTCCAGAGTTGGTCATGCTTTCGTGAACCACTATGGCCTTTCCGGTTCGCTTCACGCTCTCAATAATCGTAGCCCGATCCCAAGGGTAGATTGTCCGAAGATCGATGAGCTCAATCTGGCAACCAAAGTCTGCTTCTGCCTTTTCAATTGCATTTGAGCATGTGTACAATGGGGTCCCGTAGCTGATGATCGTGATGTCTTTTCCAGGCTTGACGATCTCTGCTTTGCTCAAAGGGATCTCATATGCCTCGGCAGGTACGTATTCGACTGCTGCACGGTAAAGTATTTTCGGCTCCATGAATACGACAGGATCATTGCTTGCAATTGCTGCGAGCAGCAGACCTTTGGCCTGTGCGGGTCCACGAGGCATCACCACACGCAGTCCAGGTATGTGTGTGAAAAGCGACTCTGGTGACTGAGAATGGTATCTGCGACTATTAGTATACTCGGCGCCTTGTCTGCTATGGATATACTTGCAGAGCACCTACTCGGTTAGCTCGTGATGTCAATCTCTACATGGTTGGCATGACTTACCATGTCCTACACCTCCACAAGGCATGCGCACCACAAGACCTCCACAGCTCTGTCCTTGAGCATTCATACCAGCTCTGAATCTAGCCTTTGCTGCTTCATTGACCAACTGATCAAAGGCAGGATATACGTAATCGGCGAACTGCACTTCAGCAACAGGCCGCATGCCTTCAAAGGCCGCTCCTATAGCAAAGCCCACGATGCCTTGTTCGGTCAAGGGTGTGTTGAAGACTCTGTCGTCTCCAAACTCAGAGGCCAGATTCATGCTANNTGACAAACTTCAGCCAAACGTACAAAAACCATGCAGTGAAACAGTTTGTTACCTGCAGCGAAACACCCCTCCAAAAGCCACATCTTCTCCGAATAGCAAAACACGAGGATCCGTTCGAAGCGCATATGAAAGTGCAGAGTTGATGGCTTGGAAAAGATTCAACCGCGTCGCAGTACCACTTTTCGCTTCGGAGGATAACTCATTGCTGGCTAATGCGGACTTGGAATTGTGATTGAGCAGGGCGGTTGCATCGAAATCCGTGGGAGTGTTTAGTCGTGCTTTGGGTGGTAGAGTAGAGTACAAGCGCGACCTTTGGGACTTAGTGATCGAGATCCAGTTGGATCGCATCACTGTTCTTGTTGACATGTTGCAATTGAATGTTAAAGATGGAGAACATCATTGCCATCAAGGTAGACGGGGTCGCAGGCCTCCCTGTCCACGGCTATGGGGGTGCGGGGTCGGTCTCATACAACGCGCCCTACGAAATAATTCTTAGAGCACATAAATATAGTTGCACATAAATCGTATCAAGGTCAAGTTTCGAGCTCCTACACAGGATGGCACCGTCATTTGAAGCTAGAACCACTGTCGTCGTGGGAGCATTGGCCCTTGTAGGACATCTCTACCGGCCTCTGATTTATTGCGTCTTTGACAACAACAGTGGACTCGATGATTCCTGGAGAGCCATGTCCCTTGAATCATCTCACTATAGAGTTTCGTACTCGAGTATCAAACAACACGTATTCCCTATTACAACGGATATATAAGCTTTGTAAAGACTTGATACATATACATCTGTAAAGTGAAGACATTGAAACGCCGCTATGCTTGTGAAACCGGCGGTAAGGAAACAAGGGAACAGATAATGAAAAGAACAACTTCCTCCTTATCAACTTTTAACGATCACCCTGGTTCAACAAAGGAGTGCTGTCGCCGCTGCGGCTCTTGACAGAGTCGCCCTTGTTGCGGAATTTCTTGCCGGCGCGCTTCTTCTTCTTCTTCTTTTGGTGCCTTTCGAANTCATCGTGACCTGCATCATCGTGGCCAGCGTCATCTTGGTCCTCATCGTGGCCACGTTTGTCATTCGCGCCGTCACTACCGTCAGCGCCCTTTTGTTCATCTCCATCGGACGAGCTGTTGGCTTCCAGGACAACCTTCTTCATACCGTTCACGTCGACAATGTTCTCAGTGATGCTTCCGGATCGCACGGCACGACGAGATCTGATTCCAGGTCGGTCTTCCATTTCTCCTAACGTGGAGTGTGACGATCCCGAACCTCTTCTGTCCCGAGAAATGGGGCGAGAAGTGCCTCCTTGCACGACCAGCTTTTGAGGCAAGTCAGGTTGTTCTTGCTCGGAAGAATTGTGGGTACCGTTCCGCTGCTTGTTCTGCTGCTCCTGCTCATGTTCATCGTTTTCCTTGGATCCAAGCTTTGCTGCAGTGTGACTATCAGCAAAAGCAGAGGCTTCGCTAGCGGTCATAGGCTTGGGCGAAGACAAGTTGTGCTCGGCCTGCACCTCAGATTCTTCATGGATTGAAGGGTTCTTGGAACCAGGCGAGATTGTACCATATCCATGAGCGACGGCGTGTGCTCCGTCTTGAGCGTCAAGAGCAGCTGAGCCGACAAGGCCGGCACCGATGCCGCCTTCAGGCCTAGATGAATCACCGTTGATGACCGTCTGGGGAGTGCCTGCCTGACTAGACTCTGCTTCTTGAATTGAGGCAGGGGTGGGTACATGGTTTTCAGGAATGGTTCCTACACCGGGTTTGATCTTGACAGAAGTGTATTTGGTGGCCTTTGGACGGCTTGCAACGTTGCTTGGGCCAAGATGTTTCAGGTGCTGGCGCAGGTCGGCAGTGTTTGATCGGAGAGGCAATGGTCGATTCTTGTCGCTGCTTGTGCTACTACGTCTGCGTAGCAGAAGAGTAGCCTCGCGAGAGCCGGTCAGCGAGGACTTGCGGCTCTGACTGCTTGAATCCTTGGGCCCAAGCAGATGAGTACGCTCGTCAATATCGGTACCATCGTCGGTGGCAGGGGTATCTACAACGAGATTGCCCTTGGTGTATCTGGTGCGCGGTGCCGGGGCCATGCGTCTTATCGCCTTGTGCACATCGATAAAAACATCCGACTCGTCAATGATTTCCNNCTGCATCTTGTTAGTGGCCGATAGCACGTAGGTAGCAGACATTACTCACTCTCCGATAAGTTCCTCGATAACGTCTTCCAGAGTAACAACACCGAGAGCACCTTTGTCTTGACCAGGGAAGTCCGATACGAGGACCATATGTGACTTGCCCTCCTGGAAGAAGTTGACAATGTCCAAACAGCTTGTTTCGGGCTTGGTCTCGGGGAGGGTAGCAAGAGCGAAATCACGAACGCGCAGGCTGTCTTCAGGATCGTAGGTGATGAGAATCTTGACGAGCAGCATGCCGATGAAGTTACGGGTGTTATCAGGTGCATAGATGGGGATTCTGGAGTAGCCCTGGGACAGGATGGTGTCCATCATCTTCTCGTCCAAGACTGTGTCAGCCGACATGGTGAAGACGTCGCCCATGGGGGTCATGATATCGCCGACAGGCTTGTCCTTGAGGTCAAGAACGGCGCTGATGATGGTGACTTCGTCTTCGTTTAGGCGATCGGACGGGGTAGTGCCTAGAGTCTTGTGGAGAGTGACGAGCGTCTTGAGGCCTGCCTTCTTGTAGACAGTACCATGGTCCTCGCCGAGCAACCAGTCCAAGAGTTTGGCAGTGGGCCAGGCCACCGGGGCCATGAGCCACATGAGACCTAGGACGAGGGGAGACATGGCGGCGCCAATGGGAAGACCGAAACGGACACAGATGGATTGAGGAACGACCTCGCCGAAGATGACTGCGGCGTGTTAGCGTCTGTGTGCAAGGGAGTCGTACGGAAAAGGCGGGTAGATACCAATGAGGATGGTACTGCTCAGCACAGCAGGCCAGCCACCACCCAGCGAGCGGTCCAGCACGATGGGCAGGGTTTCGTTGGTGATGACATTGCTGAGCAGCAGCGTGACGAGGACCCAATGCTTGCCCTTCTTCAGCAGGCGCAGAACCCTGGCAGCACTCTTCTTCTCGCTTCCCTCACCCGAGGTAGCAATGACCTGCAGGTAGATCTCGTCCTGGCCCATGAGTGCAATCGTCAGGCCGGCAAAGACTCCACCCAGGAGCACGAGGGCAATGGCAACACCCAGATAGACCCATAGCTGGGGGTCTTCTGGCGACTTGGGCTCGGGCTCTTCGCGTCTGTAGACGGGCGAGTCGGACTTGGAGAACAGCGGAGCAGCGTACGATAGAGGTAGGTTGATGAGAGCGACTCCGAGAAGCTTGACGACCGACAGAGCTGCCGGGGTCATGACGCCTGCACGCCTGGGGGCGCAGCAGCTGTCGGGATGCCATGCGCCAGAGACATGGAGAGCTGCTAGCAAGCAAGAGGGTGGTTGGGCACGAGAGCGAATGCTGTGCTGGCGCCGCTCAGATGCAGTCTCAGTCTCAGCAGAAAGACTGTCGAATGTCGAAGCGGCTTGGCACACGCTTCAACTTTGGACAAAAATCAGGCTATGACGATTGATTGCCCTACGAGTCAGGCCCGTGACAACCAGTGACAGCCGCGCCTCGAGTTGCTGCCATCATTTCCCATGACCATCTCACATCTCTGCAGATACCGCACTCTTTGTTGCTCACCCTTGAAAGAGTGCTCAAGCCTTTCAATCAAGACTACTGTTTCCCAAAGCGTATACATGCTTTTCACTACGCATCCCGTCAGACTTCAGTCATGCCCCATCAGCGTGACAGATGCTCAAACCAATTGTAGCTCCAACATCACTCCGAGCAACCGTATCTTCCGGCTCGCATCTCAGAATGCTGCACCATTCCCTGACCGTGAGTATGCTTGACATTGCGCATGTACATTTCAAGTATCGGTAGCAGGGACAGTGCCCTAGTCACAAAAGCAGTGAAGCAACAAACACCAGCTCTTTGCGCGATTGAACAGGCTACACTACGACACGCGCCACCATTAAGCAAAGGCCCCCTGCCTCAAGGCTTCAAAGACATCGTCAGTTGGACAACTGGCCCACGTGAATGTCTGAGAAGTCGATTCCACTCATGTCAATTGAAGGCAAGACACGAACGTAATCATCGTGCCCATTGTGCGTTTGATACGAGCATGCTGTATCTCGCTCGAAAGTGCACATCGCACGCTCCCGTCCCAGGCACAGGTCATCTGCTTGTCATATAAAGTAGGCGCCATTATTCCCAGCCGAGAACAGTCTAGGATCCCTCCCCCCGGAAACCCTTGTTGGTTATCATGTATCAGCGTGGAACGGTTTGCCGTACGCGCGTGACCGGTAGGCGGTGGACTAGTGGCGCTGTTCTCACAGTCCCGACACGGCTATAGGCGGCAGATATGGACGAATCTCAGCCTAAAGCCATATCAGGTCCACATAATATTAGTCCGGAGGCTTGGAGATCACCATGCCAGCTGAGTATGCATTGCTTGAGAGACAATATAACAATCTACGAAGAGGGGAGACAAACGTCGCGAGAAAACGCATCGTTCGAGGAGCTTGTTTGATAAAACGCGATGAGCCTCGGGCCAGAAAGCAGCGGCCCGAGTCTGATCCTATCGGAACGATGGCCGATCTTGCCCTCCGTGCCCTATTCCCCAGCACGTTTGCGGTTGTCCATCTTGAAGCCTGTTGCTGACAGTCTTCGTCAAAATGCGCACAGGTGCCGGAGGCATGAATACTTTGGCAAGTATATAGAGACAGGCAAACCTAGAATCCGCACTGTACCCATACACAACGTTCGAAGAGACCCTTGCCAGATTGATAAGCTCGAGAAGCTGAGCTGCTGACCGGAGTCGTCATGAAAACGGAGGCTACCCCTCATACCATTTTCAGCCTAAGGGTCTAAAGACTGTATAAACGTTAAATCGGAATCTCCAAAGAGTCACTCAGGTATGCTTGCCGGGTCAAGGGGATGCGGCGTTCTTGCCGTCAGCAACCACAACCTGAGATCTTATATTGTGTCGGCGTTTGGCACGCCCCGGGTTTGAAGGGTCTGACAAGCGTCTTCTCCAAAGCTACCCACACACCGGGAAGAGTCATGAGGATGCTGGCGCGGAGCAGACCGGGTTGCACATCTGACTGACATGTGGACGACCAAATCTCTGAGATAGATCCAGGCATTAGGTATGCGACTCGGTCAAATATGTGATTGTAAAACGCACATAGATACATACGGCATCTAGGTCTTTCATCTCTGATAGTAGACAAAGGCCAGCCCCGTAAGATGGTCTAGACATCGGAATCGACGAGTCAAGACAAGATCAGACAGGCGGAGTTGGATTTTCCCCTTGGCATCTCGCATCTCAGAGAAAGGCCGCAATACAGACCGCCGCAAAGACACCGGTAATGAACAGACTTTTTGGCGTTCAAAACCTTGCCTCAGTTTTCGTGGGCCCGCTCTCACCAATGGTCAAACCCAAGCCTGCCATGAGGGCGTGAAGTAGGAGTCACAGCCACGGGCGCAACACGTGGATTCTTTGTGGCTCCAACGGCGCCGTCAAATCTGCGACGTACCAACAACAGTCTTATCGACTGCCGATACTGACAATAGACAGGTAAAGTCGCACCTAACAGTCACATTTGTTGTAGCTGGGCATCAATAGGTTCCGGAGCAGCGCACGCCGTGAGCAGACGAGATCTGACTGTGCAAGTCATCAACAATAGACGTCGAGTCATGAAGTAAGGGTCTCGGGCGTGTCTCCAAAGCTGCAGTATATGTCCCACCGACAAGCTGCATGCAAGAACCCCCTAAAATGGCGATCGGGTCGTTCTTGGATTCTGGAAGATGCCCAGGACGGCCAACACTTCTAGCGCCAGATGAGCAGACGCGTCTGGAGAGAAAAGCGAACTGTGTAACAAAGGAAATGCGGCGTGACCAGCCAACGCACGAGTGTGAATGAAACCAAAGCCAGGAGCAGGCAGTCCATCGGCCAGCAAATCGGTCACCAGTCAAGACCCCAGAGTGTAGCATTCTTCAAGCGGTCGTCTGTCTGGAGGACGTGGTCCCGAACAGGCATGCCGGTACAAAGATTCCGAACGAACCGAGGCGTGATGTTGTTTTTTTGCGAGGGCCCGAAGTGCCACCTTGCGGGTTAGCTCAGCGCCAGGTGATCTAGCGGGAGCCACGAAAGGAAGAGTGTTTCTTGACGACGAAAGCACGGGAGATTGGTTAAGTAAGTCGGCCTCCCACCTTTTGTCCCTTTCGTCGTCGCCCCCAGAACGCGCCCACGTAACCAGACACCGCCCCCGCACCACTGGAACAGATTCAATCACCTCAGGTCGCCGTCGCTCACTACTCTTTTCTCGACACTGCTCTAGATGCTGTCGCAGAAATCAATTGCGCTACCCATATATCCGGCTCCTTCCACATCCGGACCCTTCCTGTTCTGGCGATCCGCCTGACGCAACACATCGTCCGCAAACAGAGCGCCCCCAGAGCCTCCACATTCTTGCATAGACCTCGCCTTTTCGCTCACTTCTCACCTTGCCCAGCAGCACTCGCTGCCCTGTGATTTCCGCCATGCCTTTCCGACCCCAACACTCGTTAGTCATGATTGACGTCGACAAGATGCATACCATCGATACTCGTTCCGTTGAGGACCTCTTTGGAATGTGGTCAGGTACTTATGCCACCCAGTATTCATTACCCGTCGATTATTGCTGACACGACTGCANNGTTTTTAACAAAATCTCAGACGCAATGGAGGATGGCAAGCGTTTGGAAAACCTCAGCTGGCGTCTATGGAACCGCGAGACGTTTGTGTGTTCCCGCATGCCGCGCGCGCGGAAAAGCATTCCTCTACCCGCCCTGTCAAGCAGCGTTTCGTCGACGGACGAGTCGGACGAAGAAGACGTGTCGTCACTGCTGCCTTCCCCCGTTGTCAGACCCGAGTTGAGAAGGAGCGAGTCCTCGGAGCACCGTAGCCGAGGCCGCCAGCAAAATCACATCACCCCCATCGACCTCGAGAAGATGGTCATCTCCATCAAGGAAAAGAAAAGCCTTGAACCGCTATCCGCATTATCCATGCCTTCGCCTGCCATGCCGAGCCCGCCGCCTTCCGACGACCGCCAAAGTCAAACACCTACCGCCACGAAACAAACCACATCTGGATCGGCACTTGCACCTGCGCCCACGCCGGCACCTGCACCTGCATTAGTCTCCCAAAAACCTGTCGCCACTCCTATCCCTACTATCACCGCGCCTACCCATCTGGAATCGTCTACCTCCACCGTCAGCAGCAACGACTCCCAGGCTATCGCATCGTCCTCCGAAAGTTCATCCACCGAGATGAGCACTCACAACATTGTGCGAGGTTTCAGACCTGAAGTACCTTCATCCTACCGCTCGCAAACAAACCTTGCCGCAACCCAACCGACACCCATTCTCAAGACCTCGCCTCAATATCGCCCCGATCGCCTCAATCGTCCCAAGAAGGGCGCGACCTTTACCCTCGGCGCTTCTTCTGGCGAAGAGGAGAGCTCTCTTGACAGCCACATGGGACGCAACAGTGTCGGCTCCTTGTCGACTGGTATGCCACAACCGCCAAAGAAGCACGCATCCTTCAGGGACATTATACAAGACAGAGCCATCACCGACAGCCCTGTCTTCGAGGAGTCTGACGATGAGGATGACGACGATGCTTTCGAGAGTGTCATCGAGGAGGACGAAGACTCGTCTGATTGGGAGGACGACGATGTCGGCGAGAGCGGTAACTCTTCAGCAGATGAAACCAAGAGCATGTTCCGTCGGGTGGACTCGCAGCCCAACCTTACCTCACGTCGCTCTATGCTAACCACTATGATGCACGAACCGGATCGCGCTCGCGCCATGGCAAGCGCTGCGTCGCGTTCTACCCCTGCTCTCCGCCGTTCGCGTGGTGCTTCGCCTAACGGACCCTCAGCTACTCCATCACCACATCGTCGCGAGGTCGAGCGTGCTGGTCCGGACTACACCTCGCACCCTTCGCAACTCTCCCAACAAGCTTCAGAGGCCTCAGAGTCTTCGCAACCACGACCTATAATTATGACCACCTCAAACACTCATCAACCTGCTCTTTCACCGCGAACCACTAGACGGAACATGCTCTCCACCGAATTGACGGAGTCGCTGCGCAAGAACCTCCTCTGGGAACGCCAACACAAGAGTTCCAACAACCTAGCCGCCATGAAGCGCAGACACACCTCTCACGACATTAAGAATCTCAAACAGCACCCCGAGCCACAAATGGTCATGTCTGTTAAGGAGAACGATAAGAAGAAGTTCTCAAACGAATACTTCAACCAGGGACTCCAGGAGTACCATGCCAAAGGCTGGTGAAAACGTCCCTCTCTGATCAGGCTTTACTTGTTTCCTTGCTACTGCATTTTAGCGACATGCATTGTTTCTACTCTCTTCTTTTTTCTGCATCAGCGAGCCGGCATCGCGTGGGTGTTCTGGACCTCATTTTTTCTTCTGCGATTACGGCATTATTTTCTAGCGGTTGCCAACAGAAAAGAATTGTTTTTCGATACCAAAGTATGGTTCTCCTTTTGTATTCCTTTCTTGCCTGCTTTATAATGCTTGATGTCCAGTCTTCACAACCAGACTGCTTACTTTGCTCTCGGCCCGACTGTTGTCAGGAGGCGCGCGCGTTCGTAGGCAGTGGCCGAGCTGATACCAGACATCGTTGTACGATATATACATAGGTTCTACCTTCGTGNAGGAAGGGCCGATGGGCCGATGAAATTCAAAAACACGATAANAATGCAAAGTGCTTTCCGTCCTTGTGATTACGGTATTGGAGTTGCGCCATTGTTGGCGGCACTGCCGATTGTTGTGTCAGATGCGAAGCAGTGTGCGACTCCAACCGATGTACCTTTTCACCGCTTCTTCTATTNCCACTATGAATAGAGTGGATGCAGGTCTTGAGGGCAGACGTCTCTGACCTTCGGCTTGTGTCGACCGTGCAATAATACAAATCACTCAATGCAAGCTCTCCATTCTCGTCAAACATGTGGATGCGGGTTTCGAACTAAGCTGTGGAGACTCTGGAGGAGCGCACCGGAACTGCTGTTATGACGTGGGTTACAAACATTGAAAAGATCTCGTCGAGTCTGGGTTCAACGGCTTGTTCTGTTTCTATCAATGGTTCATGCTGCACAGTAGCTTCGATGTGTCTGTAAAGCAGAACGGAACCCTCGGGATGAACCTCAAACCATATTTTCACGTTGTCATACTCGGTCTTTCTCGATGTCGATGTTTGTGGAAGGATCGCAGATAGGAGAAAGGTGGTCGTTGAGTTTCAGCCACGTCCCACTCCATATAACTGGCATGATTGATGTGTGCAGCTGCCTATACTAGAAATTTGCTCATGCAGGATTGCCCTTTCAAGTTACGGTGTTACTGTGGAAAGTAGGATAGAGAACAGGCGATGTGATTCGTCAGGCGTGACTCATGGGAATTGGAGAATGACAGCATTCTACCCGTCATCACATGTGAAAACCAAAGCTGTGCGTGCGCTTCCATACGACGACAAATTCACTCGACCTTGTACGAAGAGGTTAGAGGCACGTTCAGAGTACAAGGCGTGATCAGGCTTCACGAGTGTATCATCTACGACACGATCTTCAGCACAATCCTCGTTCACGAAAAGCAGCAGCAGAGCACGACAATGGAGCCACCTTCGGCTGCAGTGCAAGGGGGCAGGAAACGGGTGAGTTCGAATCGGACCTTCATGTGCTGGCACTCCAACAGAACCACGACACTACCGAAGTGGTCATCTGCTCACGATTTCCGTAGATGTGGTGCTGGCAAGTGAACCTCAAACTGGGGTAAACAATGCACTTAAACCACCACATGCAAGCCAGAAGAAGAAACAAGTCTGTCGATACTTCCAGNCTCGAAGAAAGGTAATCAAAATGAACATGTTCTTTCCTCAGAGTTCTTCTAGGCCGAGTCGTTGCTTTCGTCAACGTGCTACCACAGTCCGCTGCTTGACGAAAGGTACCCACGCCTAGTTCATGGATACGGAGGATCCACTTGATTTGACGTCCGCTCATGAACTTCGCATATCACTTGCTTACCACATCGTAGGCTGTAAGGCAGGTACCGAATGTTCCTTTGCGCATGTCCAACAATCTGAGCCAAGAACCTCTGGGACCAAACCTCGAGCTCCCAAGCAGAAAGCTGGAAGAATAGATGACAGTGATGCTGCTACTCCCAAACGTCAATATGAGGCTCGGATTGATCGCTCCAAAGTGGTCAGTAGGCCAACCCCCAAGACAGAGAAGGAGGACCCACGGGTATTTCAGATGGGTCAACTTCGTCGTCGTTTTGCTCCCACAGAAGAATCTCTTCCGGATGCCGCCCTTCTCAAGTTGAAACTTGCTCCCAGCGATCCTGACTTTCCGTTTGATCTTCCCTTCCTGGAATGCTCTCTCACTATACCATCGCTGTATCCGGGAGCCAAGCCAAGTCTGCGTATCACCAACTCGGAGATGCCACGCGGGTTCCAGCTCAACGTCGAACGTGGATTTGACCAAATCGTCGCTGATTCGCCAAACGCGACGCTTCTCGGAGCATTTAATCGTCTGGACAAGAATCTCGAGACCTTGCTTTCCGGCGACAAGGCGGATACAGTAAAGATCGTACGGAATGCACCCAGAGTTGTTGAACCTCAAACAAAACTTCCTCCTGCTGTCCAGACACCCAAATCGCAGCAGGCAGTGACTTCTCGCAGTGTAGAAGCCACCCCATATTTCACCGCCGAACAAAAGCTACAGGCAGAAACAAAACGTCAGTCCGATATCAGACAGCTTGTGGCTAGATTGGGCCGACTGCCAGGCTTCATACAGTCTTCGGACGATATCTCATTCACTATCCCGTTTCAACCTACAAAGAAGATGATGTTGCCCGAAGCTCTGCGGAACCAGAAATCGGTTCGTCTAGTTGTGCCTCAGCTTTACAACCTACATCTACCCCGAATTGAAGTCAACGGCAATCACGATCCTGCAGCAAGAACCCTCGAAGAGTCGTTCCAACAAAGAGCCCGAAGTGAGACTGGACTGAACTTACTCGCACATATCAACTACCTTACTCAGCACGCACACACCATGTCCATATTCAGGGAGTCATCCAGCGTACCCGAGGTTCAAGAGACACCTCAAGAAGTATCCAAAGCAGACATCATTGTCCCTGTTTCGGCTCCACCAAGCGGTGCTGTCGCAAACCAAGATTCTGACAAAGCTCACATTCGTGTTATTCCAAGACCTCCGGAATGGAACACCGACGGTCCAGATGGTTGGAGCAGTGACGATTCTTACTCATACGACAGTGGAGATGAAACAGAAGAGGAGGATAGTGAGCAACCAGAACAACCAGAGCAACCACCTGCCAGTATGTCAGGGCTCGCGGAACGAGGCATTATGTTGTCGTTCCCCAATCTAGAGTTGTACGGCTGTGAACTCCTGGAGCTTGTCTCACTGAGTATCACAGTCAAGTGCGAGCGTTGCAAAGACTTGCTTGACGTCCAGCGTCTGAGAAACAATACCAAGGGAGATGTGACTGGGATGCGCGACGAAATTTGCAAAAAATGCGCGAACAGTCTCGCAATTGGTAAGGAGATATAACTAAAATTGTTTCCTCGAGAATGACTGACAGTGNTAGGATTCCGCGCGGACCTGATCCATCAAAACTCTGTGAGAGCCGGATATCTGGATCTCGATGGTTGCACAGTAGTTGACATGCTTCCAAGGCAAGTTCGCCGTGTAATACGAGTGTTCCAACGTGACTAACTGTTCTGCAGCAATTTCATCCCAACCTGCTCAGAGTGTTCCACATCCTACCCAGCTCCAGGTGTTGTTGGAGTTCGCGGAGACTCAATCTTAGCAATTTGTAGAGAATGCCATCGAAAGATGAGTTTCCGCATCCCAGAGACCAAGTTCTTACATGTCAGCGCCGCTTCAGGTATGTCACAACCTCTGATGCTTCAATGGCTTGTAGCTGACATATTGCAGNTCCGAGCAAGCCGTGCTCCCGTACGCAGAAAGGTCAAAGAATCCCTGGGCATAGTCGCCGGGCAGGAGTTACCAAGACGCGGTCGTTGCACGCACTATGCAAAATCGTACCGATGGTTCAGGTATGCGTACCTGTCTCTTCTGGCACATCATTCTCTGGACCATGCTGACACCCAACGTAGATTCTCATGCTGCAGCAAGGTTTACCCTTGTGATGTAGGTTAAACAGATCACAATGATAGAGGGCATGACTGATCCCTCGCAGNNAGATGCCATGACGAGAAGGAGAGCCATCCAAACGAACACGCTAATCGTATGATCTGTGGCTATTGTTCGAGAGAACAAAATTATAGACCGGTTCGTGCCAGGAACTTTTTCCTATACAAGAAACGTGCTAACTGTACGCTTCCCCTTTAGGACGACTGCCACTTCTGCCGCTCCAGCCTCATTGCGAGAGTTGGTCATGGGTTCTGGGAAGGAGGCAAAGGTAAGATCAAATCCTCCACTCTCTTCCATCATCACATCCTTGATTCGCGCATCAACTATTCCCCTTACCAATCGTCGATGCGAAAAAACTGGCAGCTGTTTGTTCGCATCGGGCATGACGTCCTCCCTGGCAGTCAGTGGCAGATGACCACGACTCCACGCAACCCCACGAGCTCCAACTTTCCCCGCGCGCCGGTGTGAAAGCCTAAATCGTGTACCTTTGTACACGCTGCTTCTAGCGTCTCATGCCATTCTGCCCAGCTGGGACCTGCAGGAATTTACCTCCGCGTCTAGGCGAGACACCAAAAACATTGATCATGGGGGCTGACGTGTGACCAGGTACTCGGGACAAGACTCGGATGAGCAGAAAAGGCAAGTACAACCAATCTCGTGTCCTGGCGCTTGGCAATACCATGGACTCGCCTCGAGACGCGTGACCTTGACAGAAATGCTAACGGCTTTTGACTCTCAGACCCTCGTAAGTACAAGCGAAGACCTGGTACCAAAGTTGGTGGCAGCTAGGAGAGAAGGACGAGATCAGCACTCGGCGTTTGATGGACTTGGTAACCCACGCTAAGTAACAAAGCATCGGTGTACTCTCAGTCAAAAGGATCATGATCACGGACATGATGCGCTGATTTGCTGGTATTGGTTGGCAACGATATTGACACTACTCACTCGTTTCCAACGCGAGTAACCGACGTGAGTAGGGAAGCTCCCATACAGCACAGCAACGTATCACGTCTTCTTCAATCTTCCCTTGAGAGAGAGCCTGACTCGGCATACGTGACACTGACTACTTAGTGTGACGTACGTCTTGTTGCACAAACCCTGAGTATGATGTGATGTCTAGCTGTAGGACCACCCTGAACTATACTTGTCGGGCTCGACTTTGATTGTGAACAAGGGAACCATGGAATACAACCTTGCAAGTCTTCTCTAGAAACCCTTCACATGTCTTTCCAATCTATCATGCTAATTTCAGATGGCCAGTTCAGCTCATCTTTTGTTCCAGGCTTGTAACAATGGTAGTAAATGGTTTCTTCGACCGCCTAGACCTGCAATCGATCTACTTGGAGGCCGACTCTTCGCCCCTCTCATCATACAACATTTTGTTCTTCTTCCTCTTTCTCACCTTCCAGCCAAATCTCATGTCCGTCCCCATCCTTGACAAAAAGTCCTGCTACGGCACCCACTGCAGCGAAGCACGTCATACACCACCAAGATAACCCGACCACACCACGCCGAAGTCCAACACCGTATAGATAACTCAACAAGAGCGGACCGATTGTGCGGGCCGCCGAACTCGCACTCTGACCCAGACCATGTACTGTACCCAAGACAGAGGGATGTGGTGAGGCATTGTTGATCAGGATTGCTGTTGCAGGTAATGCAAATGTCCTTGCAGTGACCTGGATGCAGAGCACAATGACAATGGAGATCCACAGTAATGGTCCAGAGGCCGCCGCAGGTGACGTGGAGGTAGTTGGTACCAGGGACAGAAAAGGTACTAGGAAGTAGGCCAAAGGAAACAGGCAGAGCGACAAGCGGAAAGATGTCACTGTGCCTAAGCGGAAGGACAATCTAGGGTAAAGCAACAGCTGTAGGGATATACCGACGATGCCCAAGATGGCCAACGCAGAACCAATTCGTGCAGGTGGGAGAGCCAGGCCGCCTGTCCAGCTAAAGGGTGGATGTGGCTTGTAATTCAAAGGTACGCCTAGACTGGAGTTTGGATTCGTGCCATCGTTTGTCTGACCATGAGGAACATATCTTGGTGTCGACAAAAAAACGAACCAGAGGCTGTTAAAGGTGCCTACATGGCCAGCCAGCAAGAAATGGGCGGTAAATGTAAAGAGCACATTGGCAGTCCAGATGCGCGAAAAGGGTAGCTTCCTCCTGATCTTGGGTAGTTTGGGCGTTGGTGGTTCGTCAGTCGGTGAGTGCATCTCCATCGTCGAAGGATCCACTTCATCACCAGATATCGCCTGATATTGCTGATCAAGGTTGAGCCGAAGGACTACCCTTGCGATCCAGCGTCCAAAACGTAGTCCCAGGTCTGGCTTGTCTCTCATCATTTCATGCGACTGCGGGCAAGTTAGTAACAAGTTAAAGCCTGATGTTGACGGCACATGGACTACCTCTTCGAGCCCAAGCAACACTACCATTGCTGAAAGGAAGAGGAACACAGAGCTGACAAGATTCGGAAGTGCATAAGGCCACTTTCTTAACCAAGCTATTGATCCAAAAGAATCAGGATAGTTCCCTGCAGGGTCGGCCAACAATCCACCAAGTATCGGTCCTACAACAAAACAGACAATTAGGACAAATCACAACGCTGGTGAATGCTGTGGATTGTGTACCTATGATAACACCAATGTTGAAGGTCATGGGTAGTAGGAGAAAGGCTCTCGACTGATATTTCTTGTCACGAATAATCTCCGAGATCATCTTGGAAACCGGTCAGCATTGCAAGAGGAGCCGCAAGTATTGACGTACTGTTCTCATCACGCCGATGTTGCCATTGAGTGCTGGTTCCTGTTAGTCTATAAATCGCTCATGCCATCGAACCACAGAGGCTACAAGCAGGTCATGCTGCTTTATGGTGCTCGGTGTCTACACAGAATGCTCCGTCCGACTGACATTGTTTGGAACCAAGCGACAAGTCATCTGTCCCAAGAAGTCGCGCTCACCGTCAAGCTTAGCCAGAAGTCATCGTCCACCGTTGACCTCCATACACCCTCGTCGAGTGCATCGAGTTCCACGTTTGCGTCAGCCTCACGAGCATAGAATGCTGACGAGCTCTGAGAAGTAGAAGTTGAGATTGGCTTGTTCCTCGATGCTCTCTGGTTCGATTATACAAAAGGAAATTGACTTACCTCCACCCAGCGCTCTCCATGACAATGCAACAGCAAAACTACTGCTGAAACCAAAACCCAGGGCCCCGATTCCAGTGCCCAAGAGTCCGATCAGGATGACTCTTTTACGCCCTATCCGCTCCCAGTCGGCCATTCGACCCCAGAACACGGCGGTGCAGAATTGGGCTCCTGTGAAAGCAGCTTGGAGCATGCCGGCCTGGTAAGATATGGTACTGTCCGGAGCAGATGGATCGAAGGAGCGGAGTTGGTAGAACATATAGGCCTGTAGCGAGGTCTGTGTTAGTGGTTCAGATAACCGAGCCAGTGTGAGAATGAATAGTTGGTCTTTGCGAGGCAGACTCTTCCATGAAACAGGTTTTGGCTTTTCGAATATGTGATGTAGTGGTTGCCCGGAAAGCATTCTCTCTTCTTCTTCTTCTATAGGTAAGGCCTGTCGATCGACTGGTGCGTAGGCACTAGCATCGGCAACATTTCCATTAAGATCATGATCTTTTGGTAAAGCCGATGCACGTATTTGGTCAACCGAGTGACCGACCATCAGATGTGTAGGCCGACTGGCTGTGTGAATTTAGGGCGTATTGATGTCAGATTATCAAGACAGATACATGAAGAACGGAGGCGCAAGAGAAGGAAGCAGATAAGAGTCAGAACGGGTAGAAAAGCGAACCTAAAGTTGGTCCGTCGGTTGATTCGGGTACATATCACGTGCGATGCCGCGTTTAGCGGGGCCATAGAAGAAAGATGCAATGTTGATGAAAGAGGCAGACTTGATGATTAGTAAAAGGTTCATCGATTTGTTTTGATTACACGATGTCATGCTTCTTGCAAGGGCTGGTCCAAAATGGTGGCTGGAGAAGTAGAAACTAGAGTGCGCACGACCTCACTACTCGTCGGCATCTATGTTTGTCTTGAAGACCCTAGGCCTTGTCAGTGGAACGTCTTCGGCGGTTGTGTTTGGAGATATTGCCGTACAATTTCGACTCATAATAGTCGAGGAGCTGTCGCATGTAAGCACATGTTGCATAGCTAATGAAGAGAAGCGGAGAAATTACTTTCTGGGGACACTTTTGGCGACACTGCTGGGCGGAATGTTGTGTCCGGTTGCCATTCTCCCATAGGAGATAGATCATGAGGACGCCCTTGTGCTCGCCCTCGTCGGGCTTCTCGATCGAGTCGATGAGCTGGACCTTGTCTTCCCAAGAGCCCTCTGGCAGAGAGTAATCCTTGTTCTCTGCAGGCTCATCGGCCTCGGCCGTCTGAATTGACTTTCTTGCGCGTTTCTTGGTGGTGGATGTGGCAGCAGCGTCTGGCGTGTCTTGGGCTATCGACTTCCTCTTGGTGCCCTTCTTTGCTGGCGTTTTTGGCTTTGCCTGTGGCTTGCCACCGATCTTATTCCAGTAAGCCTTGAGGACATCCATAGCGCCCGAGCTGAAAGCGAGCCATTAGTGATAGCCCATAGCAGCTTGATAGTGCGACATACAGATTGTCTTCTGGCTCCCATGTTCGGTCGTCAGGGTCCTCGTAACCAAGCCACTTCACTTCGTAGAGGCAGTCTTTGCCATTGTCGAAAGCATGCTTCAAGATCTTCTCGACGACATATTCGTCGGCGTTGTCCTCGTCTTCGTCGTCGCCTTCGGGGTCAACATGGCCATTGACATCTTCTTCAACCTCTTCTGGGGCAGGCTTGGCCTTGGACTTGGCGGCAGACTTCTTGGTTGCGGGCTTCTTTGGTGGAAGAACCTCTTCGTCGTCGCCGGACAAAGGGTCAGACATCTCATCGTCTGTGATGGCCGCTGCGATTGAATTGGTTAGTCAATGTGAAGAGACGCAATGGAGAGTTAGAGTAATCTTACGAGGCATGTTGAAGAAGTGGATTGGTTGTGTGTGTGTGTGTGTGTGTGTGTGTGTGTGTGTGTGTGTGTGTGTGTGTGTGTGTGTTGTGGGTGCGTGTGGCGTGGAGTGTATGCGATCAGCGCAGAAGGGAAGGTGTAAATAAGACCGAGTTGTTGACTGAGAATCGGAAAGTGAGAGACGCGCGACGCTGGCGCAACGAGGACGCGTCTCGAGAAGCTGCGGAGGAGGAAGCAGCGGACAAGGGAAGCTGTCGCGCACAGACCCACCGCCGGTGAGGAAAGTCTGATGGAAAGTGAAGGAGCGTCGAAAGTGTGAAAGCCAAGCAGCAGCAGCGAGCAACAAGTCGACAACACTCGTCCATCCACCGAACAAGGCAACAACACCAACCCTCGCTCCTTCCTCTGCCGTCCAGCAACCTCTCCGGGCCTCTCCTTCCTTCGTCAACGCTCCCCAGGAGCAGCAACAACTGCCCGCCATGGCCATGCGTACGTTGATTGTCCAAATAATTTAATTGCTCTCCTTGCTGACATGAGGCCCAGAACTTGATATGTCCAACGGTACTTTGCAATCCATTCCACCAATCTCTACCCTCAAACAAGACTGACACGATTGTCCTCCCCCAGCCCAGGTCGCCAAAGACGAGAACGGCCGCCCCTTCATCATCGTAAGAGACCAGGGCAAGAAGAAGAGACAGCACGGAAACGACGCGGTCAAGTCGCACATCCTCGCCGCAAAGACGGTCGCCGGTATCGTCCGCACTTCTCTCGGTCCTCGTGGTCTCGACAAGATCCTCATCTCCCCCGACGGCGACATTACCGTCACCAACGATGGCGCTACCATCCTGTCCCAGGTACCTAGTCACCAACTCCTTCACCACGAGAAGTCGCCTCTGATTCGCTGTCTAGNNATGGAAATCTCCAACCACGTCGCCAAGCTACTAGTCTCCCTTTCTCAATCTCAAGACTCGGAAATCGGTGACGGCACTACTGGTGTCGTTGTCCTGGCTGGTGCTCTCCTTGAGCAGGCCGCCGACCTCATTGACAAGGGCATCCACCCCATCCGCATCGCCGACGGTTACGATGCCGCCTGCGAAGTTGCCGTCGGCCGCCTCGACGAAATCTCGGACACCATGCCTTTCGACAAGGACAACACCGAGAACCTCTTCAAGGTCGCAAAGACCAGTCTGGGAAGCAAAATCGTCAGCAAGTCACACGACCAATTCGCTCAGATTGCCGTCGATGCTGTCATGAGTGTCGCTGACCTCGAACGTCGCGACGTCGATTTCGAGCTGATCAAGGTTGACGGAAAGGTCGGAGGCAGTCTCGAGGACACATTGCTCGTCAAGGGTGTCATTGTCGACAAGGACTTCTCACACCCGCAGATGCCCTCAGAGGTCAAGGACGCCAAGTTGGCCATCCTCACCTGCGCCTTCGAGCCCCCAAAGCCCAAGACCAAGCACAAGCTCGACATCACCTCGGTCGAAGAGTTCAAGCGCCTACAAAACTACGAAAGCGAGAAGTTCGCCGAGATGATTCAACAGATCAAGGACACCGGCGCAAACGTGGTCATCTGTCAATGGGGTTTCGACGACGAGGCCAACCACCTTCTGCTCACAAACAAGCTCCCTGCCGTGCGATGGGTTGGCGGTCCCGAAATCGAATTGATCGCCATTGCTACAAACGGAAGAATCGTACCGAGATTCGAGGACCTCAGCGCCGACAAGCTTGGAACCGCTGGTATCGTTAGAGAGATGAGCTTCGGTACCACCAGAGAGAAGATGCTTGTCATCGAGGAATGCGCCAACAGCAGAGCCGTCACCGTCTTTGTGCGTGGTAGCAACAAGATGATCATCGACGAGGCCAAGCGCTCGCTGCACGATGCGCTCTGCGTCGTCCGTAACTTGGTGCGCGACAACAGAATCGTCTACGGTGGTGGTGCCGCAGAAATTGCCTGCTCGCTAGCCGTTGAAGATGCTGCTGTCAAGTCTCCTGGCCTCGAGCAATATGCCATGCGCGCTTTCGCAGATGCTCTGGACAGTGTACCCATGGCACTCGCCGAAAACTCCGGTCTCAGCCCCATTGAGACTCTGGCCCAGATCAAGAGCCGACAGGCAAAGGAGGGCAACTCGAGGTTGGGCGTTGACTGCATGCAGACCGGCAGCAATGGTAAGATACGAGCAATCCAATATCACAGGTCTACAATTGCTGATCCGACTACAGATATGAGAGAAAACTTCGTTATCGATCCCCTGATCTCCAAGAGACAACAGCTTCTCTTGGCCACACAACTCTGCCGCATGGTGCTCAAAGTCAACAATGTCATCATTGCTGGAAGCGACGAAAACGACTTCTAGATTTTTTAATCCTTGTTGTATGAAACATCACAGATGACGTTGAGCAAATCGACTCGAACGAAAGAGAGATCTGACTTGACCTAAGAGAAATGTCATGTTGGAATGTAGAGATACCAATGTTCAAAAGTCGCCTTCAATGTGGGCTTGCCAAACTCTCGGCCGTTATTCGTCTCTGAAAGTGAAACAAGACAGTCCCTCGCAAAGCCTGGGGTTCGTCTGTTGTGAGTGGCGGGTACTAATTACTGGGATTGTGATGAGAGGCTGACAGAAGAATATATATGGTCCTCCATGAGATATCAAAGGACACGCAACGTTAAGAATACTTGAACAGATAAGTGTGGTCTAAAGGATTGATTGTGATATGTCTAGCTGACAGAACGACCGTTCGTGGTCATTTCCATGCATGGTGTAAGTTATGGTACTGTACATCAAGTGAGAAGAAAGTAAGGTTTGGTCATGATGAAGTGGGTATCGACGAAAAGTAGACAAGACATAGAAAAACGTTTCTCTGTTAAGCGTATCACCATTCTTGTGAGCGATAGTGTTGAGGAGCAGCGGTTGCGCTTCTGCCGGGAACTTCGTATGGCTGACGAGGAGCAGCAGTTGCGCTCCTGGTAGGGACTACAGATCGTTGGCTGGGGGTCTCGGTTGCGCTTCGAGCTGGCGTCTCGTACAACGGTTGAAGTGGAGCGGTGGATGCACTCCTGCTTGAAATTTGTTGGTAAGGAGCAGTAGAAGCACTCCTACTTGGACTCTCGTACATTTGGTAGGGCGCGGTAGATGCACTTCTGCCTGGAATCTCGTGCGGTTGATAAGGAGCAGTATAAGCACTCCTCATTGGCCGTACATGCCGTTGACTGGGAGCCGCTGTAGCGCTTCTGCCAGACATATCACGACGGTCGTTTTGGGGTCTAGGGCGATACTCGTCGATCAGTCCATCGTAGGCTTCCGGAGGAGCCGTAGCACTACGTTGGGGTCCGGCTGCCAATGAGGGTCTTGCAATCTCCGGAGGACTCGTGATGCTGCGGTCTGGCGGAGTGAACGANGGCGCAGCGGCTGCAAGGGTCAATGAGGGGTTGAAAGCAACATAGCCTCCAGATGCTGCAGAAGCCGAACGCTCGAAGGGCTCTGGCATAACTGCTGTCCGTGGTTGCATCTCGAAGCTCTGGATCTCAGGCTCAGGTGCATGACGCGAGGCAAAGCTCAACTCATTGTTGATTCCAGGAGTATATGATCTTTGAAAGTTCTGTTGCGGTCTTTGCTGCGGCAACGCAGTGTTCTCCTCATCGTCATATTCCATCCTCTCTTGATGCGTGGGCGTGGTTTGAGAATAAGGAGTCATGAATCGGGTCGGCGGATAGTTCATTGGCGCTGAAGTCGTGTCTCTTTCATATTCTGGCTGCTCGTCTAAATCATCGTATCTCCATCTTTGAGATTGTTGTGGTCCCACGGTTGCGCTTCTACCGGGACAAGGTTGGTCTGCATACCCGGACAGATGGTCGAAAGGTGGCTGCATCGGCCTAGAAGCATATGATGTCGATCTGTCAAATGTAGGCCTTGGCTGTGTAGGATAGTAGTCTACACTGTCACTGTATCCCATGTCATTGGCATTTCCAAGTAACGAAGCATCCGAAGCATAAGTGGCGTTAGAGGCGAGAGACGTTTCGGTGTCTGAACGATAAGGAATAGACGGACGACTGTTGGAATTGAGATTAGAAGACGGCGGCTGTCGATGCGTTGCCATTGGCGGTGCTGTGTGAGTACGAGTAGGAGGTCTGATCGCGTTGAGGCTGGGCGGGGTTTGTTCGCGATGCAACGCTGGTTCGGTGAGAGTGCGCAAGGGTGGCAGAGCAGGACGGTCTTCGGCATCCTGTCTTGGAAGACCAAAGTCGCTCTTCGAGTCAAGGTCGGGCGTGTGAGCGCCAACTTGAGGCAGAGTCGGTTTGCGGTTGACCTGCACTCTGCTCGGAAGTTGGTTGGCTTTCTTTGCTGCTTTGGCCTCGCTTTGTGCCTGCTTCTTCTCTTGCTCTTCCAATGCTTGCCTGACCTTTTGACCCACAACCTTCTCCAGCCTGTGGTCAATCTTCCTTCGACAGTAGTTGCTCAATCGGCCATCGCTTTGAGGTATGTAGTGCCACAAGAAGACCAGGTAAAGGATGACGGCAATGATCAGACAGAGGGCCGAGATGACCCAGATGACGAGGGTGAACAGCATGGTGAAGAGAACGACGGCTTGTTCGCGATTTGACTCGGCCAGGGTTTCCACATTGATCCAGAACTGTTCAAACGAGGTGTGGTTCGCTGTTGCGGCGTGGTCGCCCATAGGGATAAGATCCGTTTGCATGAATGAGTAAAGAGTGATGGCATTGACAACCTGACGAGGGCCTTCGGCGAATATGATGCGTACGGCACCTTTGAAGCCGAAGTAGACGAACAGCGCGACGTAGTCGACTCCCTTCTTACTCTTGGTCAACTCGGCGAATACGAGAAAGCGCTTCCATCCGTTCGGTCGCATTGACTGGAGTGTGACGGCAACCGAGTCCATATAGCTCTCGGCAACACTGCCTCTGCGGATGACGCGGATGGCGCGCACCCACTCGAAGATGCAGAGAACCCATGAGAACATGATACAAGCGGCAAAGATCCATTTCGAGTACCTCAGAGGGATGCTAGGCTCAATCTGAGAAGACCATTTGTCGTATGCAAGGAGATTGACGGCAGTGAAAGTGTCGGCGCCATACACAGCAACTGCTACGAGGGCCATCATCCAGAGCCATCCGTAAGAAAGATAGGTCAGAGCACCAGAAGCGCGAAAGTCGGAGAGGGTCNNTACACGTTGTCATGTCAGCAAGCACATCAAACACAGTGGTCAGCATGTTATTATGCCAACACTTACCACGTAGTCCCATTTTTGCGACTCGTCCAGGTGGCCCTTTTCCCTGTCACCCGAACATCCCATCGTGGATTTTTCAGACCGGGGGTCAGTGTGTGAAAGATAGGGGTTATCGTCAGCCCAGCTGCGATGAATTAAAAAGGCGTTCTGAGCCGTTGGTTGCTTGTCGTAGCTACGTTTCGTTGTCCGTGTTGTACGAGGGCGCGAGATCTGCCAGCAGATGTCGTGCGCGTGTATGGTATTGAGAAGAAAGAAGAGTGAATAGAAAGGAGTGTGGTCGGTCTGGAATAGGGAGCGCAAGGCCATGAATGCTGGGACAGGTATTGTAAGGAATGCACAAGGTTCTGCAACGGCCAGGCCGTTTGTTTCCAGGGCCGGGGAGTCTTTGTCGACAGAACAACGAAGAGCTCGTCGCGACAAAGACGTCTTGAATGAGGAGCTCCTCAAAGGCGGCTCTCTCCTTTGACTGTTGCACAAAGCGATGTGAAATGGGCGCTTGCGCAAGTGGACGACCGATGCGCTGCGCACTTGTACCGTGGGCCAAGAGGGGCAGAGTTGGAAGCGCTGCGAAACGAGGGCGAGGGGCTCTGACAGCGCGTGGGAACCGTTGTCGAGCAATCATTTCCTCTTGCTCAGAGGCTCAGAGGCCTTCCGCGTTTGGCTTCCCTCAGACTGAAACACGCGCCCCTGTTTCTTCACACCATCAACATACCGAAACCCTGCTCCAGACCTGATGTAGCAATGTCCCCTCCACCTTTTGGCCCTCTTTGGGGATTTTGTGAATCTGTGATGTTCCCGATGTGTTTCGAACACCTTGCAACATGTCTCGAGAATTGCTCCTCGCATGGACGACGATCATAGGGTTCCGATTCTGGGTTAGAATCTGACATCACTGTACGTATAACGTCTTTAGCAATTCCAGCGGCACTGTGTCAACGTGTACTAGAAGGCTGGTCCATGTAGCGAATTGAAAATAAAAGCTGAACTGAACATTTGGGTTTCTATTGAATGCCTGCTCTCACAAATCCCATGATACAAAGACTAATTTTCACGCTTACAGCTCGTCGTGGCTAGGTTCGTCATCGTAGTCGGGCATACCTCCAGCACCGCCAGCACCGCCGTAAAGCTTGCTGGTGATGGGGTAAGCGACGTTGCTGAGCTTCTCCTTCTGCTCATCGAAGTCCTCGGCGGTGGCATCGGCGGCGTTGTCGTCGAGCCAGTCCTGAGCTTGCTTGACGGCGTCAAGGATNCTGTTTGATCTGTCAGTGTGATGCTCCATCGGTGAAAATCATTCTCGTCAACTTACAGTATCCTTGTCATCGTCGTCAATCTTGCCACCGAGACCGTCCTCGTCATTGACCTGGTTCTTCAGGGAGAAAGCGTAGTTCTCGAGGCCGTTACGTGACTCGATGCGCTGGCGGGTTGCCTTGTCCTCCTCGGCGTACTTCTCAGCCTCTTCGACCATGCGCTCGATTTCCTCGGCGCTGAGACGGCCCTTGTCGTTGGTGATGGTAATGCTCTCGCTCTTACCGGTGCCCTTGTCACCAGCGCTGACCTTGAGGATACCGTTGGCATCGAGCTCGAAAGAGACCTCGATCTGAGGGACGCCACGGGGGGCGGCGGGGATACCAGTAAGCTCGAACTTGCCGAGCTGGTTGTTGTCCTTGGTCATGGAACGCTCACCCTCGAAGACTTGGATCAAGACAACGGGCTGGTTGTCGGCGGCGGTCGAGAAGATCTGGGACTTCTTGGTGGGGATGGTAGTGCCACGCTTGATCAGGTGGGTCATGACACCGCCAGTAGTCTCAATACCGAGAGTAAGAGGGTTGACATCCATAAGGACAACCTGGCTAGCCTCGGCCTCACCAGACAAAACACCACCCTGAACGGCGGCACCGTAGGCGACGGCCTCATCGGGGTTGATACCCTTGCTGGCCTTCTTTCCGAAGAACTCCTCGAGCATGGCCTGAACCTTGGGGATACGGGTGGAACCACCAACAAGGACAACGTCGTCGATGTCGCTCTTCTTGAGCTTGGCGTCCTTGAGGACCTGTTCGACGGGCTTGAGGGTCTTCTTGAAGAGGTCGTTGTTCAGCTCCTCGAACTTGGCACGGGTCAAAGTCTCGGAGAAGTCGGCGCCATCGAAGAAGGCCTCGATTTCGATGCGGGTGCTCATCTGAGAAGACAGAGTGCGCTTGGCCTTTTCGACCTCACGCTTCAGCTTACCCATGGTCTTGAGGTTCTTGGTGATGTCGACGTCGTTCTTCTTGTTGTAGGTCTTGACAAAGTAGTCGATAACTCTCTGATCGAAGTCCTCACCACCGAGATGGGTATCACCGGCAGTAGCCTGAACCTCGAACACACCGTCGTCGACAGTGAGGATGGAAACATCGAAAGTACCACCACCGAGATCGTAGACGATGATCTGGCGTTCCTTGTCGGTCTTGTCCAGACCGTAGGCGAGGGCGGCGGCGGTGGGCTCGTTGACGACACGGAGAACGTTCAGGCCCGCGATGGTACCCGCGTCCTTGGTGGCGGCACGCTGGGCGTCGTTGAAGTAGGCGGGGACGGTAACAACAGCGTTGGTGACCTTCTCACCGAGGTACGACTCGGCGACTTCCTTCATCTTGCCCAAGATCATGGAGCTGACCTCCTCGGGGGTGAAGGTCTTCTGGCCANNCTGTGCATTGCATGTCAGTCTCAACTCGTTGCATGTGTTCTCTGCGTCGACTTACTCCTGAACGTCGACCTGGACTCTGGGCTGGCCGTTCTTGTTGACAACCTTGAAGGGGAAGTGCTTCATGTCACGCTGAACGTCCTTGTCATTGAACTTGCGGCCGATCAAACGCTTGATGTCGAAGACGGTTCTCTCGGGGTTGGCTGCGAACTGGTTCTTGGCNTGTGCAGCTGGTCAGCGAGTGTCTGGCGAGCATTGGTTGCATGTGTGCTTACCTGCGTCTCCGACAAGTCTCTCCTCGTCGTTCCAGGCGACGTAGGAGGGGGTGATACGGTTGCCCTGGTCGTTGACCAGAATCTCGACCTTGCCGCCCTTCATGATACCGACACAAGAGTAGGTGGTTCCGAGATCGATACCGATGACGGGGCCGGAAATGGCTTTCTCGCCGCTGTCCTGGGCGCTGGCATTGGAGCCAAAGAGCACCATGGGCGCAAGGAGCACCAGGAGGAGGTAGAAGATGGTTGACCACGCAAAGCGTGACTCGGTTCCAGAGCGTCTCGCCATCTTGGGATGTTCTTGTGATGACAAGAAAGATGGGTCTTCTTTGTATGCAAGAGCAAGAAGGAGTGACGGAAGGAAGCTCCTTTAATAGAAAGCAAAAGAAGTTGTAACGCTGGCCTTCTCTGCGGACTTTAGGACAGCTGGCTCTTGGCATGTCCGTAATAGAAAGTTCCCGATGTTCCGCAATGAACACTGTTTCATGCTGCGGCTGCTCTACGAGCAACGTGTCTTTACTCGTCCTCAATTCCATGACCATTGTTGTTGCATTATCTGTCCGAGTCCATCACTGTTTAGGCAGAATCCCTCTTGCCGCCTGCTCGCTGCGTTGCAACAATTGCGCCGTGACACATCTGCAAAAGAACACTTCACTTGGTCAAGCTGTCCTTTATCGATAAAGAGGCTGAAACGGGCACTTTCCCGCACATGCCCCACCAGCTCAACCTCGCCGGGACTGCTTCTTGCCAAACACCGTCACGCCGCAGCATCTTTTCTTTAGGCATCGTGTCGTTTTACTAGTCGCCACTTGGTCATTCCGAATCCATTGGTATAATTCCACGGTCACTCGGGAAGTCCAGACCAAATCGTTCAGCTCGATGAACATGCTCCCGCCCGCAATGATCATTTTGGCATGGGATATGCTACTCATGGGTTTACGATCTTCTGTCTATCGCTCCGAGGTGTCGAGTGTGCTCTACAAACAGGCCTGTCACCTGAAGGATAGGTTCGAAAAACATTGCACAGCATCAACGGCTTCGAGCAGAGATTCCCTTTGAACCAATGTCTTCCCAGAAACGTCTCAGACTCGAGACATGATAGTTTTCCGAGCATGCATGAGAGGATGGTTCTGTAGGTAAGTCGTCCGGTCCTTTGCTTCTCTTGGTAAACCTCCACACCAGGATACCAACGCCACCTACAATCGATTTGCGTCTACTGATCGCCCGAGCCTTCTTTTCCAGCCAGATTCGCATGCCCTCTTTAAACTTTTCGAGCTCGAGCTTGCGCTTGCGTTCGTAAAGGCCGGAATGCGTGACGATGATCTCCCCACTCGAACGATCACGCCGACAGCAATCTTTGGGCAAAATACGCGCGTTGACAAGAGAAGAGACGGTCGGTCGCCGGGACAGAGATCGATTGAGAGTTGCTGACAGCAGGCGAAAATGGAGATTGCGCGCAGCAACGTGCGTACGAGTTAGATATATCGCCGAAGCAGGGGGTTGAATGGATCGTAATGAAGGACGTTGAGGCAAGAATGACAACAAATGCACGGATGACATGTGCAGACGGTGCAAATACAGAACATGGTCAAGAGAGACGGATCGAAGTCGGTGTGACACCTGTTGTAAAGTGCTTCAGCAGGAGCCACAGCAAAGACCAAGAGTTCTCACTCTAGAAAGAGCCAGCAAGAACGGGTAGTCTAGGTCGCTCATGATCTGGAGAAGAAGTTCGTCTGGAAGAGCTTCGAGACTCGGGATAGTCCTCGTGAGAGACACGGTGCTAGCTGTGACATTTGACGCCATGCTGTATAACTTGATTCTTGAACAAGCGGAGTGGCAGCGTGTAGCATGCGATGCGGTGAAGCAGGTGGGGCTGGTCCAAGCGCGGGCCTTGCCGCCCGTGACATCTTCTGCTGATTCCACCAAATGTTCTATGCATACCTGACCTACGCGCTCGCACAGAGACTCAGTTCGACTTCTGCTCATGTATCTCCCACGAATGTTGAAACATGCCATTCGTGTACGACAATATGCTCACGCACGTGAGCAAGATTTCCTTCGCCTCTCTGTCATCCCGATTGTCCCTCGTTCTTCCCTTCCAGAGATATCACTCGCAAAGACATTGTCCCCACTTCCTTCTGTTTTCATAAGTTTTCTACAAACGGCTCCTCCTCCAGATGCCGCTACATCAGCATTGACTGTTCTTGCTATCGTTGCCTTCTTCCAAAAATGAAGAGGCTGGGCCGGGTGGTAGCGTTTTTCTCGCGTACCTGCCACGAACCCACAGGGTCAAACCTTGAGATGCCAGTCTTCCATGCAGGCTTAGCAGATATCTATGCATAGAACTGCACTGTACAAAGCGTTTCCTTTGCCGCCTCAGGTTGGGGTACTGCGCCAAGATCGGCCTCTACTCGATTTACAATTGGTCCTACGAGTTGGCATTCATTGCACCAATAGGGCTACGCCCGGATCAACTTGTGCATGTCCGGCTGGCAGTATCATGACTTTGCTCCGCTGTGAGCGGTCCGCCGTCGTCGCGTCCCAGCCCCAATCCGCTGTCTCCCGCCCTTTCAACGATGCAGAAAGGCGGGTCTATGAGATGAAGACACCAAGCAGCATCGAACACTCACATGACCTGATTCGTCCGGCATCAGAGCTCTTGCAAAAATCCTGAGAAAGGTAAATTTCGACGTCGACTGTAGGGTGGAGCTTTGTCTTTTGGTCGCCAGACTGTGCTTACTCGTACCTGCTTTGTTTTTTTCTTATTACGATGAGCTGCTTACACAGCAAAGACCTTCACCGCGATGTTTTGTTTGGAACAGCATCTAGAGCGTTCGACTATTCTGAAACTGGATTATTGGCGCTCGACTTTATGGAGCGCGACAAGTGTTTCAGCTTCTTCTGCCGATGATTGCATGTCCATCTTTTGGAAAGTATGCTGCAAGCAAATATGATGTTTGATCATCCCCAGCTAAGCCTGGCCGCGGTATGTGTCAAATTGTCAGATTTGTCCAGGAGTGGAAGTCCGGACACCAGGGCTTTCGCTGGGCGTGCATAAACGCCATCCAGAGTCCATAATCCATAATCCGTTGCAGTCATGCATTGCTGTCGCTTATGAACATGAATCTGAAGCAGACTTTTGCTCGTGTTGATCAAAGGGGCTGTCGTCAATTGCCTCACGAAGCGCCTCCGGGTGGTGAATGGTATCACACGAGGTCCATCAGAAGCTTTTCTGATCATCAATTTAGCCTGCTAACCGACTCAGAAAAAAATGACAGTGACGGTGGTTCTTTCGTTAGCCCGCCATACTGCTACTGCCACGTCACAAGGGCGGAGACAAGGAGCATCCTCTCAATTCTAGCGTCGGCCAGCTCCAGCCGTGATTGCCTGAGGTGACGGGTGACGAAGGTACTCCTCAGGCCTAGGCAAGCACCATCAGCCCATCGCTGCCGTCTCCGTTGGATTGACCTGTTACGTTGCTTCCGGCTCCATGCACTGGAGTTGAAATGCAATTTGACGATCGGCCGAGTAGCGAGGAGATGCATGAGGCGTGGACCAAGGACGGACGAACCTTGTTCATGGGCAATGCTCCACCCATGTGGTAATTTCCAGACACGATCGCAGTCCTCGACGATAAGCTGACTGGACAACGATGCTTCCCGCCCGCGTATGCTCTCGCCAAGTCAATGAATGCTGCATGCAAGCCCACAACTCCCTCGGCCATTCCTTAGCCATTCCTCAGCAATAGGGCCTATGGCAAGCCTTCGTATCGAGCCATCCGATGTCCCGACCGCTACCGCTCCTGCTAATCAGCTCAATGAACTGCACTCCTGGTACCGAACCAGCATGTGTATCTTGCGCCCCCTCTCTCTCGAGATTGAAGCAGACCGACAAGCAAGAAAAAGCCGACGCATGCGGAACTGACCGCCAGAGCAGATGGGTCCTCTGGTTGACGGTTGCCAGCATAGTCCGAGGTGGAAGAAAAATAAGTGTCCAATGGACAGAGGTCCTTGCCAAGGCAAACAAACAAACAAACTGCGAGAGGAGCTCGAGAAAGAAGCCCAGCGCACGTGATATCAGAGGAGTCTGGTATGCTCTCCTGAAGCTTCAAACCATAGGCACACTGCCCGACCCTTACCACGACAACACATCGAGGGCGCCCCAAAGCATGACGGCAAGTTCGAGTCTGATCAATCGAGCATCGGCGAGAAGGAATAGGCGAGCAAAGCAAAGCCAAAAGCCACACCGCTGTTGATCGTACGGAGGTGTGATATCTTCGCTCATGTCCTTGCAAGCGATGGAGGTGTCAGGGTGGCATCCTGATCCATACTCGAAGATCGACTAGCTCCAACGGCATCTTGATGCATGTCTGCAGAGCTCAATGAGTGGTCCAAGGCGGGAGACCGGAGGTGGTCTTGCAGAATGGTGAGAGCTATTGCAGATGTACTTGAGAGCAAAGCAATTGTCGGATGGATCGAGTCAAAGTCCCTGCTACTGAGAAAGGCATAAATAGCTGGTCCAAGGTCCTCCAGGAGACAGAACCATCAAGCATTGACTCGCCTCAACACCTTTCAACCATCTAAGCACCCAATTTTTTACCTTCTTCCCTTACGCCTCCTACCTCATTCGAGACCAACTATCAGTGGCCCAAACCATCTCTTAACACTCATCCCAACTCGTTATCGATTCAACTCTCATCGACATACACGTGCTCTCTTACGATACCACAAAGAACTGGTCCGTATTGATCGCCCGGTATATCCAGGAATTTTCATGCTGACGAGCAACAGAGCCCTTCTTCCAGATATGTGTTTCTTCGACCAAGTAATGTGGACCTGCGGCGACTGGAAGTGGGACCGCTTCCGCCAGCACTGCAACCGCGAGTACCGCACCGGAGAGACTTGCGGCATGAAGCTTGTCTATGCAGTAGCCAGAAGCAACGACAAGTGTAAGATCTGCCAGAAGATTGACACCAAACTCCGCCGTCGTGCTGCAGAAATCGCAAAGATCCAGCGATGGCAATCCGAGGGCAGCAAGCTGAAGGCGTCCATTGAAAGATCTTATGAGATCATCAAAGACCTTGACCAGGAGATTTACCAGTTACAGATTGAGAAACAGCGAAAGACCCAGGCCATTGGAAAAGCGCGCTGATGGGATGGATCGATGGTGCAGTGTCCATTGTGTGTCTTCAAACAGATGTCGTCTCTTCCTGGTTGAAGCAACATCGATCGAAGCTTTGATTTGGTCCAGAGAAGTCCTTTCTTTCTGTGAGCTATGGTCATTTGTCCAAGTTACTGTTCTCGGCTCATGTTCGTTTTTCCCTTTTCAAGTTTTGAGTATTCTTTTCTAGATATGCGAGCAAACGAAAGTCATGGTTAATTGTGCATCAGCGCATGTGCTTGTATAAATTGTGCAAATTGTGCAGAGCTCGCATATATGCAGGTACCTTTTGACCAATCAAGTCCATCAGGGTGATTGGTATACAATGGCTCTCCAACCACTACGCCTCTTGCAAAGGAAGTGCGTATGTTACACGAAGAGATCGATGACTGGGAGGAAATGAGACAAAAGGAGGAGCGAAACGCATTGGAGTTTTAGCCATCCTAGCGTGTCATGTCATGTGATTTGGTAGAGACTTAGTAAGATGTTGTAGGTCTTGTGACGGCAAGGTGATTGAGAAAACTGCTATATATCATGTTACTAGGTTCCTCTAACGCTACTGATTCCCATTGCTGAAACATGACAAACATCAAAACCAGATATTCAGATCTTGTACTTCATTCGTTCTCTGTCTTTTTCTCAAACACTCGAAAGTTCATTAATCTTTGACCATCGCAAACAAACCATTTCATCCATTATTCGTGACGGATCATTCGTGTCAATCAGGTAGCGGAGGTAGTGGCAGGAGTCGTAGGGTTAGGGAAGCCGCCAAATGGTCCATAGAACCCCTGGCCTGCAGGCGGGCAGTTGGAATAGCAGCCCAACAACGTGGTTGTCGCATACACAGTAGTGGCTGCTTCCGTGATAGTAGAGAACATGGTCACAGTCACAGGTGGCATATCGGTACAGGTGCCGTTGGTGGCCGAAGGGAATGTAGCACTAGGTCCAGACGGTGTAAGAGTGCCCGAGCGAGGGGCATCGGTGCCGAGCGGGATTGTAGAGTTGGCAGTAGGGAAGGGGAAGCCAGATGAGGGACCAGTACCAATTGGACCAATTATCACCGAGGAGTTGCCGGTCGGGAACGGGAAGCTGGCAGATGGTGCGGTTTCTGTAGGCAGAGGGAAGGACGAGTTTGCAGTGGGGAAAGGGAAGCTGGCGGAAGGAGCAGTACCAGAGGGGCTGGCCAGTGTGAAGTTACTGCTAGGGAAGGGGAAGCTAGCAGATGGTGCCGCCGAGGTTGTGTTCACACCTGGGGTACCAGTAGGAGATGCCAAGCTTCCAGTGCGATCACCGCTGGGAATGGAGCCTAAGAACGAGTTTGGTGCGGTACCAGTAGGCCCAACAGGAGTCGAAGCATTGGAGAAGCCATATGGAGTAGTCAGGGGGAGTNNTGCGGTGCCCGAACGATCTCCCCCCNNTGAAGTAGTGGCATTTGCTGGTGGCAAAGGCACACCGCCAGTCGCGTAGGGCGGAAGGTATGCCCCACTAGAGCTGTTGTACAGAGGAATGCTAGTCGGGATTGTGCCGTTGATTGGGAACGAGGGTGTGAGAGTTGGGAAGGGGGTCGAAGTTGGAGGCGAGTCAGAGCCTGACCGGCCAGCCTCCGGAATGGACGCTGTGAACGGAGTTGAAGCAGTGATGTAGACGGTCGACACTTCGGTTGAGAAGATCGTAGAGACGATGACATCGGTGCTGACATTTCCGGCAGCACCACCTCCAGATCCGCCATTGCTGCCGCCGTTGGCACCACCAGTTGTTCCGTTGACGGAGATGGTGTTGTTGGTGACTGTGGTGGAGTTGGTGACAATGATTGTGCCATTTGTAATGACACCTCCGTTGCCGCCACCGTTCACTCCTCCATTCGCACCTCCGTTCGCACCTCCATTGGAGCCTCCAGTTGCGCCAGTTGAGTTGCCAGCCGATCCACCTGCGGAACCACCAGATGATCCAGATGTACCACCCGTCTCGCCAGAGGAGCTTCCGGAAGTGCCTCCCGACGAAGAGCCGATGATTGTGTCTGTGATCGTGGTAGTAGATGAAGACGAAGTAGTGCCGTTCGACCAGGTGTAGGTGGTCACAATAGTTTCGTTGCGAATCTCTTGGTTTCCGTTGGTCTCGGTGTTGTTGTAGACAGTCGTGGTAATGGTGTAACCACTGGAGCTAGATCCACCAGCACCCGAACCACCAGCAGCACCACCAACTCCGGTCGAATTGCCAGAAGAGCCGGAAGATCCAGCAGTGGAATCTCCACCGTTCGCGCCTCCAGCAGATCCACCATTAACGCCGCTGTTTGACGAGGAAGAAGTCGCATAAGACACCTCTTGAGTGGAAGATGCCGCCCAAGCGACGGTGTAAGTGGTATAGTAGGATTCGTACCAGGAGCCGTTGCTAGAGGCGTAGGTAGAATAAACCAGCGCAGATGAGTATGTACTTCCTCCAGAAACATAGGTTGAGTAAGACGTAGCCAGTCTTGCGTTGTGTACTGCAGCAGGCGTGATGATAGGAATAGAGGTAGTACTGTTCTGGAGGATAGAAGAGAGTATCGAGGAAGTGTCAACACTGGAAGTAGTCGATGAGGGAAGGTATACTGGGCTGGGGGTGGTGGAATCCGTGACCGCGACTTCAATTCTCTGAAGAATGACCGCGTTGATGCCTCCAGCGACTACAGTTGAGTTGGCGGATTTCTTCAAGAAACAGTTTGAGCCTGCGGTTGCACCAGGGTAGAAAACAGCACCCTGGCAGACGGCCGAGCTAAAGCCATAGTTAGCGCTACCACATGCGGCTGCGCACTCGGTGAAGGTCTCGTAGCGGTATTGGGCCAAGTTGTCATCGGTGATATCTGTATCGCACTGCACAAGGTACTGGAAAAGTTGTCCGTCGATAAGCTGGCTATCGATGATGTTGTTATCGTCAGGGCAGACAATGGCAGGGGAGGTTGGGGTAGGCGAAGCTGCAGTGCTAGAGACGCTGGTCGATGATGCCACGTCTGCTGACGGCACTTGACCAACTTTGGAAGGGCTTGATGGCACCACAACTTCCGATGAGACTTCGACAGCAGCAGTGATAGTTGCTGTAACAGTCCCGCTCGTGATTGTGGTGTTCACGGTCTGAATTGTGTTGGCATAAGCACTTCTAGTGAAAGTCNNTAGAATAGTTAGTTGAAACGTCATTGACCCGATACTTGATGAACTCACCGAAACACCCTCGGTGCAGGTCGCAGTAGTGGTGAGCGGAGTCAGAACCTGACAACTGCAAGCACTAGAGATAGCAGAGATAAACGTAGGATCGGCAGTGGCAGTGCCATTGTCTTCGGAAACTCTGATAAAACGAGCGACTGCGCCAGAGTCGAATCTGTTCTTCATAAGGTTACGCTTGGCCTTGCCGTTGGTTGCGACATCGGCTGAAACAGTGGCAGCGACCCTGACAGTGTTGGTCGTAGTCGCAGTGATGGTTGTGTAGGTATTTGTAACAGTTCTGNNAAATGGTCAGGAAGGTCACCGACGTATCGAGAATCTTGGAACTTACGTGACGGGGGTAGTATAGACAGCGACCACGTTGGGGGAATTGCCCAAGAATCGATTGCAGAATTCGTTTGCGTTAGGATAGTTGTGAACCTCTGTGTAGATATCATCCTCTACGCAGACCTGCTCTTGACGAGCAGTCAGACCAAAGAGATCCCGGATGAAGTTGACTACCCCATTGGGGCTAGTATCCTGTTCAGCACGCTTCTGCTGGTTGGTGGCTCGAGCGGCGACAAGCTGGAACAGAGCAAAGCTCAAAACGAAGGTTGAGAAGAAAACGAGTGAACGCATCTTGAGTACACCAAGCGAAGGATGGTATCTGTACTCTGGGTGAAGAAGCAGTCAATCGCGATATGGTTCTAGTCATGATGGGAGAAGATGTGGGCTATATAGGTGCACAGAAAGGGCATTGATCTCAGCCGTAGAATTCACTTAGCCACCGGTCTAGGTGGCAAGTGTGTGCCTTGCAGCTGGAGAACTTATGCGGAAGAGGTATGGTGTGAGCGCGTTACGTCGCGTACGCAACGTCAGATATACATTCCCCAATGGCGAGGTATGAAGACAAAAGGCTGCAGGGGCAACCACACGAAATATCAAGCTTGAAATACGAAACAGTTTCTTTTGATACTCGAGTCACGGACGAGAAAGACGAGCAAGAGTGATCAGCTTGTGATGACAGAGGACACATTGCATCGCTCGAGAGTCGAGTAAAGACGAGTAGTAAATACTTAGCTGTCCATGGCCTTGTTGGCAGGGAACTCACACAGGTGCAGGAAGAGTAAGCTTCCATGTATTCAGTGTTTCACGAGCTCGTATCCACCATGTGGACGGATCTAAAGGGCGAGGTATGTGACGAGTATGGAATGGTGTGGATGGAAGAGAGGCATGCGTAGGAGCAGCGGTTGGAGTTTTGGTTGAGGACTTGGCGGAAGATGCATAAAAGTATGCATGTGGATGCATGCATGGTGCACGACGTTCCAGCATCAGTCCGGCGTGCATTCCTCGATGACAGCGGCCTCCAACGACCATGGGCATCTGCGCGAGCTGTCTCGGCCTTGACCGGCAAGCTGCGCGTGAAGTGAGTACATTCTGATCATGACTGCTGCTGCCCCTTGCTGACGAGGGGTCAAAGGTGTCAGAGAGCGAAGGGCTTCTGTACGAAGATGCAGCCCAGCCTCAGTATGGCACCGTGACTCCCGGCGCGACTCTGCCAGAGCCCGACCCGGAAGAGCTGAGGAGGGAACGCGAAGTGCTGGAGCGCATCTGCGCCCAGACGTCCAAGTGCGTACCCCTAGTCGCCGTCGGACCCGCCACGCGCTAACAGGTCGGCAGCGAGCTCATCGACGTCCTCCACCACGACTCCAAACTCGCCAGCGACTACCCCTACCTCCTCAACAAACACTTTCCTCCCTCCTCTAGTGGCGCCTCGTCGCCCTCAAGCACCACTGTCGACGAAGACGCATGGCTCGCGGCCACCCAGCCCACGGAGCGAGAACTCTGGTCTGAAGTCAAAGGCCTCAATCCCGGTGAACTTGTTGTCGAGCTCAACCCCCCGAACTCTGCATCAAGGTGATCGTCCACCAACGCCATCGACTCTCCTTTGTCAAAAAGCATTATACCCTCCGAGATACCCGAATAGTTCCCTTGTCCTGCTTCTTCCTTAATACACATCTTCCACAACTATGCGTCTTTCTCTCTTTCATTCCGTTCACGATTGATTACTTGGTTGTCATTTGTATTCTGCCATCATCTATCCAATGTGCAACAACAACTTTCATCCTCTAATTAATCAATACGGTTCACCCTTGCTCTCACTCCCATCTCTCAACTTGACTGTACATAAACAAGATGGACACATTCCCCACCCCTGCTGGTCATGAACGGCTCTTTGGTTGGACAAGGCGTATTCCAAGTCGACGTATGTTTGTTCTATAATCTAGTCTACGTGTCGACACATATCCTAAGAATCATTCTAAAGGTTGGAATCCAATAGAGTCTTCAATTGGGAAGCGCCTCTCTTCGACCATCCCCATCTGATCTGGTTTGGCATGTTGACCTCAACACCAAGTTCCTCGGCAAACGCAAACACAGCACCAGGGTTCTTCTGGAACAGACGTCCGACCATGATAACGTCAAGACCTTCCTCGAGAAGCTCGTTTGCCAATTTTCCGGTATGGATGCTGCCAACAGCGCTGACGGCCATCTTGTCGCCGACTGCCTTCTTGACTGCCTTGCTGAGAGGTGCTTGGTATCCAGGAGCTGCGTGAGGGTGCTGCTTGGGGTGGTTACCGCCCGAGCTGATATCCATCAAGTCAACGCCGCGTTCAGCAAGAATCTTTCCAAGCTCAACCGTCTGTTCCGAAGTCCAGCTCTCCTTAATCTCTTCGACCTCCTCGAGCCACTCGGTTCCGCTGACTCTGACAAAGAGAGGCATAGTCTCGGGGATGATATCTCTGACGAGATCGACAGTTTCGATGAGAAGTCTGGTTCTGTTCTCAAAGCTTCCACCGTACTTGTCGGTACGCTGGTTAGAAGTGGGCGACAGGAACGAGCAAAGCAAGTAACCGTGCGCAGCATGGACTTCGATGGCATCGAAACCAGCCTTCAGAGCACGGTGGACAGCGTCGGCATAAGACTTNTTGAAGTTTTCAATATCCTCAAGGGTCATGGCGCGGGGGTTTGCGTGGTGCTCGTTCCAAGGAATAGCAGAAGGTGCGAGGACATTGTCTGGCCATCCGTTCTGCTCCTTTGGTGCAACAGCAGCTGCGCTCAACCAGGGAGCCACACAGCTCGCCTTACGGCCTGCGTGTGCGAGCTGAATAGCAATGAGTTGGTTCTGNGTCGGTGGTATTAGCATCTGCAGCACAATCGGTAGCACATGATTACTTACTTGGCTGTGGGCAAAGTCGACAACTTCCTTCAAGGGAGCAATCTGGCTGTTCTTCCAGATACCGACATCCTCAGGGGTGATTCTACCTTCCTTTGAGGTCGTTAGCTCGAGCTCAACTCTGAATTCGTCTCATTCTGGTAAGTGTCTGGTAAGTACTTACGGGNNAGTGACTGCAGTTGCTTCAATTATAGTCATTCCTGGACCACGCGAGACAATACCGCCAATGTGGGCCATGTGCCATGGTTGGTAATGGCCATCGGCCGCAGAGTATTGGCATAGAGGAGACAGAAAGATGCGGTTAGGAAGGGTCAGACCACGCAGCTTCAGGGGCTGGAACAGCTTGGGCACCGGCTTGCCATCCTCGCGAACGAATGCTGCACCTGCGGGAGGAGATTGGAGTGGGGTGAAGTATGGCACCNNTGTTTACGTGCTCAGTCTGTGGCTGGTAGAGATATAGTTCTGTACTTTACATACTCCGGGAGCAGCACGGTTGATGTGCTGAGATTCTCCAACGACGTTCTCGACAATGTTGTGGTGAGAAATTGCTTCAGGCATGGTGTAGGGATTTGCTGTATGGATTGCGAAGTTGAATGTCTTATCTGGCGGGAGTCCTCGTTACATTATATACCAACAATAGTCATTAGCTCTGGAAATAGGGAAACCGTCAAACACGATCATGATTTTCGATGCTTAGAAATCAATCGTCCGCACATCATCGAGAACAGGAAGCCTTGCTATGATGGGCATAACTCTAGACACAATTGCATTACTGACCCCAACCTCGTCATCACACATAAACGCACGGTGAAAGGACTCCGATTTTTGGAGGCGGCCGAGACATGGCCGAAATCCCGAGGCAGTGCGCTGGCGCCTTCCCCAAGTGGCAACTCCATGGCCGCCATGTAGCTTCTCGCGTTTGGTCATCACACACGTTGTACACGTAACAATCTCCACGCCAATCCTTCAACTTGATAATTGTCACAATCCTAGGGCATCGATCTCCTGAGCGAACATGCCGCCGAAGCTTCCGATTCTTGTCAGTTCGGCAGCAGCGTCAATACTACTGGCGCACTACACGCCTGCCTACGCTCCAGGCTCGCGTCTTCAGACTTTCTTCCTCATTGCCTTCACAGAGTTCATCGCGTGGGCAACATGGCGAGTGGTCATATACCCGAATTTCTTCAGTCCTTTGAGAGGTCTCCCTGAGCCTCCGGGAGCCAGTTGGTGGAATGGCCATGCATCCACAATAATGTCACAGCCATCAGGTCATCCCATGCGTGAATGGATAGATACGATTCCAAATGACGGCATCATTCGCTATACTAATTGGTTCAATTCGGAAAGGGTGTTCTTGACTAACCCGAAGACTCTTGCTGAGGTTCTCTCAAGCAAGAACTACGAGTTCATCAAGCCAGCACATTTCCTTGACATCATTGGCAAGATTCTAGGCATCGGATTGTTGTTCGCAGAGGGCGATGAACACAGAACTCAACGCAAGAATCTCATGCCAGCCTTTTCTTACAGACACATCAAAGACCTCTATCCCGTATTCTGGTCCAAGTCAAAGGAAATGGTCGAAAGAATGTCTACTGCAATGCAAGACTCGTCTACCCAGGACGGGAGCTCTGCCAATGTCGTCGAAGTCAGTGACTGGAGCAGCCGAGCTACCTTGGATATCATTGGAGTTGCTGGAATGGGGCGTGATTTTGAAGCTCTGAAGAACCCAGACAACGAACTGAACAAGACTTACAAGACCATCTTTCACCCACCCAAGTCTGCCAGATATATGCAGGTCGCCGGCATGTTTTTGCCTCGCTGGTTCCTCAAGAATCTGCCGCTCAAGCGCAATGACGAGATCTCTGAAGGGTCTGCTCTGATCAAACAGACGTGTCGCGACTTGATCGCTGCAAAGAAGATTCGCATGGAGAAGGGTGCTGATGATGAGACCGACATCCTCAGTGTTGCTCTGAGAAGCGGGAGCTTTGACGACGAGAACCTTGTTAGCCAAATGATGACTTTCCTGTAAGTTTTCGAGTGCTGCTGATTTTTCTGTTGGCCATGCTGACTCCAATACTAGCNNGCTGCGGGACATGAGACTACAAGTTCATCCATGCAATGGGCCATCTACATGTTGTGTCGCCATCCCGAGGTACAGACACGCTTGCGCGAAGAGGTACATTCGAAACTGCCTTCGGTGCGCGATCCTCAGGCCCAGATCACGGCTGCTGATATCGACAATTGCCACTACCTCCAAGCAGTCTGCAAAGAGACTCTTCGTCTCTGGGCTCCTGTGGCTCTAACCATGAGAGTCGCTGCTCAGGATGAGACTATCGGTGGGCATCCCATCCCTAAGGGAACGCTGGTTGTCCTCGCTCCACTGGCAATTAATTGTAGCAAACATCTCTGGGGTGACGATGCTATGGATTTCAAGCCTGAACGCTGGTTGACGGATGGGTTCAGCAACAAGAACGGCGGTGCTGAGTCCAACTACAGCTTTATGACCTTCCTCCACGGGCCAAGATCGTGTATCGGGCAAGGATTTGCCAATGCCGAGTTTGCTTGTCTTCTTGCAGCTTGGTGTGGGAAGTTTGAGACGGAGTTTGAAGACAAGGATTATGTTCTAGAAGTCAAGAGCGGCATCACTTCTCGACCCAAGAATGGTTTACGGGTCAAGTTGACAGAGGTTGAAGGATGGTAGTTTGCTCACAGGATCTCCTAATGCGTATAAACCTGCTTTCGTTTTGTCCTTTATATATTACCTCAACCACTCGTATTTATGTCATATGTGTTGACTCTCTGGTGATAAAACACATGCGCGATACTCTGATCGCAGGCTAATCATGTACTTTGGCATGTATCAGTCACATCTCATTGTTGCTAACCTGAAGAAAGTGGTTCCCAAGGGGTTATATTTAACTGGTCCTTGGATCTTCATTCAATGACCGACTCACAGGACGTAGCCGTCAATATTGATAGAGAATTTTCGGAGGATGCATCAATCCTATATCGGACTTACTACTAGTGCTCTCCGCGAGCAAAGTTGAACAGTAAAAGCTGTTCTTGGCTGGAAGTGGTTAGTTGTGAATCTTCAGCCAGGGTGACCACAGCAGCAACGTGCTTGAGGCAGACAAGGAACAATCCAAGAAACGGCAATTCGATAATCTTGAGCAATGCAAGGTGTAGAGGTCTTAAGGATAGAAGTTGAACGAGCACTCAGAAGCCATGTATGTATGAAACACGCAACATCCATCGTTCATCACTGTTAGCGACCCTCCCTTCGGTGCAAGCCTTCAGGAGGCACTCTCGGATCAAATATATCCTTGACCCATTGGTCCAGTTCATCGCCGTCCTCCTCGATTACCTTCGTAAGTGCTCCCTTCAGCGAAACTGCCTTGTCGATTATCTCTGCCACGTTGAAACTCTCAAGCGGTCCACCGTGCCGACAATATTTGCGAAAGATGTCTCGATACACGTTTGGACCNTGAGCCGGTCAGTAATGTAAGTTGATAACAAAGACAAAGTAGAGCATACCTGCAAAGTCTTCAAGCCCTAATGCCAAGTAGCTGACATGCATGTCAGGATCCCAATAAGGAGGAGGGGTATAAGGACTATCGAGAGGAATTTGTCGCAGGTGGCGGTCCTGTCCGGGGCTGAAGAAAACACGACCCTCCATCGCCGCACCGAGTCTTTGATCATGGAGCACATTCCAACGGTGTCTCCACTCCCTCGATTTTGACTCATCTTCCTCGTCTATATTGATTGCTTCTTGAACAACTGCTTCTGCTCGGTCAATTGCGTCTTCTCGATCCGCTGCTCCTTCTCGATGAACTGTTTTTTCTCGATGAACTGCCTCTGGCTGCGATCTTTGAGTCTGAAGTTTCTGGAGATACTCCACTCTCGATTTCGCCAGTGGGAACTCTCTTCGGAGTAGAACAAAGACTTGAGATACCTTCTTGATCCTAGCGATCATCGAGACAGTATCCTGTGTACGAATGTATCGTGTCCCTGCACTCCTGGCTTCGTGACAGATGTGAATTATAGCGTCGACGATGCTTTCCGATTCTTTCCGTGGTCCATAGGGAAGTTTATTCAAGGTTTGAACTTTCGCGAGGTGATATGCCAAGGTGACATACAACATGCGCACAAGTGTCGGTAACACTCGTTTATGTATGTAATTCAGCCCTTTGCGCTGGTCCCATACAGGCTTCTGGAAGATTGCCCTTGCTTCTTCAGTGATTTCATTGGAGGACTGAACGAGATGGCCTGTTTCGCTGTAGTTCTGTGCCTCCTTCCACTGCACGATGGTTCTCTTCAGTCTACCATAACTTCTTAGGATATGAATATCATCAAACCCCTGTCGGATCTCTTTAGCGTCTTCGTGGATAAAGTGTGCCATTTTAAGAGCCTCTTTCAGCTCTTCTGGCATGGAGATGTTTTTGAAGCCGTTGACCTCAGTCTCAAAATCATCAATCTCTGCAGTGTAGTCCTCAGGCTCATCTCTGGGACCATACTTTTCGTTGAGCTCTTGTACTCTCTGAACATCACGTGCAAGCACTTCGGCTTGTGATCGTGTGTTCCTCGTAGGCGGCGTGGGAGATACGAAGAGAGCAGAGTCTTCCGAGGAGGCCCTCTGACCCTCTTCAACCGACTTTGGCTGCACGTCGTTCACGGCAATCGGAGAAGCTACAGAATCTGCTGGGGCAGCCGAACTCGCGTGATATTGGTCTTCCACGATGTCTGCTGACAGGCCTGGCGACTTCACTGTGACGCTAGAGTCCTGGGCAGCAGTTGGAGGAGACGTTCTCCGATTGCGGGTGTATGTATTATCCTTTGAGGGCTTGGTCGAGACGGTTTTATTGATCACAACCTGTACGACCTGGTTTGTACGAGGAGGATTTTGAGGGCGAGACTTGAGGTCGGGTTGCTGCTCGTCAAGTAAAGAAGGTGGGGTATCTTCAGGGACAACGGGCTGATCCTGTGTTAGCGGAGGAAAACCATCATTCTTCCGATACTGGCTGCGTGGAGATCGCTTATATCCAGATCCAGATCCAGGCGCCACTGGACGCTGCATGGAGCGAGTTGTTCGCCTCTCGTTTGTTGAGCTGGGTACAGACGAGCTTGTGACCTCTTGTGGATCACGTACCGAGCTAGGATGCGAGTTCGGAAGGTCAGGAACTGCATCATGGTTACGCTTTGGCCGTTTGTTCGCCGGCTGAGGAGGTTTATGGCTGAGCTGATTTATCGTAGAATGTGAGTCTACCACATCGTCTGATGGGGCGTCTGCGTCCAACAGGTCTATTGGAGGAGCAATCCTTGTCGGCTTCTGCTGACGTCTGGAGGAAGGGACCTTTTTGGGCTTCTTTAAGGGTACACCAGAGCTTGGTCGGATCCCACGTTCTGGCGAGGCTCCTATCTCGAACGGGTCTCCTCGCGAGGCAGTCTCTGATTCTCGCCGAAAGAAGCCTGAAGACGGTCTCTTCAGTTTGCCAGTAGCAGAAGACGTTGGTACCTCTGGGGCATGAAGAGCCTCACTATTAGGCACGATAACACCATTAATTATGGCTTCAGGCAGGAGTTGCGACTTGGGCAGATACAAGATTTCTTCTGGGCCCTCACTTTCTGATGTTCATAGTCAGTTCAGAGATGTTGGTTGATCGAGAGCGCGTCAAGTACCGAGCAGATCGGACTGGGAGGGTATTGGAATACGGCTTCCGAGCTTTGTTATTCGAGGTTCTTCTGCGATGCCAGGAAGGAAAACCTGTTCGTCCGGATCGCCATCTGAGACCTCGCTTGTTGAGATTCCATAGGAAGCCATGTTATGACATGTTGAGTTGATGGCAATGGATGAGGTATCGGATGGCCCGTAGATCCGACGAAGAGGCTGGTGTTGGTATGTTGAGCTTGGACCAGCAGCGCGCGAGACTCTTGTGAGAGGAAAGCGCCATCCATATCGACCATGTCCAACACCACACACTAGACTGTTCGACACCATGACCGACGATTTGCGCAACGGACACGGCATTCCATTGCTGCAGGTGATCGCGCCTTCGGCCCAACGACCCTTCGAGACGCCTTCGAAACGTATCAACGATGGCGACGACCTCTCTTTCTTCTTGCGGAGCTCAGCCTATGCCGACATCATGACCTGGATCCTTCAGTTGAACCGTTCTATGATACCCATCAAGCGTGCAGACAACTCAAATTCTGTCGATACATGGCCCTCGCAGTCAAAGAACATTGTCCTTGGCCCCGACGTGGTCAAGTTGAACCATCTCATCCGCTCCCTCGATGCTCTCATGGAAAAAGCGCCTCCGGAGTCTGGACCTCGAAGGTTTGGCAATGCTGCCTTCCGTACATGGTACAAGGCTGTTCAAGAAGCCACACCATCTCTTTTGCAAGACGCCCTCTCCGACAAGTTGTGGGGCCGTGCTCGGGACGACGCCGAGCTGAGCGCACTTAATCACGAATTGGCTACATACCTTCTGGGTAGTTTTGGAAGCTCCGAACGACTCGACTATGGTACCGGCCACGAGCTGAGCTTCCTGGCATTCTTGGCCTCTATCTGGAAGCTGGGTGGCTTCGCCCACGCCGATGGCGGTGTCCAAGAGAGAGCCATTGTCACTGCAGTCATACAACCGTGAGTTTTGTCTTGATGACCTCCTACTGACAAGAGGCTCACCACCATGCAGCNNTATCTAGATCTTGTTCGAAAGCTTATCTTGACTTATTCTCTTGAGCCTGCCGGTTCTCATGGAGTTTGGGGACTTGACGACCATTCGTTCGTACCTTACATCCTAGGTTCTGCTCAATACTGTGCACCCATCGACGCCGACGCTACCAAAATTCCTAATGAGGGCTCTCTCTCGGGTTCGCCATCGCCAAATCGCACCGCGAAGAGTGACTCGGCCGAAATGTTTAGAAACACTAATATGTACTTCTCTGCCATTGCTTTCATCTTCGATGTCAAGAAGGGTCCCTTCTGGGAGCACAGTCCTACTCTTTTCGATATATCCGGTATCAAGGACGGATGGGCCAAGATTAACAAGGTCAAGAAGCTATGTGCATGCTGAAATCAATGTCGTCTTGCTAACAGATCAGCAGNNGGGATGATTAAGATGTACAACGCCGAAGTTCTGTCCAAGTTCCCAGTTGTCCAGCACTTCCCATTCGGTTCGCTCTTTCGATGGGAGCAAGATCCTAGTGCTCCGATGCCCACCACGTCTGCTCATATGGGCTCTCAACCAAAGCCATCAAACTCGTCCAATCTCACAAATGTGAGCTTCCCGCAGCCATCGACGCGAGCACCATGGCCGAGCACAGCAGCACCAAAGTCGGCAATGCCTGTCACGGGAGCGCCATGGGCAGCGAACGGACCATCATCTGCAGCGAATGTCGCAAGAGCACCGTGGCCAAGAGCCCCTCCAGGATCTAATCGACCAGCTTGACGAGACGTCGCAGACCATCAGACGACACGTATGTACTCGTACTTAGTATGTGTGTCGCATTATTCTGGAAACCTGACGGCAACCAAGATAGACGGACCCGATAGGACAGAACAAGCGGCATAGGTTCAACGTCTTTTGGGAAGTTCGCAGCCACCAGCGCTCGGGTACGATAAAAACGGTTTCGGTTTCCTGCACACATGGCAAACGGTGAGTGGGGAGATGTCTCTTGTACATATGCAGGTCTAGGAACGCCGTACAACCACGTGTGCCGCTTTGCAAATAGCGACGAAAGAGGAAAGAAGGATATTAGACAGCACACAGGGCAAAGGCAAAATGGCGATAGTCCAGAGGCTAGGAGCTGCGAGTCAGCGCGTGGAAAGCTGATGATCAGCGTAGCCGGACGATTTTGGCGGTAGCTCCAATGGGGTGGCCAATAAGAGGCTGGCTCGAGATTGCATTGGACCGTCGCCAATCGGCGCTAGAAAGGTCCGCGAAAGCTTCTGGCTGCCGGCTGGGTGCTGGAGCACAAAGTCAAACATGTCTGGTCCCGTTCATTGGATCGAGACACGAATTGAAAAGACGTCTTTAGCTGCACCTGTCGCTCTTGCCCTCGGCGCAAGCATGCAGCGCTCCCTTCTTTTCCCTTGCTCTTTCCCTTCGAGTTGCACTTGACCATCCACCATCCTTTCCGACCTTCTTTTCCTGCTTCTGTCCCACGAGGTCTCAGCTTTCCCTGCTCAGCACACGCCCTGGGCAAGCGCCCCACCAGAGTGACATAATGCCTGGAACATGTTAGTATTAATTGCTCCCTCGAAGTCGAGTCTCCCCACGGTCTGTCTAACCATGTCCCCAGCATCTCCAGCCGACACATATGAACAGTTCAAACGCGCTTTCCGAAATCTTTTTCGGCGCCGGAAGTTCAACACCAACGTCCCTGCAGTTGTTGTGAAGCCACAAGCGCCAAACCGCCCACCACGTCCACGATCAGCCTCGGCCACCGCAGCTCCTGAAGTCTTTACCAGCCCAGAGATTCCTTCATGGCCCATATTCACACAGCTACCACAAGGCGGCGGTCTTTACTGTGCACCCGTCGAGCTTCCTGGGTCGCTTGCACCCCTGCTCCAACATCGGTCCAAGTCCGACGCAGGTCAGCCTGTATATCATTCCGACCTCTTCAGCGAGCTGGACGCCACTTCGATCAGACGATTGAGTGTGATTGGAAGCGAAGTGGCCGACGACGAGGAATTGGACGAAGCATATATGGAACTTCAAGCAGAGTTGAATGCACAAAATGCATTGCAAATGAACGAAGAACAAGTCACGCCAGAACAATCCACACAACCAGCAGATCAACAATCCACAGACGAACTCTCACACCCAGAATCAGAACAGACACAAGACGATGCCCTCTTCGAGGATGCGGAGGAGCATCTCCCTCTTGAGCCTGAGGTCGAAGACCTTGTAATCCCAGCGAACATTGCCCTCCCAGAAGGTTCAGACTCTGGTATGCTTGAATATTCAGCCCCAACTCTATTCAAAAGGCTGACGGTTGTAGACCTTGAGGAAGATAACTTCTCACTTACAAGTGAAGCCGAAGAGCTAGCTAGAAATGACTCGGCAAATGGCGGCAAGGTCTTCCACGATGATTCCAGCTCTCTCTACAGCACCGACGAATCCGAAAACGATGCGGATTCTACCACAGACGCAGCCACTGTCTCCACACCTCGCACTGCTTCTTTGCTCAGAGCAGACATGATGGAGTACTTCGATGAGAAGATTCCAGTATTTTCTGAACCTCCTCAGGTTCTGCCTCTCGTTCCTGCTCCTGGCATGGCCGCGACTTCTGGACCCCTCGAGGAATTTTCCTGGTGATCTCGATCGCTAAATTTTCTTCTTATTATTTCTTTGGATTCTTATGTTCTTTGCGTCGCGGGAGGGTTGAATTTGGACCAGAAGTTGGGGGAGAGGGCGTTCTTTCGATTTTACATGATACCATTTGATGAACATTTCACTTCTACGGATTACTTGTATATAGGGCTATGGGGGTTTCTTTGCTCGGTATCAGTCTTGGACTCTGCAATCATTGTATATAGAAGCAGCAAAATCAACGATGCATACATTTCACAGCAGCGAGCAATCTGGGACCACTGCGAGTCAATGGTGATCTCTTTCATCGCAATACTTCGATCCGTGTTCCTGATACCGCACACGAGTCAACTGGTCGAGCGGTGTGGTGTCACCGAGTGGGTAGATTGGAGATGGTCGCTGCTGATCTCTTGGGCCGGCATGGACCAACGCGCGAAATCGGGCGAGGGGAGATGATACCGTCTGCACACTCCACCTAGATTTGTGTCACCCACGCATGACTCTCTCGCCGATACGCACGAGATATACAAACGACCGAAAGAAGAAAAGATTGCAGTCACAATGGCATCAGCGACGGCGGCGACGACAAGACTGCTGCCGACAAGCGAAGGGCCGAGGGTCATCGTCTACCATCAAACAATACACCGAGATGGGAAATACGTGTCTTTGCTGCCGCTCATTACCAACCAGACGGGCGTGACGCATGTAATAGTGGCGGCTATCCATCTGAACGAAGGTCCGGGCAACATCACTTTGAACGATGATCCTCCGCACGCTTCCAAATATGAAACGCTATGGGGAGAGGTGGCATGGCTGCAAGCATCCGGCGTCAAGGTGCTGGGGATGTTGGGCGGTGCTGCAAAGGGCAGTTTCGAGAGACTCGACGGACCTGATGATCGCAAGGTAAGAAACTGGGTTTGATGTGCATATTCATAAACGCAGGCTCGGAAAGGCTAACATCATGTCTCGGGTAAAACAGNNTTTGAGGATTACTATAAACCATTGCACGCTTTGATATCCAAACACAATTTCTCGGGCTTGGATTTGGATATCGAGGAGCACATGACAATATCCGGAGTTATTCGTCTGATCGACCGTCTGCGTGCGGACTTTGGACCTGCCTTTCTCATTACACTGGCTCCAGTGGCTACAGCATTGCTTCCAAACCAGCCCCACCTATCGGGCTTTGACTACAGACTGTTGGAGCAGATGCGCGGAAACCAAATCGCATGGTACAATACACAGTTCTACTGCGGCTGGGGCGATGCGACAACGACATTCTGGTACGATGCCATCATGAGCGTAGGCTGGCGTGCAGACAAGGTCGTCGTCGGTCTAGTCACGAACCCAGGGAATGGAGCAGGTTATGTGGAGCAAAGCACTTCCCACGAGGTGATGAGAATGCTGCGGGCAAAGTACCCGACATTTGGCGGTGTGATGGGTTGGGAGTACTTCAACTCGATGCCCGGCGAGCACGGTGAGCCATGGCACTGGGCTGCAGGCATGGCGATAGCAATCAGGCATGCTTTGCCGCCGTCGGGCCAGTTGCAGGGAGGAAGAGGCGTGGAGAGACCCGGTGCAGGCAATTTGCCGCCAACGATAGCGGTACCAGCGCATTCTTTCCCTGCGCAGGACATTGAAACACTGCAGAACTTGGGATTCTCGAGTCAGCAAGCGATTGCGGCACTCAATGCAACCAGCGGCAACGTAGAGTATGCGGCAGGGCTGCTCTTCGAGTACTGAAACACTACACTGTACATGGACTATTGATAGAAGGTGGCACACATATCATGACTAGAAGGAGATTCATTGCGAATAAAGAAGCCTATCAAGACGACGCCCTCCAAAAAAGCCTTTCCTGAACATAAGCGGGGCATGAGCCGGCATGGCTCGACGAGATATGGGAACCGAGAAGGAAAACAGAATGGAAGAGAAGTGTAACAGAGACAGTGGAGACGAGTTGCCTTGTGGTTCGCCTTGAAACGCCAGTAATGAAGACGAGCCATGCCGATGCAGAGAATTGGGTAGTTTTGAAAAGAAAGGAAGGCTGTTGGGGACATGAAGAGATGCGAAGAGGAATACGAAAGGACATCAGGACGTGACGGCGACTCGGGGCTGGATCAGTGGTAGCCGTTTCGTGCGCCGTAGTACTTTGAGTCGTTGAAGTAGGGGTGTAGGCAGGCCTGCTTTGCTGAGATTCTGCCGGCAGGGTCGTAGATGAGCAGCGACTCGAGAAGGTCGATGCCGTCCTCGCCCAGGACTCTTGCGCCGTCGTGGTTGATGATGTCGTCGTCGGGGTTGCGCGACCACTTGGGGAAACTGGGCTTGAAGTCGGGGAAGCTGGTGACACCGGGCCAGTCCTCTTCCTTGGGAGTACCGAGGATGCGGAAGATCTTGAAGATTTCGTCGATTTCAGAGTCGCCGGGGAAGAGAGGCTTGCGCGTGGCCATCTCGGCAAAGATGCAGCCAACGGACCACATGTCGACGCCTGTGCTGTATTGACGTCCGCCGAGGAGGATCTCGGGAGCGCGGTACCAGAGGGTGACGACCNNTGGGGCAGTGTCAGTTTCAGACGTCAAGTGCATGCTTGAAGAAGAAGAAGAAGAAGAAGAAGAAGAAGAAGAAGAAGAAGAAGAAGAAGAAGAAGCATTGGAAGGTAGAGGCTGGCAAGGGGGCGGGGGGCTCACCTCGTGGGTGTAGGTGCGCAGCGGCACACCAAAGGCTCTGGCCAGACCGAAATCGGCGAGCTTGAGGTTGCCCTCCTTGTCGATGAGCAGGTTCTGGGGCTTCAGGTCGCGATGGAGGATGCGGTGGGAGTGGCAGTAGCGGATGCCGGCGCACAGCTGGTGCATGAACTTCTTGACCATGGCGTCGCCGAGTCCCATGTGGCCGGCGCGGCCGTCCATGCAGCCCTCGGGCAGCGGCTTGCCACGGCCTCCCNNCTGCGAGACGGGCAGAGCCTCCATGTACTTCTTCAGATCCAGGTCGAGGTACTCGAAGACGAGGTACAGCTTGTGGCCGTCGGCGTGGACAATGTTGAACAGGCGCACGATGTTGGGGTCGCTCATCTCCTTGAGGAGCGAGATCTCGCGGATGGCCGTCGACGGCACGCCCTCATCCTCGGCTTCCAGACGGATCTTCTTGAGGGCGACGATGCGGTTGTCGGGCGTGGTCAGGTCGCGCGCCTTGTAGACAACTCCGTATGTGCCTNNGCAAGCAGTCGTCAGTTTTGCGTGCTCACAGGCCAAGCGCGGGCGTGTTGGGCAAGACTCACCCTCGCCAATCTTTTCCATCTTCTGGTAGTTCTCCATGACGGCGACGTGTGAATGCGTGCTGGAGTGAAGGTCGAGTTGGCAGCTGGCGGGCTGGGATGTACGACGAGTATGCGCTGCGTCCGGGGCTCAAAGCAGCAGCCGTTTGTGCCTCTTTTGGCGACGAGAAAGGGGCAGTCTGGAGTGGCGGCGGCAATGGCGAAGTCGCTTTGCTGCAGCTGAGTAGCGAGACGACTGGAGCAAAGAGTGAAAGGCCGGCGGTCGAGCTGTCAATCAAGTCGAGCACCACTTCTTTTATTTTCGTCAACAAGTTGCCGCTCCACCAAAAGTAAACACAAAGTGGGCAACAGAGCCAAGATGCAAACACAACAACCTCGACAAAACATCAACATCAACATGATAACCCGCTTCCAACCACCAACCACCAACCACCAACCACATCTTGCATCATCACCCTCATTATCATCAATTTGCATCAACAAAAGCCCGCCTCCAACAATGGCCCTGGCCCAAACCCTCGATGCCCATGCTCGTCCGCCTGAGGACCTGCGCCGCCAGTACAAGCACTACCAAAAGGCCTCCACCCACGTATTAGATGCAGACCCTGACCTGTTTGACATTCACCGGCGCAATTTGTCCGCCTGTCAAGACCGCAATTTCTTTCGACAAGGTCCTGATGATATCACCAACATCTATTCTCACTTTCTTGGCGAGCCTGTCGGTACATTGCCGCCGTCAGTTGAATCTGCTAGACTCTACGAACACCCAGATGCCCCAGGTACGCCGCGTCCATTGTAAGGCACGCGAAACTCTTTCTGAGCCTACGGTAGGTCTTTTGNNATAATCCCCTCTCTGCTCCCCGACGAAGTCCAGCTTGCCTTGCTGGACAAACTACTGCATCGGGACCTGTCCAATCCTCTTCACCAGACCAATCTGCACATGCACTATGACATGGCACACCCTCAAAGCTCTGACGGAAGCCCATTGTCTTTCTTTAGTGAGCAAGCACAGAATCTCTCACATGAACCCAAAGACCCGTCCGTTCACAAACCGCTGCCCATGTCCTCTTGTCTAAACAGGAAATTGCGCTGGGCCACTATTGGCGGACAATATGACTGGACCCAAAAAGTGTACCCTGCATCACCGCCACCCNCCTTTCCAGAAGATGTGGCTGCACTGGTGGAAGGGCTCTTCCCATCAATGAAGGCACAGGCGGCCATAGTTAACCTCTACACACCTAGTGATACACTAAGTCTGCATCGAGACGTGAGCGAGGAATGCGATAGACCCCTAGTCAGTATTTCTCTGGGATGCGATGCCATCTTTATGGCAGGCTTGGAAGGCAGCAAAGGTCTTGCCATCCGTCTGCGGTCTGGAGATGCGCTTGTCATGTCTGGTCCAGCTCGGTATGCCTGGCATGGCGTGCCCCAAATATTGCCAGGCACATGTCCAGAATGGATGGCGGATTGGCCCGTCAAGGAAGATGGAGGAGATGGAGAAACATATGAACATTGGAAAGGATGGATGGCACGAAAGAGGATCAACCTCAATGTACGGCAGATGTGGGAGTAGCTTGATGTGTGATGTGACTTGACCGCTTGTAAATATGTGCGTGTATTCAGTAGTCCACCTCCATCAGATCTGCCATAAGACCGTCTTTCCGAGTAGATTGATATGCACGTGAACGTGAAACATGAAGATTGGTCGACGGAAGCCATGACGAAACAGCTTCCTGAAGATCAGCCTGAAGCTTCACACTCGAACCGACCATCTTCTCTCAATACCACACAAGACAGCTCAATCATGACTTCAACAATCGATTCCTCCCTTCCCNCGCTAAAGCCCGTCTACTCGCCAAAAGACAGCTCAGCCCCGCGCAACGAAGCACCACAATTGGCCAAACTCATCTCCACCCTCCACCTCCAACAGCACATAGAAGGAGGCTATTTTGTCGAAACCGATCGCGACACCAACCGCGTACCGAACCCCTTCCTCAACACCTCTCCCTCGGCATCAGACAATAAGCAAACAACCTTCTACACCTCCACCGGCGCCGTAAGCGCAAACCTCGGCAACAAGCTCACAGATGCGGACAAGAAGACCACAAGTCCAGACGACGGCCAAGACAAGACGAGGAATGCAAGCACCAGTATCCATTACCTCTTGACCCCCGAGTCGTCCATGGGGGCTTTCCACCGCAACAGAGGACGAACAATACATACACTGCACAGAGGACGAGGCCGCTACGTCATCATCCACGCTGACGAGGTCATGCCCGAATACGACTCGCATGCAGGCGTACGATCAAAGGCTAGGGTGGAGACTTTCATCGTTGGTCAGAACGTGGAAAAGGGCGAGAAGTTGCAGTGGATTGTCGATGGTGGAAAATACAAGAGTAGCTTTCTGCTGCCGCTCGAGGGTGACGATGCCGCCGACAATGAGGGTCTGCTGATCAGCGAGACGGTGGTCCCGGGCTTCGAGTACAGTGATCATGACTTTATGAGGATTGAGAGACTGGAGGCCTTGGTCACCAAGGAGCAGGCAGATGAGATGAGGTGGATGCTGAGAAAGGACGACAAGCCAGTCTAAGCGTGGTATCACGAAAAAGAAAGGTATACACATGAGCATACGGTGAGGGACAACCATTGAGAATAAACAACCATATTATTACTGCTCTACTACAAAACTCTAGAGGTATCATGCAATCAATCAAATCGTCGTCGCTGTGTTCTGTCTGTCCGTTGCTTCGGCCGTCAGGATAGTTCCATTACACCTTGCTGTGGGTAGCGACGCCGTCGATGGGTCCGGCTGCGGCATAGGCAGCCTCCTTGCGCTCAGCCTCGAGGGCAGCAGCGTCGGTGGTCGAGGGACGAGTGTCTTCCTCGGTAAAGACCTTGGTGGGCTCAGAAGAGTCTGTGGGTGAGACGGCAGATCCCATGGCAGCACTGGGCTGTCTGCTGGTGGCAGGACTGGTAGGGGGGAGCTCGTTGGTGGTTGTGCCGGTCGAGCCTCTGAGACACTCGTACCACTTGGTAGCATCTTGAGGAGTGTGGGCCTTGAAGGCATACTCGTGTGCCATGGAGATCTTGTTGCCAAAGCTGCTGCCCGACACGTCCTTGCCCTTGACCTGGAACTTGACACCGTCGAGGGCACCGATCATGCAGTCGGGCAGGTACAGAGAGGTCTCGGGAATGGGATCCTTTGCAAAGTCGTCGTCGGTCTTGAACTCGTGCATAAATCTCGAAGGAGTGATGACCCAGAACGAGGACTCGTACTTCTTAAGCAGCTTGCCCTTCTTCTCCAGAGAACCAGCGATCAAGGGCTCGGTAGCTCTGTGGTTCTGGTTGGGGAAGCTGATGTTGGACATGGTGCGTGGGGGAGCATTGGGGTCGATCAGGACCTGGTTGTTGCGCTGGACGAAGCCGTTCCACTCAAAGTCGGGAGCAATCTGCTGGGCAGTGCTGGTCATGTTGCCGTACATGGTACGAGTCTGCTCGGCCTGGTTGCCGACGATCTGGTTGAATTGCGTCAAGCCATTCTGGATGGTGGTAAGGATGTGGGCCTCGAACTGGGCGAAGCTGTTCTGCACAGCGATGATATCGTTGCGGTTGTTGTTCTCCTCGATGATCTGCTTGTTCAGACGGTGGTAGACGCCACGCTGGAGGACGTAGGGGTCCTCGTGTGCGCTGATCTTGCCACCGGTACTGTCAAAGGAAGCAGTGTGCTGGCCGAGCTGCTCAATGTGCTTCTGCGATGTTGCGCGGGCCTTGTCGACGAGCTTGCCGCCCTTGCCGGCACCCTTGGTGAGTTCCTTGGTCTTGTTCTTGATCTCGGTGTGGAGGCGCTCGAAGATGGGGAGGACGGAGCCCTTGAGGGTCTTTGCTGTCTCGGCGTGCGAGTTTGAGATGCCCTGGTGTCTGCTTAGTTCCATGCTCGCTTCTCCATATGCTCATTGTCGTACCTGAGTGTTTGAGCGGATAGTGTCAAAGGTGCCAGCGACACCGCCCAGGTTCTGGTCGAAGTGGTGGCCCTCCTTGAGGGGATGCGAGACAGTCTGCCAGGGGTTGTCAGTATCATTATATTAGGTTTGGAGGGGATCTCCTCGCCGTGCTACGTAACACAGGTAGCCATGGAAATGCACAATACTGTCAAAGGTAGGAGAGCATCCGCTGAGAGTCATCATATGCAGTGCGGCTCTCAGTGGACTTCACTCTATTGTGAACAATATTGTGCATTCTACAGCCACGCTGTTGGCACACAGTGGGATGGGAGGGTCAGACTCACCTTGAGCACCTTCTCGTACTCCTTTGCGTGTGAGTGTTGCATCTTCTCAGTGGCCGAGACGTAGTCTTCGAGGTAACCACATGCGTGCTTCCATGCTTGCAGGCGCTCGTGGAAGAGCTTGGTGACCTCGCTGGTGTCCTCGTCAGGGATGGCGTCGTCGTCGGTCATGTTTGTGGCCGTTCTGGTAGGGAGTTGACGTTCGGTGGTGGCCATCTTTGCGGTTGTGGGAACGTGTATATGTGTGTGTGGTATGGTATAGACTTGGCTCTATGCGACAGAGATATCAGTTGAATGCACGAAAGAGGGGTTGTTGACAACAGCATGGTGGGCCGATGGTGTGGTGGGGTAATGAGATGGGCTTACGTGGATGCCGGCGGTTCGGTGCAAGCTGTGAATATGTTGCAAGATATCTAGAAAGTGCTCGATCTCGAGTTGCGTATGATCTCTTTGTGTTTATATACCGTTCTTCAAGGCGCAGCTCACCTTGCAACCCGCTAATCGTGAAACGTCGACCGGATCCTGGCCGATAATTTGTTCAATGACGATTAGCCTTTGATGCAACCAAGCCACTGTCGTAAATCGCGGGCTCGTGCTGCTGTTCGAGACCATCCCGCATCCATTGGCGTTCCCTAGCCAACAGGAACTCAAGACCCTTTCAAATCTCAATGTCACACGTCAAAAGCCACAAAGCCCACACACGGCATGCTGCTGCCACCTCATTGCACAGAGCCGTTTGAGGAGGTGGCTGGAACTGCAACAAGCGGTGTACGAGAAATGACACCCAATCGAGCCTCGACACCATTTCCAGATATTGGAATCCTCGTCATTTTCTCTTCAAGCTTTGTACCATGTATCTCATGAACATCCAGACACCAGGAATGCAGCCAGCTCGATGTATTATCCATAAAGCCTGCAATCTGTTGAATGACTTTTGTACCAACAGATGTAACTTTCAGGCCTCGTTAAACAACGCAAGGAAACCTGTATTACCTCAAGTCCGTACAAAGATTTCATTTCATGTCCTTGTCATGTAGCTTGAGGGTCTCGCCAGGACATAACACAGAATTACAGACAAGAGAGTGAAACGCTCTCACAACTGTCGATTGATTCGACTTTGGAAATCTGGATACCAGGGTCACCTTCTCAACAGAATTTCGTTTACCACTAGCCATATATAGCTAGTGCGAGCCATCGAGTTCTCGTATCTACTACTACTGGCAAGGTATAACGAGAAGAGACGAGTAAATGTTTCTAGAGAGGATTGAAATAGAGTCGTGGCTTTCGTTTGCATCTCGGCGGCCGCTGGAAATACTGCAATAAGAGAGTGGAAGATGGAAGAAGAATAGGACAACTCGTATGCAAAATCCGTGCTTCCAGGGAAAGATGAGAAGTAAAACAGAAAGGATAAGAGAAAACAACGCCGCTCAGTGTGTTTGGTTGCAAGAAACTCCATTTTCCCAATGCAAATGCGTTGACATGTCACCATAGCTCGCTCTTCTCCTCATCTTGCCAAAGGCTGCCTTGATCACCGAACGGCTGTGAGTCGGCTGAATATCCCAAGTAATCCTTTTGGCTCGAGTTGTTGTTAGGGGTCTCGTGGACAGGCTGAGCAGCTTGTTCGGCACCAGCAGAAACGTGGTCTTGCTGCTAGAAGAATGTTAGCCGATGGTCTGTTACTGACTCTCTGCGTTCACGAACCTGATCATCCGCTTCAGCGTCGTCTTGGTGCTGTTGCTGACGTTGTTGCTGTTGCATCTGTTGCTGCTGTTTGGCCTGTGCCGTCTTTTGCGCGACTGGCACTGAGCTCTGAGGATGGTACATTTGGACTTTGGCGAGATAGCTGTACATGAAGTTCGACAGCAGTACTTGGCTGTGTAGTGGCCTCCTAGGGTTGGCGAGCTTCATGTGCGCCATTCGGTAGATAGCACGTTCTTCCAGGATGCTGAATCTTGTCCAGTTGTAATCAATATCCGGCCGAAGTATTCTTGGGGCTGGTTCTGGAGAAGGTGCCCGGAGCGACTCTTTCGGCACCTGAGATTGTTGTTTGTGCTCTTTTGATCGCTTGCCACCTCCAAAGATGGCCGACAGGATGCCCGAGTCCTTGTCTTTTCTGCCGTCGGTAGATTTCCGCGAGCTCTCCTTCTTACGCTCTTCATCGAGTCTGAAGCTCTCACGATCGAGGACCAATGACTCTCGACCTTTGGGAATAGTGGCATTACCGTCGATAGACGACTGCAGCACGTCGAGGCGAGTCTTCTCTGCAGTCTTTGGATGTTGCTTAGCGGCAGCCTTCAGCTTCTTGGACGCCTCCTTCTCGCGCTCTTTGTCTTCTGTCTTGCGCTCCTTCTCTCTATCTTTCTCCTCACTACCGAGGAGCCAGTTCCAGCTTGTTTTGCGACTGTCCTTCTTCTCGACCTTCTTATCCTCGTATGTTGGTACCATGGTGAGAGCATCGGTCCGCGTGTTCCCGCTGCCAGGCAAAGGTGATGGGTGAGAAGATATGTCTTCCAGGGTGGATTTGGTGGAGCGAGCCGAGTTGGAGTGAACGAGGGACGGACGAGAGTGAGCACCTCTAGCACTCGGACGAGCACGAGGAGGGGCATGATGTTGCGCTGGCCCATTTGAAGGAGCAGGGGTTGAATGCTGCTGCGTTGATGGTGGGGTAGAGGGTGGAATGTGTGATGATTTTCGTTCTGGGACGGTGAAGCTGTTGGTTGCGGGAGGCGTCTCGACTATGTGCGGGATCGGACTGCTGGCACCAGGGATAGGAGCAGTAGTCCGACCATTGGTAGCAATCCGTGAATGGAAAGTTGTCACAGGGGCAGCGTTCTGAGGAGGAGGAGGAGGAGTGCTATCTTTGGCTTGGCTAGCCTTCGTCTTATGTTGAATCAGGTCTTCTGAAGAAGCAGAGGACAGGCGCCCAGCACCGGCAACAGCATCACGAGCTGATGCAGGCTCGGTCTGTATGCGGCTGATACCAGGGGAAGGAGGCTCTTGCATTGACAATGCGGGCGATGGAGCTCGGCCTCCTTCACCGTCGGACTCGGATTGCCTGCTGTCAGCTTGGCGGCCAAGGCCTCGTCTTGAGAAAGGTGTACGATCTTTGCGCATATACGTTCTTGTAGACCGCTTGAGCGCAGGACCTGGTGCAGGCAGAACCGGGGCATCGGCCATCTGCACGCCCGAATCAAGACTGTTCCTGGCAGAATCTAGATTGACGTTATTGACCAGACCTTCCAGCTCTTGCAAGTTTTCGGCTGTCGGCGATGTCTGTGATTGTTCCCTCTCTGATCGTTTTCGCTGCAAGCGTTCGGCACCATCTTCATATCCCTTGGACGAATCGATCTGGCGTGAAAGCATGCTCTTCTTCCTTGTGAGACTACTACCAGAATTTGATCTTTCCACACCGGGCATCAACGAGTCACCAGACCCAGAGCGCTTTCTTATGCGATCGACACGGTCCTCGACAAATGTCTTGAATTCCTTAGGAGCAAGTTCGGGGTGTAGGCGCGCTGGGACCCAGAACAAGCGCGAGGCTTCATCTTCGTCGGTAGCCTCTGGTGAAGTCGGAGCGGAGGATCCAAAACTGGGTAGGTCGGGGTCTGCATTGTCGACGCTCATAGACATGCGCCGGATGGCTTGAAGGTTGTTGAGCTCTTGAGCCACGGCGGCAGGACTCGACTCATAGTCAATGTCGTTCAGGGGAAACTGTTGTACTGCCGTCTCGGCGGATGACGATGACTTCCTGGATAACGTGGGTGGAGAAGACGAGTCCAGAGGGAGGTTCTCGGAGCCGAGACTGCCCTTGCGCGAGGTCGTGTCGGACGAGGGCACTTTCTCATTGCTGCCCGTCTGCTGGAGCGGGGATCGAGGCGGTGAGGAGCGCTTAGTATCGAGATACGAGGGGGCGAGTTGGTAGGCTTCTATGGCTGATCCGACGAAGCTGAGCGGTCGCGAGTTGCGGTTCGAGGGCGTCAGGTAATCATCGTCGTCGCCGCCGTACATGCCTCCGATGGCCTCTGTGACGTGGTGATTGTCGTCGGATATGGAGATTTGCGGCGTATGCCTGCGCACATAGCTCGGCGCATCGTGTGAGGCCTGTATGGCATCAGCCTGTGGCATTGTTGGTCGACGGGGGTCGTCTCATCGATGATACGCACCTGCATGGCGAGGGGAAAAAGAGGCAGTCGATAGAGAAGCCAGTCACTCAGGAGACCGTCATACACGCGACATGGGCCACCACATCAGACTTGCGGCAGATTCACACGAAGAGCCAGGCCGAAGATGTAGGATAGGAATAAACAAGCAACAATAATACACACGACATGTTTATTCTTCGCTTCCCTGGACTGGCTCGGGGCCTGACAGGGCCTTGGCAAACGCTGTTCACTCGGATTCGGATCGTAGAAGCCGTCGTCCGAGTACGGAAGCCAAAACACTGCTCACTGCTCGCCTGGTCTTTTGCTTCATCTCGCGAACAAGTGGTTCAGATCTTTGCTGTCGGTGCAATACAGGCTAACTGTTCAGAGTTGGGTATCTTGATGCTAATTCCACCGCCAAACTCCACCCATGCATTCAGTCCTCGTGCGCCACTCTCCTAGTTGCTGGCTGCCACACTCTTCCTCCACATGATGGCCAGAGCCGCTCCGGCGCATACCGCTGCTCCAATCCCAATGTACAAATTCGTTCGATCCACATCTGATTCCTCATTCTTTGGGAATGCTGTTGACGGGAACGTCGCGCTCTCGGCAAGGTGCACAAAGAACTCGGAGACACTTGCCCACGTCACGCTCACGTGGAGCGGTTTTGGTACACGCAACTCTTCCGTGTAGTGATCCGGCTGCATCTCACTCCTCTGTACCGCTCTGTCTTGGTCCGCCTTCAAGGCTGTGTACACACCCGGCAGGTGTTCGAGGTGGGCATACTTCTTGCGCATCTCGACAATGTAACCGAAACTGTCAGGGTCACTCGAATCGTATGTGTAGCAAAGAAGGTCACAGGCTTCAAGCTTGGCCTGGTTCTCCAGCACGGCAGGTTCCAGCTCTCCGAGCTCTTTTAAGATGAGATAGCATTGTCGGCCACCAGGAAGCTCAACACTGTTGACGGCAATCTCTGGCTTAATGGTTGGATGATAGGTTGTGCTAAAAGGTCGGCTGAGAAAAGCTGACAACAAACTCGACTTGCCACTGCCGCCAGCACCAATGACATAGCACAAGAAGACGTTGCGCTCTACACGACCCGGCTTGTTGCGTCGCTTGCGAGCTTTGGTAACCTTTAGTGCAGCGGTGGTACCTCCGCGTTGAGGGCTCTCGAAGCCGAGATAGGCCAGATACTCTAACGTGACTTTGGGCTCCTCGTATGTAGTCATGCTCCACTGTGCCAGCCAACCTTGTAAAGTGATGTGACCAGCCTCGTTGCGGACGGTACACGAAGGAAAGTCGGATTCGATCCAGGAAGACGGGAGTCCAGGGGTAGGTGCAAATAGAGCGGCGAGTTCAGAGTCGTTGAGGCCTCCGTCGTTGTCCTTGTCATGCAAGAGAAACAGATCGACGAAGAAACGATAGCCCGAGGGACTCAGCTCGGCGGAGGAAGAGGAGGCCACATCAAACTTGGGGTGCAAGAAGGTATCCTTGAGGCTCAGACTATCGGTGTATTGAAACTTGCGGAGGATGATCCAGATGGTCTCGTGACGGCCCTTTTCGGCAAACATTTTGTTGAGCAGAATAAAGCCATCAATGTCAATGCCGCCTTGGTGGGCATGGACGGAGCGCTTGATACTAACAAGGTCTTGGTCGGACAGTGGCTTTTCGAAGCACTTGAGCTGGAAGTCGAGGATCTCTGCATCGTTGAGCAGACCGTCTTGGTCCTTGTCGCACAAATAGAAGATCCTCCGGAGGGCGGAGACAGCAGCAGGCTTGAGCGAAGACTCTTTTGCGTCGTATATGGGCGCGATGGGGTGGGTGACGGCCTTTTGGCAGAGGAAGAAGACTTCGTTGATGTTGTGGTGCTCGCGAGCACTGGTGCGGATGCACGAGTCGATCTCCTTGAACTCTTGCATTACTGGAAGCATTTCTTCATCGACGACCTGCTGGGTCGAGACATTCTTGGACAGGTCGGCCTTGTTGGCAGTAAGGACAACGGGGACATTGACGCCCAGGGAGCGGAAGTAGGGCAGCCAGAAGAGGGCGACACGCTCGTAGCTGTAGTGGTCCGAGTAGACAAGAAGGATGACATTGGACTTGCGCAGCTCGTTGCGCAGATTGTCGCGTTCCTGGGGGAGGGCGGATGTGTCGACGATGGTGGTGGTGACGCTCTGCGGCGTGCCCAGCGTGGGCGGGATCGAGATGGGCGGCAGCACAGGCTGGATCCTGTTGGTGACGAAGAGGTCCTTGACCAGCGAGGTGATCAGGCTCGACTTGCCCGTGCCCTCGTCGCCGCACACGCAGACGCGCACCGTCGCCATGCTCGTCGTATGCGATTGAGTGTCTGTGACTTGGCCGCGAGAGTCGGACGGAGCTAGCACAAGCACAAGCACAAGCACAAGCCGACCCAGACCCAGACCTGACGGGAGACGGAACACTTCCCCGCGGCTTCCCCACACCTCGGCCCTGTCGCCCTGTCGCGTGGGTCTGGATCTGGCATGATCCCTCTGCTGCGCTCGCGACTCTTGCGATCCGAAGCCTTGGCCATCTCCTGGTGTCCTCTTCGACTTGTCGCTCGTCGTCTTGACATGTTGGATCCCTGATCGACCGTGTCACTCTTCATCTTGACATAGCGAGAGACCCGCTGCCGCTACTGGCTTTGCAACCGAGCTCCCAAGCCCGCCTACCCCGGCGCTGCATCGACTCGCGCACCCCGAAGCCTCGACACCACTCACTCGCTTCTTGTCGCAATGTTGTATGTATCACCGTCCCGTACCGTTACTATGTCTGACGGCTTGCCAGTGTCTTGCCGCCCCCACCGCGCTACCCCAGCGGGAACCTCTATACCGGCTACCCGCCCGGCGCCATCATCGAGACCAACAACACCCTCTCCAAGCATACCGGCTCCGAGTACCAGCTGCTTGTCGGCGAGGGTACCTATGTGCAACGCGACGAGCTTCTTCTGGCCACTCCTCCGCCTCACCCCTCCGACAATCCCGTGCCCAACACCAACCCACTCGCGACCGCCATCGCCCCTCCCACCCAGGGTACCAGACTCTCGCTATGCATAGTCGCCCCCAAGAAGTTTCCTGACAACTCACTTGCCCGCACTATCACCCAAACTAGCCAGCCTTCTGCTATTTCGCCTTCCAACCAAGACGACCCTCTGACCCCCACCACCGACTCGGCCTCCTTCTTCAGATCCACCGCCCCTGTCTTTGGAGACTCCAACCCCGCCCTAGCTCCCATTCCTAACAAGGATTCCAAGGATCCCTCCAAGAGGCGCAAGCCCAAGAACAACATCGTCAAGAGCAACTCCTCGTTTGTGTCCAGAGTCATTCCCCACGAAGCCCTTCAGAAGCGCCTTCAAGAACGCAATCCTCAGGGAACCTTTGCTTTCTCAAACATCAATAGAGCCCTCCAATGGCTAGACCTTTCTTCCGACACAAAGACCGAGAATCTTACCAAAATCTTGTTCACAAAAGCCCACGCTCTATGTCACCATGTCAACCCTCTGACCAAGAGTACTACCCATCTGGACGTCATCCTGGGCTTCTCCTCCTCAGACATCATATGGTACGAGCCTGTATCTCAGAAGTATGCTCGTATCAATAAAAATGGTGCCATCAATTCTTCTGCCGTTTCCTCCGTCTGGTGGTTGCCCAACAGTGAGAATTTGTTCTTGGCAGCTCACACGGATGGCACCTTGATCGTCTACGACAAGGAAAAGGAAGACGCTCCTTTTGTTGCCGAACAAGAATCTTCCGACTCTGCCGACACTCATTCTGGCCCGGCGTCCTTTGTCATCAAAAAGTCCGTTCAATCGCGTAATCAAAAGACCAACCCCGTAGCCGTGTGGAAGATCAACAACCAGCAAATCAACTGTATCTCATTCTCGCCTGATGGCAGACATCTTGCCGTTGTTTCGGAAGATGGTTCCTTGCGCATCATCGACTACCTCAAGGAACAGCTCCTGGACGCCTTTACCTCCTACTACGGTGGTTTGATCACCGTAACATGGTCGCCTGACGGCCGGTATATTCTAACTGGTGGCCAAGATGATATTGTCAGTATCTGGTCCTTTGCAGATGCTGCTCTGGTAGCGCGTTGTCAGGGACACAGTAGTTGGGTTACCGATGTCAAGTTTGATCCCTGGAGATGCGACGAGCGCAACTATCGCTTTGGAAGTGTCGGTGAAGATTGTAAACTCCTGCTCTGGGACTTTTCTGTTGGTATGCTCGGTCGACCGAGAGCGGTGAGTTCCATTCCCAGCTCTTGCTTGCGACACAGCCTACTGATGCAACCTGCGCAGATGTCGATCAAACATAGAGGCAGCGTGACTTCTAATGCCATCACGCGAAAAGAGACCAATTCTACCGTCGGCCGTATCAGATCACACTCGACCATTTCCGAGGATGGAGAAGGCGCGACAAATGGGGCAGACGTCGTTCACGGCTTCAGGACAAAGGCAAGCACGGCCATACTACCGCCCGTCATGGTGAGTCACAAAAAGAACATCGCTTTACCAAATCTGCTTTCCATACTAATGTCGAGATTGCAGTCGAAANAGATAGACAACCATCCGTTGAGCTGGCTCGAGTTTCAGGAAGACTGTATCATGACAGCGTGCAAAGATGGTAAGTGTTTTGCAGCTCTGTGTTGGGATGTCCGGGATCCACCAAGAGACATGTCAATTGCGCGTCGTCGCGTGAAGCCGATCGGGCCTTTTGGTGTAGCAATCTGCAAAAATTCACGTTGGGCTGACACGCTTCACANNGGCCACATCCATACTTGGGACAGGCCCAAGGAAGGAACCGGAGAGAACGGACACAACTCCAACGATGCCGACAACAATGCCATCTGACTCAAGCACACAGTCTGATGAAGACATTGCACATAAAGATTGTGGGTCGGTCAGGCCCTATAATGTATAGCCTGGTGGTCGGTGAGTGTAAATAGCAACGACATTGCTATCTCTGTATAAGAGGTATGTAGCCTGGATAGACATATAGACATCACGTCCTTGTAACTAGCTATCTGCTATTCAGAAGAACAACCCTAATGGCCTGTCATGACTCTGTAATATGCTCGCCTCATGCAAAGCTCAGGAGTGATGGACCGCGACTCATCACGCCATAATCAGAACGATCGGTCAAGCCTCACACCGTTGCACAGCTGGCAGATTTTGACAATGGAAATCCCAACCACGGGTTATAAAGATCTGTTGACGATAAGGCGACGGAAAAAAACGAGGTTTCTTTGTCCAACAAGAAAAATCCAGGGTTCTAGGAGGTAAGACCGAAGCGGCACCGGACCCTTGATCACCCAGAGCTGCAGAGTGGCAGACGTGAATCATGAGGGGCTTTGCATGTGCATGACTGCGTGCTCATGATTTGTTTTTGCGGCGACAGAGCAGCCCAAAGAGTGCAGTGCACTCGCAGCAGCGAGCCCGGGCAGTTGTCTATCTCGGCAGACGACGAGTGTTAGCCGCACGGTAAAGGTGCCAAGGGGGCCGACGGGGCCGCAGGAATTGTTGTTTTCTGGCTGTCAAACCAAAGACAAAGAACGGTCTCCCGTCTCGCGCCGATAAAACCAACAGATCTTTATCGCAACCGGGCACGAGCTTCTTGTTTGAGAGAACGTCATTTGGATCAAGCTTTCGGTTTTGGCATTTTGCACGCTTGCGCCTCAGTCTCTCCTTTGTATCCTCTACAACATCGATTGCTGTGTCGCAAAGACTCGACTCTTGTTACTGTCTGATTAGATTGCTCGCGCGCCCGCGACAGACACGCCACGACCCCGCCGTCGCCATGGTGCATACCCCTCGAGCCAAGCCTGTGCTTGAGATCATGTACTTGCCATCCGCGTCAGATTCATGTGTCCAGAAGGCTGACCTGTCCTGAACAGCCCAAACAACCGCTTCATCGTCTTCCACGGCGACCAGCATGAAGCCCAAACCATCAAGCTGAATGGTGTGGTCCGATTGACCACGCCAGACGCCATGAGCATCAAGAACGTCAAGATCTGGCTTGAGGGCAAGCGACGAATCTCGTGAGTCACTCGTCTGGCAGCGTCCTCTAAGTTTGGTATGCTGACCACCATTTGCACAGGTGGTTCTACATGGGTGGTATGGCTGCAGGCGAAGTGTCGGACAAANAGACCTTCTGGCGTGAGGAGCGCGCTCTAGGCACGTCTGGCACGCACAAGATCAACTCGGGAACGATAGAATGGCCCTTCGAGTACACACTCGACCCCAGCATGCCCGAGAGCATCGAAGGCATGAACAGCACCTACATCGTCTACTACCTGCATGCAAGCGTTTCGAGGCCCGGCTGGAACGCAAAGGACATCACCACCACGCAGCACATTCGTATCGTGAGGACGCTGGGCTCCGAGCAGATGGAAACAACTCGCTCAAGGGTATGCATCTCGAGATCGACTGGAGCGACACGCATGCTGACTGCTCTCCATAGANCCAACGCCGACATTTGGGCAAACAAGCTCAGCTACAGCATCTCGATTCCCACCGACGCCGTTGTTTTTGGAACGTCCATCGTTGCAGACGTCGAATTGTCGCCTATCCGGAAAGGTATCAAGCTCGGCAAGATCGAGATGAGGCTCATAGAGGCCGTGACCAAGAGGATACAGTCGGCCGAAGTGCCCGACCAGCGTGGTGACAGATGCAAGGTTGACGAGTCGGACGTTGCAAAAGCGGAAATGGAGTTCCCCGAGGACTCGCGTGTCACTTTTGCTGACGAGAGCGCCGACAACCCCGTCATGGAGGACGAGAAATACGTCTTCAAGGCGACCCTGGAACTGCCCAAGTCTCTGAAGCAATGCAGACAGGATGTCGACTCTCACAACATCAACATCACCCATCGTTTCAAGCTCATGGTCAACATCCACAACCCCGAAGGTCACGTCTCCCAGCTCGTTTGCCGTCTTCCCGTTAAGCTATTCATCTCTCCCAATCTGCCCGTCGACGACTCGAACGAGGTCCAAGTCGCCGCAAGAACTATGACCGACGCCGAGCTGAACCAACAAGAAGTCACACTCAACGCCCCACCAGAATACGGCCGACACCAGCTCGATGCTCTATACAACGATATCAATACTGGTGGATACATGAGTCGCGCTCCCAGTGGATCAGCCACGCCCTTCTATGCCCAGAGTCGCACCGGATCTTCGGAAAACCTGCAGTCTCTGAACGGTGTCGCAGACATGCATCACTCGCAATCAATGCAATCAATGACAGCACTTGGTGGTGGCGAGAGTCATTTCGTACCCGCCCAGCTTCGTTCACGTCTCGCCAACTTGCAAGACCAAGGCTCAAGCAGACAGATCCGCGCTGCACCCGTAGCCCACCACTCTCCATCGGGCGGTAACACTCCCGCATACACAGGTGGCTACTTTGCTGCTCATTTCTCCCAATCGCACTCAGGCCATGCTTCTCCGCCACATCAATCGCCCGCGCATAGCGTACCGGAGTCACGCCGAGCTTCTGGAGATGGCGAGGACATGGTCGACGACACCGTACCCNCCATGGACGATTTCGACATGGGCACGCTATCAAGGGTACCGAGTTATGGAGCTGCTGTCCGTACACCTGGACCATTTACGCCCTTCGCCGATGGACCACCGAGTTATATGGAAGCTACCAGCAGACCACCAAGCCCTACTCTGCAACTTCCTCAAAGGCCGGGCGCTGTCCATGTCAGGAGCGGCATCAGCACCCCTGGATCTCACTCGAGCAATGCGACATTAACGGGTGCTATAACTCCTGGTAGTTTTGCTCCAAATGGTCTTACTCCTCTCACACAATTGCACCCACACGAGGAAAACCGCTTGCGCATGTTGAGAGCAAGAGCGGACTAGGCCTATCAAATTAATGAAGATGATTGATTATATTAGCATCGGGGAAGGTTTTGATTGTTATGCATAGAGCAAGGGGTCTGGTGTTTGGGAACATGGCGCGCTCTAGAGCAGGGTCGGAACAGTTTTCGTCTTTCCAAGGGCCACTTTTCTTTCTTTCTCGGTTTCAGGGGAGTATAGACTCGATAGATCACAACTTTTCTCCGCTTACACAAGTCCCATGAATTTTCTGTAGTATTGTTTTCAGAGTTTAGTCAATCTCCCGTTTACAGCAGTCGTCAGAGCGTAAATCGTACTCAACACTGGCACATCCATCCCAAACTCGTTCGCTTTCAGGATAGGATACCCCAAGATGACATCCACCTCCAAAGGTCGCCCTGCCTTCATATCCGTGTGCATGCTCGAATAGATGCCAGGCATGGCTAAGATTTTGTCCACCAAATCGTCTGCTAGCTTGTGGTCGAGGGGGACATTGCATCGACTTGCTATGTCGATTACTTCGCACATCAGACGCTTGGTTATGGTCATTGCTTGAGGAGATGACTTGAGCCAGTCCTGGGTGTTCACGTCTGTGAGTGTGGTAATCGAGTTCCACGCTGCATTCCAAGTGACCTTTTCCCAGCGTTTGATCTGAATGTCCTTCTCGACTTGAAAGACTGTCTTGCCGGTTCTGAGAAGAGTTGCAAAGGTGTTTAGTCTTTCTTGCTCGAGATCAGGAGAGACGGATGGGTTGGGAAATAGACCCATCTGCATATCCTCGGATTTTGTATGCTTGATTACTCCTGGAGAGATCTGTGTGGCTCCTACCCAGGTCACACAACTGATAATTGTGTTGTTAGGGAAGGTGGTGCGGAATGGCTCCTCGTTGCCGACGCCATTTTGGATGATGACGAAGGTGGTTCTGTCGTCCACAGCAGATTTGAGGAGTGGCGGCACTTTGACTGGGTCTACAGCTTTGTGAGTGCAGACGATATAGTCGAATGGTGATGTGATCTCATCCGGTGATTTGTAGACCTGATCTATGTTGACTTTGTGGTTGCCGTGATTCTCGCTTTCGATGTTCAATCCATGTGTCTTGACCCGTTCGTAATTCGATCTTGCTACTACTCCTAGAGACACGTTGTTATTGCGTCCGAGGACAAATGCGTAGAAGCCTCCGATGNNCTGTATGGTCTAAGTCAGTGGATTACTTTTGAAACGAGAGGGGTACTCTTACGCTCCCAGCCCAAATAGCAGGACCCTGATATCCTTTTCCGATGTCGACATTTTGTTCAATAATTATTGTAACAGAATCAACAGAAATGCGTAGGAGCGTGTTCTCGATGGGCCAAGAGATTAGTTTAGCATGAGATAGGACCTAAGTGGATACCAAAGGCCGACGAAGGCGGGGTGGCGGGGTGGAGCAGATGAAGTGGGGGACGATGTGACCCCCACTCTTCTCCGAGTGACCTACCCAGATCTTCAGACAACATGTTATGATGATGGCTGCAATCAATTCTCGATGTATCAACAGTGTGTTGCTCCTTTATGATGGCGGTGATAGAGGGTGCAGAACTTGCAAAGCACAATAATCGACAGTCTTGCTGGCTTGCCATTCATGGCGAGGTATGGGACACAACTAAGTTCCTCAAGCAGTATCCAGGCGGCGCGAATTTAATTCTTGAATTGGCTGGAAAAGACGCTTCTGACGAATATGGTCTCTTTCATGATGCTGACCTCGTCCGCGAGANNGCTGACGATGAGATCAGTATGAAGGGAAATGCCAAAGCCTACCAAAAGATCTTGTTACGTGGTCGAATACTGCGGAAAGTTGGAAGAGTCGATTGCAGCACCATCATTCTCGGCTACCCTTCTGCTTTGCCCATTTACACTTCACCCGTTGGTCTGGCCAAGTTGGTACATCCATCGGGTGAGTGCGCTATCGCTTCAGCAGCTGGAAAAGAAGGCTGCATCCAGGTAGTCAATACTGTTTCCAGTATGCCAATCGAGCAAATCATGGATGCACGCATCTCAAAGGACCAAGTCGTTTTCTGGCAGCTGTATGCGGACAAGGATTTGGAAATGTCAAAGGCGTTCATCAAAAGAGTTGAAAGCGCCGGTGTGGCAGCCATTTGGCTCACGGTTGACTCTCCTGTTGTTGGTAATCGTGAGCGAGATGAGAGATCAAAATCAGTAGTGNAATGTGAGTTTGATTTGCTGCGAACATCTCAGTGCCTACTAACAAGCGAGCAGATAGAAGAGAAAATGGAGGAATTTGTCGAGACAACACAAAGCGTCGGCATTGCAAAAGCAAACACTGGCTTCATCGACGCCGACCTTGACTGGGACATGGTTGACTGGCTACGAAAATCCACCAAGTTGGCAATTGTGATCAAAGGGATCCAGTCGGTCGAAGATGCCGTCTCGGCTTTTCATCACAAAGTCGACGGCATCGTGCTCAGCAATCATGGAGGTAGATCCCAAGACACTGCCCAGCCTCCGCTTTTAACACTCCTCGAAATCGATCGATATGCTCCTCAAATCCTTGGCAAACACATACAAGTCTTGGTCGATGGTGGCATAAGACGAGGCACCGACATAATCAAGGCACTAGCGTTAGGAGCAACTGCTGTTGGCATTGGAAGACCAGTATTGTACAGCATGTCTGGCGGATATGGCGAATATGGTATCAGGCGCCGGATCCAAATTTTTCGAAACGAACTGCAGACGAACATGGGCTTCGTCGGCGCAAGCAATCTTAGGGAAATTGAGCGCAACATGGTCAACACAAGGAAGCTGGAAAGAAACATGGTAGGGTCGGTAAAGTTATAGATGGGACACAGACATCGAAGTATCATTCGAAGAAGCATCCTTAACATTCATCCGTCTGATCGCGGTAGGCAGAGTATGCTGTGATCCAGCGTATCGTAGCAGATTCTCAAAACCAGTCTGAGAGTTGCAATCCTTCGACAGACCATCTTTCCAGACCACAAAATCATAATATTGCACCCCCAAATGGGCCCTGATGCCCCCACGCTGATCTGCGGGGTTCGATGCAACTCTTTACCGAACATCGTCACATAACATACCAAGCCTCGATTTCGGCTTTTGAGAGATCTGAGTACAATTCGTATAAGAGCTTGAGGTTGAAAGCTTCGTCCTAGTCTTGTGACACAAGAGTCACATTCGTTTCGACACAGCAACAAGCAATAAAGAGGACTGCTCAATATGGCGCCAATCAAGCTTATCGAATACTTCAGAGTAAAGCCTCGTTGGCTGTTTGTGAAGATCACCGATGAAGATGGCAAAGTGGGATGGGGCGAAGGTACACTCGAAGGCCATACCCTTGCTGTGGAAGGAGCACTGGACGAAATCATCGTCCGCTTGGTCGGGCAAGATGCAAAGTGTGTATTAATCAGAGTAACGCAACAGCTCTCTGCTGACACACGAANNAGCCGGATTGAACATATTTGGCAATTGATAAGCAAGGACTTGTAGACGTACGACCACATCTTCTGACCATGATATTTGTTGGTTGTAGATTTGGAGACTTGGTAAGTTAAAAGACGATGGTGAACCTACTCCTAGTGCGAGAAATGTTGACCAGATGCTGCANATCTAGGATTCTACCGAGGTGGACCTGTTTTCATGTCTGCTTTATCCGGCATCGATATTGCGTTATGGGATCTCAAAGGTCAGCGGCACCTGATCCATTGGGACAGCAATATTGGACTAGGCTGATTTTGACTTCAGNCTCGAAGACTGAACGTCCCACTCTATGAGTTGCTCGGGGGCAAGGTTCGAGAGAAGTGCCAGGTCTACTGCTGGATTGGCGGAGATAGACCAGCCGACATCGAGAATGCTGCGTAAGTGATCCTTCCCGTGGAAACAACAACACAGGTCTGATAAACAAACAGCAAAGCAAGGAAGGAGCAAGGGCTGACTTGCGTCAAAATGAATGCCACGGAAGATATCGGTTGGCTTGACGATGCAGCAGTGTTAGACGCAACAGTCGAACGCCTCAAGATTGTCAAAGGTCTCGGCCTGAACGCTGGTCTTGATTTCCATGGACGACTCCATCGCCCCATGGCTAAACAGTTGGCGAAAGCTTTGGAACCATATCGACCACTTTTTATTGAGGCAAGTCAACGTCCGAGTTCTTGCACACGATGATGCTAACGTAGCCGTTGCCTCAGGNAACCGATCTTGTAAAGTTCCCGTAACAGATTGTATGGGTGGTACTGATATCCTGTTTACAGAGTGGAACACCCTGAGGCTCTTAAGCAGCTGGCAGCACAAACAAGTATTCCAATCGCTCTAGGAGAACGCTTGTACCATCGTTGGGACGCGAAGCCATTCTTCGAAGCAGGATTGATCGATATACTGCAGCCCGACATTGCTCACGCGGGTGGCATCTCCGAGACGAAGCGCCTTGCAAATATGGCAGAAACATACGACGTTGCAATGTAAGCCTACAGTTATCCTGGCAGAGGAACGTCTATGCTGACTATCCACAGTGCGCCACACTGTCCCTTGGGTCCAATCGCTTTCGTGAGTCGCGTGTATCCACTCGCTAGCAAGCTGATCATTCTGGCATGGACTTGACTGACTTCATCGAATCAGGCAGCCTCATTACATGTCGGACTCTCCACGCCCAACTTTGTCATCCTAGAGATGTCTCTTGGTATGCACTACAACACCGAGGCGGGCGATATTGATCTCAATACATACCTGAAGGACCAGTCAGTGTTCGCCATCAACGGTGGACATGTTGCAGCTCCTACTGCACCAGGATTAGGCATCGAGGTAGATGAGGAGATAATTCGTAAGATATCGGCCGAGACCCAGCCATGGCAGCCCAAGGAATTTTTCGGTCCAGATGGCTCCGTTAGAGAATGGTAGATCTTAGAACATAGTTGTTTAAACATGCAAGTATGGTGTTACTCTCTCCATAACATGCTGTCTGAAGCTTTGCTGTCGTAAACCTCCATTGGATTTGGTTGGATTCTTCACCAGCACGACGCGATGTCGTGAATCTTCTCCAGATCAATCGCATGCCAAACTTACTCAGAGAGCCGTTTGTTTTATAATCCATGCTAATTCCTGTACAGGATCGTGGTTGCACACGAACCAAGTATCTTGGAGGCTTCCAACAGCAGTTCCCATTCCGAGTGGGCAAAGTCTCGAGCCAGAAGATTGCATATTGCACCACAACCCTGGGCAGACAACTGATTCGGAAGACTGTTGATCTCTGATTGGGCACACCTTCGAATGTAGTCGTAGGTGGAACTTTGCGACAAAACTCGATCTGGATCTGATGGTATTTGCGACGCTATGGTTGCGGTCCTCACTGCATACTGATATGACCATATAGTCAACGCAGCCAGGTACAAGACCCAAGGGCGATAAACAGACGCATCAGCGCGGCAAGTATAGTGTGTCGCCGTGACTTGCTCAGGCGTCTGTGTGATACCCATCGAGTTCGTATTCAACAGAGTCTCGTCAAGCAGCTCGAAAGCACTAACGACAGCCAATCTGGCCGAGCCGGTTGTGGCCCAACTGTGCATTCTTGTTGAGCAACCAAGATAATCTTTATCAGTTATTTTACGGCCGAGTAAGCGCTTCGAGCCTGCATATACCTGAGCATCCAAGATATCGATATGTGAGGTAATATATGCCAGACGATAAATAATCACTGGATTGAAAACCACGTCCCTGATGTTTTCAAGCTTACGACTATGCGCTTTGGACTTCTCGAGCGCCTTTTGGAAGCTTTGACACCAATGAGTATACGCGTTGAGAAGCAAGGCTCTCCACCGTTCTTGTTCGCGAGCTGATGAAGTTGAGTCCAAGAACTGTTGATTTCTCTCTCGGCGCCTCAGATGCCAGCCTACGCTCATTAGACCAGAGCCCAAGATGATGCGAGCGCCGTAATTCGAGTGTACTTCGTGTCCGTGCAGGCATCTTTTCAAGCTGTCAAGGAAGGGTTGTTGACTGATGCCGTGCATCGAGAACGTCTCCTCTAGTCTGCAGACGTCTTCTGAGCTCTGGGCAGACCATATGGAATCATCACATGGTAGCGGAAGTCGGACTTCGTATGGCAGAAGCGAACTTTCATGTCCGAAAGCCACAGCGTGCAACGTATCCATATGCAAAGCCGCAAAGACGACACGACGCCAGGACTCGTTCCGCGCCCAGCGCTGAAACCAACTGAGCTGCTTAGAAGTTCCAGTCGTCTGTTGCGCGGTCATCACCGGCGAGGGGCACCGCGTTGGGGGCTCTTCATCCTCGGCATGGCCGACCATAGGGCTGCCACGCCGTAGCAAAGCTAGAGTCGAAGCGTGATGAATATATGCGCGCTCGTGAAGGCGACGGGATGAGAACATTTTCTCGTAGAACTCAAGTAACAAGAGTGCCTGAGCCACCCATAGTGCTATGGGAGGTTCAGCTTCTGGAAAGATATCCCATCGAAGATTGATCGCTAAGAGGTCGGCAAGGGCGCGATGGTCGCTTCGTGTTCTGATTGGGTTTAGACGCACAAATTGGCCCGCACCCAGCATGAGGATCGCGAGAAGAAGCAGCAGTTGGCAGTCGTCATTCGAGAAAGTTTGTTGGTGGATGATAGGAAGCTGAACTGCCACGTACGACCAGAAGCTAGATAAGCAGTCTTCCAAGATGTTGGTTGTCAAGTTTGGCAGATCTTTTCCGTCGGTACTGAACAACAACCCTTCACTGCCGACAGCTTCTTGCAGCCCTGGCGGGCGCTTCTTCCCGAGAAACGAACTGATGCTCTGAACGATCCTTGATCTGCACTTGGTAGACACACGCATATGACCGTTCAAGCCGTGATCGCCAGGGTTCTCACATAACGTACTAGCCACTGTTGATGCTGTCAATAAGCTCCCGACAGTAGCGTTGATAGTAGTCTGATTAGGTTCAAACTGCCAGAGGTCGTTCATCGGAGAGCAATAATCGAGACCAAAGTCTACGTAGGGCAGATAGTTTGATAAATCAAAGTTCTGCTGCTGAGAACCAGGGCTATCAAATAACCAAGACACAAAGTTGCCGTTCCCAGGCTGAGGAGAAGTTGTTGCAAGTCCAGCATCGTTCTCCGGCATCTGGTCCTGCATCCAGCCGGGTATTCCTGTTCCCACATCCAGGGGTATGTTCGAATGCGCCTCTGTGGCGCTGTTCTCATCTGTTGGAGGACGATAAGTCACAGCTGGACCAGCCGCTTGATGAAACCCCGAATTCGCTTCCTCAACATGGTCTATCAAAGCACTGTTCGTACTTTCGAAGACTGCCGCGCCAATATTTTGTACCGTCGCTCTTGAGGCTTCGCCGTGTCTGGCTTGATGCCTCAAACAAAGGTCAAGACGCACAAAAGTCTGATCACAACCTTCAGCCTGGCATTGGAACAATTCCTTTGGCTGATCTGCAGCATGTCAAGATGGCTCCCACCGGTATGTCTAACATGACCTACGATTTAACTGATGACGTTGCAAGTGCTCGGCTCGAGAGTAGATCNNTGGCACGTCAATAAATGTCGAGTTGGTCATGCAATTAGTTAAGCACGCATGTACCTTTGGGCAATCCTCGTATTCACATCGGAACCGTTTCGGGGTGTTTTTTCGACTTGCCCTTTTACGTTTTTGCTGTGCGCCCGTGTCCATCGTATTCATCAAAAGCCTGAGTAGGTGCAAGAAGAGCTGGGCCAATCTGAGATGACCCCCAAGGCTAGGTAAGCAGATTTATGGTATTCCCGAGGTACGTTGACCCCGCAGCACTTCGGCGGACGTGTTGGGGGCGGTTGGGGTGCATCGGCTTTTGAGGCATCGCGTTCGAATCAGTGACGGCAGAGCATCACGTCCACAAATGGACAGGCCAGTGGTCCGCTGTTACCAAGAGACCTTGGAGAACTAACATAGACCCTCAAAGATGTTCATGGCATCTTTGTCTTGTTGAGTCGGTACAGCGGAGTGTGATGGAGACAAGGAGAGCAGAAAACAACAGGAAGGAGCTTCGCCAAGGATTTCGATTCGTGCCCAAGTTTGCCGCTTCCCAACTGCACGACGTACGAAACTCATTGTGACTGTCAACGATGTTCTGAGACCAATGTCAAAAGTGTCGCTTGTCTCGATTGATAGTCAGGCCATCTAAAGCTTCTGAAACTCGCGCTCAAGCTCGAAGAGTCGAGAGAGGCCAGCCATCATGTCCGACTGCACGTCTGCCTCAGGCATTGCACACGGCGACCTTGGCTGTCCTCCGTAACCATACTGCTCATTGAGCCCGACCTTCACAGCTACGAATCCGCCCTTAATCGCGACCCAGTCCGCTTCGGCCAGGACGGCTTGCACCTCCCGTGCTCGCTCAAGCTCGCCAGCCTCAAATGCCACCATCGCTCGCACGTTCGTTGCGGGTGCGAGGTTGCCCAGTCCCGCTATCACACCAGCACCCCCGACCGCCAGAGTCTGCAATAGAAAGTCGGAAGATCCTCCGAAAGTTAGGAAACCCGAACCCTTGGTAGCAGCCACAACCCGAGCAAGCTTGCCTGTGTTGCCGCACGTAAGCTTGACGCCTACAATCTTGGAATGCTGCGCCAGCTCGATGATCTGGTCCGATGTTAAATCGATACCACTTTGTACTGCGGGAAAGTTGTAGATCAGAATGGGTATTGGCGAAGCCTCGGCAACCTTCCGATAGTGGTCAAGAAGAAGCTTCGAAGACAGCAGCGATGCAAAGTAACTTGGCGGCAGTACAAGAGCCGCATCACCACCTGCAGATGCAGCATCCCTGCAAAGCTTTATGCTTTCTCTCGTTGATTGAGCTCCACAGCCTACGATGAGTCTTACATCATGGCCGGAATCGTCAAGGGCTTGCCTGGTAGTTCGCGTGATAAGGATCCGTTCCTCGTGGCTAAGGTGCGCAGCTTCTCCGTTGGAACCATGCGTGACTNNGATCAAGATTAGCACGTATTCTATCTCGAGGACGTCGACATTCTAACCAATGCCTTTGATGCCACTGCCGGCCAATCTCAAGGCATGCTTGTGCGTCGTTTCGACATCTACTTCCTCATCATTCTTGAAGAAAGCTACCGTCGGAACGTAGATGCCTGCCTCCAGTCTCGAACTGACGCCAGAGATCGGCGCGGATACAGTAGCATCGAAATCTTGTGTCGATGTTGGAGCCATGATGAACGATGTGCTGACGAGGATACTTCGTGTTGACATAAGCTGTGGGAAGAGCATAATTTATAACTAGATCCCCTAGAGCGTCCTCGGATCGCCTTATGGTGTGACCCCCACTCAGGGCGTGTGCAGTCTCAAGGAAGCTCGCTTGCGTTCGACAAATCGACAGGGGGACTTGGAAATACGGAGCTAACCTCCAATGTTTCAAGTGTGCATGTGAATTGTACTAACACCCTGGTATGTGCAAGCAGAATGGACACGAGCTACTCGATTTTCCAGTAGGAGCGACATTTTTAACATTCTCACTGGAAGTATCTCAAGTTGCAAATTCTTTGTGGCTTCTCAAATCCTACTTCTTCCACGGTCTCGTCCAAGGCAAGATCGATCTATCCACTATATCATGCTGCTCGCGTCCTGGCGATTATCGACCCATCCAGCCTCCATCTACTGTCAAGATCTCTCCAGACACATACAGGCTTGCTCGGCTAGCAAGATACACTATTGAGCCAGCGAAGTCCTCTGGCAAGCCCCACCGTCCAGCTGGGATACGCTCCAGAATACTCGCTGCACGCTTCTCGTCCTTAATCAGAGCATCATTCATGTCGGTATGGATGTAACCTGGAGCAATCNNTACCACTCTAGTCAACTCGCTGTCATATCACCCTTGCAATTCACTTACAGCGTTGACGTTGATACCATGTGCGGCCCAGGAGTTTGACAGCGCTTTCGTCAACTGTGCTACACCTCCTTTTGCGGCCGCGTAGGCGGGCACATTAAGACCTCCCTGGAAAGATACCAAAGATGCAATCTTNGTGATTTCTCAGCACGAGTCATTACAAGGAGCTTTCGACCAAACACTTACATTGATGATAGATCCACGATGAGGTCCTTCTCGCGTCAGCATATGAGCCCCGACATCCCGACAGAGCGTGAAGACTGTGTTTAGATTAACCTGGAGCACNCTGTACACAAGCTGTCAGCCGTTGATTTGTTGGAAATGGATACCTGTACATACCTCATTCCAATCACCATCCGGGAACTCATGAGGAGGGTGACGTCTCTGTATACCACCACAGTTGACTAATATACTCAGGTCATGCCCATTCGAGATAATCCGCTTGATCAGACCACTGATTTGACCCTGGTCTGCGAGATCTGCTTCATATATGGTTGCTTTCCTTCCAAGCTTCTCGATCTGTTCTTGGGTGCCAACGTTGCTGGAATCTCTCTGTATCAAGATGATGTCGGCTCCGGCCTCTGCTAGAGCGATCGCAAGGGTTTGGCCAATACCTCTCGTCCCGCCGGTAATGACAGCAGTCCGATTTCGCAGCGAAAAGAGACTCAACACTCCAGACATGTCTGTGAAGCAGTCTTTCTTTCCAAAAGTCGTGTGCGCAAGGCGACTAGGCTGACAATGATTTGATCAAACTATGTTTCTCCGTTCTGTCACAGAATTGTTTGCTCCTGGCTAGCTAGGTGACGTTTTGTAGGCGAGTGGGGGTCATGTAACCCCGCACCACTTACTCCTCAGCCTTGGTTTGGGGGTCAATGTACATGATGCAGGAAGGAAAGAACGATCGACGTTGCGCTCTATGGGGTTTCATGCATGCAGAATGCCTCCAGACTATTTGTTCCCTGGAGGAGTCAGCATAAGTATATGGCTCGACGCTTCCTTCCTGCGCTGGCTTTCCATCTTCATACTTGAAATTCGGAGTCATGTCGGTCGATGAGAATAAGATCGCCATACAACACGTCGAGGATTTCGACAAAGTGCAAGATGCTCAACACACTTTTGAGGATCTTCCTGAATCACTCTGCGAACTCAACCAGCAGGAGCTAGCCACACTCGGGAAATGGACGACTCTGAAGCTGGATTGTATAATCATGCCAGCACTTACAATTCTCTATATCTTGTAAGACTCACCCAATACGTAACTTTGCTATCCTGCTGATGAACTGTCTAGGAACTATCTGGACCGTCAGAATATTGCTGCGAGTAAGCTGGCCAACATCATGGAGGACTTGAACATGTCTGTCCAGCAATACAACACATGTGTCAGCATATTGTTTGTGGGCTACAGTACGTATATGTCGATGTCTTACCTGTGACTAGCCTAACAGCGACTGCTAGTACTTATGCAGGTTCCATCCAATCTTGTACTTAGCAAGATTCGATGGCCAGCTGTGTGGATTTGCAGCGCGGTTGCTGCTTGGGGCGCAGTCTCTGCTGCCACAGCGGCGGTATCATCGTTCGGTGGCCTTCTGGCCTGCAGATTCATGCTGGGATTCGTCGAGAGTGTTTTCTTTCCAGGAGCGTTCTTCTACCTGTCCATGTTCTACAGCAGGAAGCAAAGTGAGTTGACTCCTTCTGCTCCCGAAACTCTGAGTATCGCTGAGCGTTACANNGTTGCCCTTCGTACTGCCATCCTTTATTCCGGCTCTCAGCTCGGCAACGCATTTGGCACATTGCTAGCCATCGGGATTATGAAACTGGACGGCTATCATGGTCTGCAGGGCTGGCGGTGGCTCTTTCTGATAGAGGGAGTGCTCACCATAGGTATTGCACTCATGTAAGCAAGCAAGACCTTTGGCATAAGAAATTTGCTTCCGTCGTCTAACATTTACACAGTTGTGNTCGTATTTCTTCCAAACTCTAAAAGGAAGATCTGGACTTTCTCGCAACGGCAATTAGACTTTCTCAAATGGAATTACGAACGTGACCAAAACCAACAAGATGAGTCCGACGAGGTTACAGCACTGCAAGGCTTCTTACTTGCAGTAAGAGATCCGAAGACATGGCTCATGTGCAGTACCCTATATGCCACATACACGGCCGCCGCAGTGAACAACTTCTTTCCGACGGTCGTTGGTGGTTTAGGTTTTGGCAGGAATTTAACCTACGCATTGACGGCACCGCCATTCATTCTCTGCGTGGTTGCCATGCTATGCAACGGCTTTCATAGCGACAAGGTTAGTGAACTATTCATAACAGGCAGACCCGATGGCTAACGATGTACCTCAGNNATGGGGGAACGCTACTTTCACATCGCCTTACCCCTAACAATCACAGTCCTTGCAAACATCATTGCTGTTAGCACCCTCAACGTGGGCGCTCGTTACTTTGCTATGTGCTTGTTGCCTCTGTCTNTTTACTCCTCTGCCATCTGCCAGCTCTCCTGGATCTCAGGCTCCCTCTCACAGCCAGCAGTCAAGCGTGCAGCTTCAATTGCCATTATAAACGCCATCTGCAACACTCCAAATATCTGAACATCCTATCTATACTACGACTCTCCTCGTTATGTGGCTGCTTTCGCAGTGAACTTGGGTGCTGCGGTTATAGCGTTTNTGAGCGCTACCGCGACATACTTCTATCTGAGGAGGCAGAACCAGATGATGGACCAAGGAAAACCGTTGGGAAGATCTGGCCCTACACCTGTGCAGCAGGCAAATGGGTTCAGATACATGTTATGATGCAATCTCTTCGTTTGCTAAGTACAGTCACGATATCAACCGATCCTTCCCTTACAGTGACACAGTGGTTCTGTAAGCTGTCAAAGCGAAATTGATTGAAGTCCTCGGGAGATATATCCGTGTGTGGTTTCCTGTTCCTCAAAACATTGTAGGATCAGCGAGATGAGCTCGGGAGAGCTCAATGCCTGTGCAACTGCCATGAAGAGAATCCGATGGTGTTGGATTGTTGTAGTGAGTTCAATAGTAGAGAAAATTTATGTAGAAAAAGACCGTGGTGGTTGCCATTGAGACGTATAGTGGTATGACGCCGATCTTTCGACGTGAAGCCACTCTGTGCAGAGCGCGACTCCATCGGTCAACTTCGTACCTTGACCCGTGACCATATCAATTCTACGGTATCGCAAGTGGTTCACAGTCGTCCAAGCGAAAACGTTCGAGGGGGATAGGGATGTGTGATGGAGAATTGGAAACTAAGATCAAGTTCTGTCCGTCCGATGTCGGCTTGGCAACAACAAAATTCACTCTTGTAGTTTGACCACCACAACACAGCATTCCACTCAAGCACTCTAAATTATCGAATGGCCATACCGCGGCTCTCATCTTTGGCATGACGTGTCTGTCCGATCTCCTTGATCCTGCCATGTGCCCTCATCACCATCTGCGACAATTGATCGCAATCTGTTGGACGAAAATTGTAACGCTTCAAAGCCACAAATCTGTCTAGTTGTGGTGCGTGTCGGTCGAGGATTTCCGCCAGAAGTTGGGCAGTCGTTTCATTGGTTTTACCCAAGAAGGATTGGCTGCTGACAGAGGATACCCAAGCGAACTTGAGATTTGGAAAAAGCGGATTGGGTGTATCACACCATGCTGTCAAGTCGATGTAACAGTACAAACGGAGATTCTCAAGTCTCGGACAGGACTGACCAAGATCTTGGAAAGCGACATCTGGATCGGGAATCTCCAGAGCGAACCAGATCAACAGAGTCTCCAGATTCGAGAATTTTGCGAAAAGATGCTTGAAATCTGCATTCGACAGTCCAAATGTTGCCATGGTCGCCATTGGGTTGAAAGGCCTAGGCTTTATGATGAGACTTCGCAGAGTTTCTGTGATGCGTAAGAATAGAAGTTGTTGTGGCGATAATGTGACACCAGCAGCAATGTGAAGCTGGAGACTCTCTAAAGGCAGACCAACGAGCGCGTCGAGTTCGTGGTCATTACTTTGGATCGGAAGTTCGAGGGATAGGGTGGTCATCGCTCCGAAGATCGTAGGCAACAACTGCAAAGAAGGGATTCTGACAGTGAGCTTGACTTTGCGTACCGAACCGAAGGAATATTTGGAACTTGAGGGGTGCAACACTTGTAGCTGTGTTAATGTGTCTGTGGAAGTTTCACCAACGATTATGAGTTCCTCTAGACTGTGGATTTTGCTCAGCGCTAGCATCGCTGCGAGCACCTCATCCTCATTGAGAGGAAGGATTGTAAACTGTACGCATCGTAAAGATTGATTTGAGGCAAAGAAGTCAATGATGTCAGATTTGTCTTTGTATGCTGTTGAAACCTGAGACAGTACTCGAAGGCGTGGACAGTGCTTATTGAGTCCATGCAAGAATACAGCAGGTGGCCAGTGTCTAAGATGAACTTCTTCCAGAGCTGGCTGCAGGTATTGACTGAGGTTCGTATCTTGAGGCCCAGGGAAATCCGTAAACCGAAGTATACGCAACAGCTGGAAATTGAGGTCGAGATTAGGATGACTAAAGACGGCCTGCAGCGTTAGCTCGCATATCTTGGGAGCATATATCGCGCGACGGGAGGCTTCGACGGCCATCAATGCTTTTGTGTTTGACGTGGTCCAGAGCAATCGTGACGCTTCATGAAACCAGATTCGATTGACACACGTTGCTGCTCTTAGAGTTTTACGATCGTGTTTCAAACAGCTGAAGATGCATGACAAAATTTCCGGTATCGATAGTGCAGTTGGAGTCAATCGCTGGGGNGTCGTTTGTATGGAGAGCGAGTCCAATTTGATTTCGGTATCCATGCGGAGCGAATTCAAAGGATCTGAAGATATATCTGTGTCGAAATGATGTTTTGGTAAGATCACAATTGCAATGTCTTGCGGCTTGTTCGATGGCGAAGGTGGAAGACTTGAGAGAAAATAGAAGGATGATGTGCCAACAGATAGGCAGCAGTGACTGATCCTTCCGAGAACCTTCCTGAGTCAGACATGGCGCTCAAAAGTCTAGTGATGTGCCATCGTTTCGAAGTAGGTCTGTCTCGGCGCGCACGATAGAACTTTCCTCAGCGAACTTTACAAAAGATATGGCCTGCAGCAGAGACGTGTTTAAAAGCAGACAGCAGAGTTCCAAAACAAAAGGTTTTCCGGTGCGGGGAATCGAACCCCGACCTCCTCGGTGAAAGCGAGAAATCCTAGCCGTTAGACCACACCGGATTCACGTGATAAGCAATGCATCATATCGTCTCTGGATAACTCTTCTAGACAGACAGACCATACCACCAGTTGACTCATTATGTGCCACACATAGCGGATCAGCGAAACAACGTCAAGATGCAGATGTTCGTGAGTTCAACAATATCGAATTGGACAGCCCAGAAACAATTATCCCTACTGGCCTCAAACACGGCGACACTATCGCCTACATCTCACCCTCATCCAGATTGAACACATTATTCGCCAGCCGCATCCAAAAGGTCACCTCATTCTTCTCACAACACGGCTTCCACGTCAAAGTGATCTACAATGAACCTCTACCTTCCGATCACTTTCCAGCCGTCCAACTTCGCTGCTCAGAGCTCCACGCCGCATTCTCAGATCCCGCCGTCAAAGCAATACTCTGCACCATTGGAGGATTGTCTGCAAACGAACTACTGCCATACATTGACTATGACTTGATACGAAGGAACCCAAAGGTGTTTTGTGGATACTCCGATATCACTCTGTTGCACCATGCGATCTATCAGAAGACGGGACTAAGGACGTTCTATGGTCCTGCTGTGGTTCCGGAATTTGGAGAGTCACCGAGCCCACTGCAGTTTACTGCGGACAGCTTCTTTGATTCTGTGATGGGGAAGGTCAAAGGAAGAGGTGTACCCAGATCGGCGATGCATACTATGGAGTTCAAGAACTGGCTATCCGATGGTGAGGCAGAGAAGTCAAGGACTTTGATCCCTGCGCCAAAGTGGAAATGGCTCAAGTCTGGTACAGTAAAGGGCAAACTCTATGGCGGATGTCTTCCTTCTCTGGTTCAGCTCTGCGGGACTAAGTATCTGCCTGACTATAAAGGGCGAATTCTGCTTCTGGAGTTACCAGAAGGGCACAGGCCTGGGACTCCTTTCTCGCTCGATGCTGCTCGGTCTGCGATGGCTGATTTGCGTAATTCTGGCATACTCGAGAAGGTCGCTGGTATGGTCTTTGGACGTCCGTACATGTATGACGAGAAGATGACTGTTGCATTCGAGAAGATGCTTCTCGACCAATGCTATGGTTTGGATATTCCTATGCTCTCGGGTATTGATACTGGACACTCGGACCCCATGCTTACCTTGCCATTGGATGCGATGGTGTTGCTTGATTCGGATGCCAAAGGAGACGAGCAGTTTGTGATATTGGGAGAGGTCATCAAGACATGAAGGTGCTATGCTTACTGCGTCTGCACGATAACTCTTCGGCATCCTAGATATCACTCGTAGTAAGAGGTATTAATTGTCAGAATGGCTCTGGATTGTTTTGGTACATGAGACTTGATAATTTGCATGCAGGTGCTTATTCATATAAGTTGAACATCAAGGTGGCCAATAGATGGCGTGCAGATCAACACGTCGAATGCGACGAGTGGCGGGTGCAGGCAGCTTGAGCTCCAGCGAGATTCGATGGAACCCCATGTCTGGTCTCAGGGAGTTGAGTGAGAGGCGTGTGTGTCTTCATCGTTACTTGTGTTTCAGTCGACAATGCCAATGTCCAGGCCTGGACTGCAACAAAGAAGCAAGACTGCAGATTGTGAGCGATTATGATGTCGGCAGGTTAGTGCAACCAGTGGGAATATTGCCGCTCAAGCCCTGCTGCAAGGCAAGATTCCCGACTGGCGAGATTCTCCTCCAACAGGGTGTCAGACAGCAGAGTACAGCAGTATGCGCGAATAGGGCGCGAATGATTATGGCGAGGAATTGTGTCTAGTTTGCGACATGGCGCGTGATGAGTGGTGGCGGTTGCGTGCTTTACCTGAAGTAATAGACAGGGTCTTGCTGCTTGCGAAAAAAGCAAGTGGAGGACAAAGGAGGCCTTGCTGGACAAGTCGAGGCTTGACGCCGATGGATGCGTCAAGATGCTGATAAGAAGAGCATAGATGTGTTCAACCAGCAATAGGCAGACGTGAGGCAGCAGCAGCAAGAGAGTTGGACGAATGGGAAGGGTCGGCGAGGGTCGGCCGGGTGCAGTTGCGGTTTCGGATCCGGGGAAGTCGAGTGGACGGATGATGCAGCGTCTTGGTCGATGGTTTGGGCTATGAGTCGTCGTCGAGGCGATAAGGGAAGTGCTCATTCGACCGTGTGTCGGTCGTTCCTTCTCCTCTTTTTCTCCTCGTCCACCTACCTCTTCCCGACCTACTCACGTCCTGTTCTGCTACAGCTGGCCAGTCAGCTCGCGCGGGGACCTGTCTGGAGCTTTGTCCAAGCTAGCGCATTGTCGAGTCGAGTCACAAGCTGCATCGAGCACACGGCGATAAGGCTCCGCACACCCAACACCACAAGACTCGACCTACTGTCATCCACCCAAGACCCAGCCTTGCCCTCCTGCTCAAGTCACCATGCAGCCATAGTCCGCCAGCAGCAGCCCCCTCGTCGTCGCCCACAACTGCCCCGTCACCGACCACCGCCGCGAGCCGCCATCAAGGTTCAACACCTGACGACTGTCACTATGATGGATCGCTTGCCCATCCAAAACACTCCCATCTAGTATACACGCCATACCCCTTGTAAATTATACCATGCACCAACACCCCGCCCCTCGACAAGGGCACACCCCACACAACCCGCCGCCCCATCCAACACCCACGGACCCTCCAACTCGAGAGACACCATGTCGAACCGCACATATTCCAGCGAGGACCTGTCGTCGGCCGCCCAGAAGCAGACCACAGAGCAGAGCACAAAAGACAGGGCCAACTTGGTTGTTCAGCACTTCTTTACAAAGGCCGCGCTCATCATCTGCTCCTCCCGAGTCAGCCTGCCCCCGGCCATGTCCAAGACTGGCGAAGCAAAGATTGATAGATGGGTACGTATCCTTTCCTTGTCCGTCTTCACTCGCAGCAGTTGCCGTACACTCCCTTGACCACCGCAGTAGTCTCTCTTCGAGTCTTGGCTGGCCTTGTGCGATCATGAACCTGGCAGCTACCTCACTGCCAGGCACTCTTGCGTCGGAGAGTTTCCGTGCCGAACATGTCATTCTTCTAGAATAGACAACTTTGCATCCCTTCTGCCGTCTCCATCTTGCCTTGTTCCATCCGTGTTGCATCACGTACCGTAACCATGTCTGACCACATCCAGTTCAATACCTTGATAGAGGAAACAGACATGCTGAACCAAGACTTGCAAGAGTGGAGGTCCATGGATGCAACCGTAGAAAAGCCTGCTCCCTTGGTAATCGATGTCTACCTGGACACTGCCCAGCTCGCCGCAAACCAGACGCTGGTCGCCATAGATGAAGAAGGCAAGCCGTGGGACGTGAGCGAGACTCTGAGAAGACTCGAAGCACACGCCCCGACGCCTCAAAACCATACCCTCTCCACCTTTGTATACGAGAGGTGGACAATCAGCTTGGACGACGCTTCGTCAGTGTCTCCAGCTACCCTCAACGAGCCCGCTCCTAGCTTCTACAAANAGGGCGTCATCACATGCAGAGCACTCTGCACCTATGCCCGTCTGCTGCCAGCATGGAAGCTGAGGACCCGTCTCGGAAAGCAAGGTGCTACAGGCCCTTCCACATTACGACCTAGGTATCGTGTCTCTGACGGCTCGCTCGCTGAGAAATCTCGAGTAGACACTCTGAGCTGTTCCATCTTTCCTTCGGACAGACGACCAACCGAGACGTATCGCTTTTCGCCTCTACACTGCCCTTTGGGCTCTCTGAACATCTCCGTCACGTACCGCAAGAACCTTGACTTGCAGGTCGAGCTCTCTGAACGTTTGATCAGCGCCAGAATGGCTGGTCACGAACGGCCTGACAGTCGTCTGTCGGGGGAGTCGAGCAGAGAAAGAACTTCTATGGACCAGGATCGCCCTTCTTTGCGACCTAAATTCTCGTCGTCGTTCCAACGCACTGCGCAGCGAAGCACACCCCTGGGAACGTCTCCTCGAACCAGCTCCTTCCGTGAGCCTGCTGATCGACCTGTCTCGGCACAGGCAATCGACGAACGTGAAACATCGAGGCCGTCACCATCATCACAACAAGACGAACCACTTCGTCGCTACTCATCACAAAGCCAGAGAGATCGAGAAGCGTCGCGCTTTGCTCCTTCATCTCTGAGAGAGCCAAACGCACCACAGCGTAGACCGTCTGTGTCGTTTCAACCATTCAAGGCCGGCTCTTTGTCGTCATCACCCGCAGCTGGTAACTTTTTGTCCAGCTCACCAAGCAGTTCGGTCGGTCGAAGTGCAGGTAATCCACTGCTCGCACACGCGAGGAAGTCATCATTATCAACACTACCTCAAATGGCCTTGCGGAATCCTGGTGCTGTCGCCGAGACGGCTGTAGGCTCTTCCGCATCGAGCTCGCCCAAGCCTGCTCCTATCCAGAGATACTCGTCGAGCTTCAGTAACAGAAGAGCACGGTTCCCTTCGGTTTCCAGCAGCAGGGTCGAAGAAGACAACAACAGCAGCGGCAGAGCTAGTGTCTCGTCCACTAATCGTGAGTCGAGCACGCTCCAAGAGGGTGAAGGAGGTGCTAGCTCAGGCTCAATGCAAGCCGATGAAGACAACATCGCTGACTTTCTCAAATTGCTCGACAAGAACAAGGGCTTGTCAAGTCTTAACAAGACCGATAAAGCTTCGTTGAGCGCCAATTCGCAACGCACTGCCGCGCAATTCTCCAAGTTCTCGCGTATGCGAGACTCGACAGCTCAGCTGTCTGATTCAATGCAATCGTCAACAATGCTGCAAAGATCTTCCAGTTCTTCAAGTCGCCAGCTGCACAATGTACCGGGCATGATTCCAGGCTCGATCTCGACTTCTTCTTCTCCAGGCAAACCAATCTCACCACATACACCACACATACCAGCCATCCCGTCACGACTGAGCAATAACAGCATCGCTGCAGACTACACACGCGATCGTAGTCGCAGTCGTCTTTCCGGCACACACATCCAAGCTTCGAGTGACGGGGCAAGAGACGTGTCCGCTCATCCACCAACACGTGGCTCTGGTACACCTCTGTCCACAGCCATTGATATCCCGACTTCACCTCGCACATTTGTCTCGAACCGCCGCTCATCATCTACAACGCAACAAGCACGCGCGAGAGGTATTACCAACGTCGAAGACCAGGACGCTTATGGCATGCGCTCAGCAAGCATGCCTGTTGCTGAGGGTAGCAGAGGCGAGCTCAGTTTATCAGAGTTGCTATCGCAGGGAGAAGGTGGAAGTGGTGGCTCGGGTGGAGTTAGCAGCAGACGCAAGAACCGTGAAGTTCCTGCTCCTGTGGATGATGATGAGCCCCTGCTGTTTGCTTTGGCCGATTGATTGCCTTCGAACATGCCTCTGCTTTCGTCCAATTGGTTTGATCGTCTATCTCTCCTTCTGGCTTTTTCTGTTTCTGCATTCACAAATGGCGATCACAAAAAAATCTCCCCTCTTTGCTTTATGTTTTTAGTCCTTGTGTTTTTGTTGTTCTGAACACTGTCGATGTTCTTCTTCTTTCGGTGCAAATACGGTATCATGGAACGGGTAGGATAGCGTGGCGCTGGGGATTCTGGTTTTGTCTACCTTACCACTAGGATTACAGATTGGGAAGAGAAATTTAGCATATGAATGGCTTCCTGCTTGAGATTACTTATAGCTTTGAGAGAAATGCTTACATTCATACACCACCGACGTGCTTTGCCAATCTTGCTGTGATACTTCAAACAGTGCAACGTTCGATACATACAAAATTTACTATCATCGTGAACAACCTCCTGCGAGAAGGGCCCTCTGTAATTGAGATACCATCAGAAGCAATATAAAGGGATGGTCCGATTTCGGCCCGCGACAGCTTCAAGGACCTCATGAGATGGACTGATGGTGAGAAAATCAACAACATCACCTTGACAATCTGGTTTTATCCAACTTCTGTTGACACTTTGTTGGAAGCTTGCAACATATCTTCTTCTGGAAGAGTCAAGGAATTGAATCGCTCGAAGTCTCCACCATCCCTCAATACAAGGACACATCAAGCTTCGATTTCTGAACAAATCCACATCTATCAACCAAAACCAAGCAAACACCAAAAATCATGTCCTCCAAGACAGGCATTTCTCCTCATGCAACCGCCTTTGTGCACTCCTACGCCACAGCCACCGCAACAGGCGCCAGTTCCACGCCCTCAGATCTCAAAGCCGCCGCTCAACAAATGTCATCGCACTACCTCCCAAACCTGATTTCGTTTACCTTGGGCACCAATACCACAGTCGCCACGCAAGAGGAAGCAGCANAAGGCACATTCACCCATCTCCAAAAACTCGTTTCCGCTGGTGTAGGCACAGATATCCGTCTCGTTCGCGTTGCTGTAAAGGAAATCTCCGCTTGTGCGGCGGCAGTGTTTGTGACGTGGGAGTTGGTTGTGGATGGGTTGAGTATTGCCGAGGCCGAGAAGCAAGGGAAAAAGGCAAAAGGGTGGAGATGGAGGAATTGTTATGGGTATAGGAGGATGACGAGGGAGGTTGATGATGAGGAAGTGGTGGATAAGGAAGGGTTCGAGTATATCGTTAGTGATGAGGAGGTCGGGGAGTTGATCAAGAGGGTGCCCAAGTATTTCGAGCCGTAGAGCATTGTTAAGAATTGAGGAAAAAGGAACAATGACATGGTCAGCATTAAGCATGGAGCACAATATCCGAAATGCAACGCAATCATTTCTCAAGAACGAAATCAAAGCGAAGCTGCAAGGTTTGGACGCGTGCAATCTTTTGTGGTTTGAGTTGTCTCGAAATGTCTTTTTATGCTAATACATGGTATCTCCTTTTTGTTCTTCAGATCAAGACATCTAATCATCACCACCACCCATCTGGCCACCTGATGTCGCAGCCTTCTTGGCACCGCAGATGTCATCGACTCTGAGCAGCAAGCAAGCCGACTCGACAGCAGTCTTGATACTCTGCAACTTGACGGCCTGGGGCTCCCAGACACCAAGCTTGTGCATGTCACAGACCTTACCGGCATCACCGTCGATACCCCAGCTGCTGTTATCGTTTGACTCGGCGTGCTTTGCGCGGAGCTGAGTCAAGACGCGGATGGGTGAGTTGCCAGAGTTCTGGATAAGGGTGCGGGGNATGACTTCCATGGCTTCGGCAATGGCGCGGTATGGCCATTGGGCTACGCCTTCGACACCCTTGGCGAGCTGTGACAATCGTACGGCGACGGCCATCTCGGTGGCACCACCGCCAGGGGAGAGGTAAGGGTGGAAGACGACATTGCGGGCGACACCCATGGCGTCCTGGAGGTTGCGCTCGATCTCGTTGAGAATGTCTTTTGAGGGGCCGCGAAGCAGGATTGTGCAGGCCTTGGGGTTTTGGCACTTTGTGAGGAAAGTGAAGTATTCGTCGCCAATCTTCTCAATCTCGAAGAGACCGCACTGGGTACCGACATCTGACTCGGTGAGGTCCTGGACGGTGTTGACGATGGTGGCGCCAGTAGCACGAGCGATACGGTTGTTGTCGGTCTTGCGCACACGGCGGAGAGCGGTGATGTTGTGCTTCATGAGGAAGTGCTGGGCGAGGTCGGAAACACCCTTCTCGGTGATGACCAGGTCGGGCTTGACGGCGATGATGGCGTCGCACATTTGCTTGACCTGCTCCTCCTCGATCTGCAGAATGCGGTTCCAGTCCTCCTCCTTTGTGATCTCAATGTTTGTTTGCGACTCTCCCTTCTTGTACTCGAGTGTGCAGTCAAGCAGAACAATACGAGGGTTCTCGATGCGCCTCCTCATCTTGGGATGGGTAATGTCCTTGTTGAGCATAACTCCGTTCAGGACTCTGCTGTCCTCGATCTCGCCTCCAGGAATCTTCTCGACACGAGCGTAACGCTTGATGTCAACTTCTTGCTTTCCACCACCGCCGCTGTAGGAAACAGTGCGCACGGCAGTCAAGGCCAGGTTGCACATCATGTCGGACCATCTTGAGACGAACTTTGTGCCGATTGATGAAGAGATGAGCTTGTACATTTGCTCGTCGTCCGAGGTGTCGACGGGGACCGAGACGTCTTGGATGACTTGGAGGGCATCGCTAAGGGCGCGCTTGAATGCTTGGATGATGACGACGGGGTGGATGTTACGCTCGAGTTGGGGAAGAGAGAGGGCGAGGATTTCACCAGCGAGGATGATGACTGAGGTGGTACCGTCACCGACTTCTTCATCCTGTGTTCTGGCCAGCTCGATCATGCTCTTTGCGGCGGGGTGGGCGACTTCGATTTCTCTCAGAATGGCGTGGCCGTCGTTGGTGAGGACGATGCCACCCATGGGGTCGAGCAGCATCTTCAACATGGCCTTGGGACCCAGACATGATCGGATGATGTCTGCGACNGCTGCGAAATGTCAGATGGGTGCGGGCAGGGGAATGGGCTGTTGAGCGTACGTCTTTGCGGCGGTAATGTTGGACAGCTGGGCTTTGCGACCGAATTGGCGCTCACCACTGTTGGTGTCTGCATTGAGGAATCAGCATGTATAGCAGATAACAGAGTGTGTAGAAGCTCACTCATGACCACAACGGGGGCCTGCATCTTGACTGTCTTGTTGCTGGACTATGGTCCAAGCTAGCAACTGAGTTTCTGGTATAGACTTTTTCCAAAAAGCTCTGGCCTGGTGCAGAGTCGACTGTTTGATTGAGTCGTCAAAGAGATGTAGATAGACGGTCTGTTTGGGCCCTTGACCAGCAATTGCGCGCGCCTCAACTTTTGGAGAAGTTCCGCTGGAGAAATAACGCCAAGCTCTCGGAGGTGTCTTGTGCAGCGAGACACAACTTGTGAGCGTGGATTATGCAGGCTTCATAGTTATGCTTCCTGACACAAGACAGGCAAAAACCAGCGCAAGGCCATCCACTCTGACAGCATGCTCTAGCCCGCATACGGCAATGTGGGTCTCCCCATCGTCCAATCGAACAGGTGCTTGGCGCATGTCTAGCTTCCACCTTTGTCGAAGTCGTTGTTGCCCGGCTAGAAAGCTGATCAAGGGTCCAGTCGCAAGGCTTCTCGGAAAGGAAACCACAGACAAGCTCTTTCTCGCTCCTCAAGAGGACGTCCCTTCCCTCCTTGGACCCATTCTCACTTCTCACTTCTCCCCTTCCCTCTCTCTCACACTTTGCTCTATCCATCTCTCACTTTATCTCGTTTCACACGACCATTCACCACTCCACCACATCGACTCGACGTCATTTAAACAATCTTCCACTTTCTCCATCTTATCATCGCCGTCGCGTCTTCCCGGCTTCGCGACGCGACAAGCTCCACCAATTCATTCGACACCACTACTTGATAAAATCATTGACTGCTCAGCCTTTGTAGCATTCTGATCTAACAAACAGTCTCTACTACCCACTCCTCGAAATGTCTTCCTTCTACGCTTCGTCGCCTACCGTCGTCCTTCCTGCTCCCTCGGCGCAATACTTCCCTCATTCGCAGTTACACCAACCACCTACTACCATGGGCAACAAGACCTTCTTCAAGCAAACCACTCCACTCACACAATCGCTATCTTCTGCTGCTGGACGGAAACGCTCACGCGACGATGACGACGACGAAGAAGTCAACCTGGCTGCTCCTCTTTCCAGCTCTCCGATCAACCGTGAAGAGCCCGTCTATGGTCCTGGAATGACCCTGCTTAACAAGCCTCATGGTCAATCTTCTACAGGCACCTGGGTCGAAAATACGTGGGTTGAAACACCCCAAATCAGTCCTGTAGCCACCCAAGCATCCAGACCTGTCATGCCCAGTCGCAAATCCCAACGTCTCGCTCCCTCTGGTCCTGAATCAAACGACATTGCTCTGGCCATCGAGGCATCCGCTCACCGTCGCACTGCATCAGTCGAACCTCTGATCGACGAGGTCACGCGCCTTCTCGGTATCTCGTGGATGCGTCTCGATGCTAGCGAAGCCCTCCAGATCTCGGCAAAAGCCTACACAAGATGGGTTCGCAGACATTATCCTGGTCTTGCCGATATCGAGCTGTGGTTTGAAAACTCTTCCATCCCTGGTTACCTCGGTGTAGCAACCAACAAGGTTTCCGGTCAGAAGGTGTTCTTGCTTTGGAGCAACGATCTCAAGCAAGCTGTTCTTGTCACGAAGAATCCCAACGAGCTGGTCTCGAAGTTGATGTCTCCACAAACAATCATTAGCTCGGCGACCGAGTCCATGTTCGCCAGTGACGAACCCATTGCCGACGACTCTTCCGACAAAGGCTCACCAAGCCCAACCTTTGCCATTCCTTCTGTCGTTCCTCAGGCTTCTGCCGCAATGGATATTGACTAGACACGATTCACAATGTTGCTTTTTGGCGTTTGATCACGGGATTTCTATGGGAATGAGATGGAATGGGAGGATATTACTGGAATTGCTAGGGGCTGGCATGCTTGGGACTGGCTTCAAGGTGGCTTGGGGTGGTGCAAACTTCGCGCTTGCAACAACATTACTTCTCGCTCTTTCGAGAAAAAGTCGACTATTTTTTGACATTGTATTTTAGCCCAACGAGTGCATTCTATTTATCCTGGTTGCTTTGATTCTCATATTTCAATCAAGCCTTGGCAATAAATCATACACAATACTCGAAAACATCACACCTAATGCTCGACGCGAATATGTATTTATGCAGGTTTGACGTTGTTGTAATTTTGCTGCAATGCTTGCATGCTTGTTCGCATAGCGTTCGTGCTGCTAGTAGCAACAGCGTCATGCTCTTCGGTCCAGGCGACCATGCATTATACTAGGATGAGTTTGCAGCGACGGTAGGCAGCATCCGAGCGCTCACCACCGGCTGTTGAATGTGGTATGCCGAGCTCACTCCGTCCAGCCGCTGACCTACATCTCTCATTTTCCCCCTCCGGTTTGAGGTGCAAAAGATTAGAGCGGCCGTAACTCAGAACCCGGATGTACAGAACGAGTGATAGGGCGATCGAATGACGTGCGAAATGTGGACTTTCCAGAGCAATTCGTGTCTCTACCAGATTCCTGGCATCCTTTCTGATCGTCTAGAGCAACGTCTCGAGACGTAGTCCCTTTTCTTGATGGTTTGTGATCTTTGAGTGTGACGTTCACTCAACCAATTCATCTTTACCCAGCAATCCAGCCATAGGATCGTTTCCAGCATTTCTCTTCTTTCTGTATTCGTCCAGTTCTTCTTCCGTCACGCCGTCGCGTATCTCGTCTAGTTTTCTTTTTCTGTCTTCTGGTGCTTTGTTGCTGTGTTGCTCATCCATGCGTGCCTTTTCCGGTCTGTCCGGTGCATTGGGCACATGTTCTTCATTCCGCTCTTCTTCCCTCCAAGCAATGGATTTGGGGACTTCTGTTGCGGTGTTGGATCTCAGGGCTGCTGGGTCCTCAAGTAGAGCGCCAGTGGCCAGTTTGTCGGCATTTGAGGAAGCCGTCTTTCCTGCCTCGCCAACACAATAGCTGTTTTTCATTGTCGAGTGACAGCATGCGTAGCCCCAGGTAAAGTTCTTCCACCACGAACCGAATACTGAGGTGTGGTTGTTGGGTAGTACGTCCTCTGCATACATGGACTTCTCCTTCTTCTCTGGCAAGCCCTTGATTCTGCCTCTCTCGTCGTACTCGACGTAAATTTCGTTTTCGGTGACTGCTATGCGTTTGAGCGGATCGGCGGCTAGATGCTCCTGCCCACCGTACTTTTCGAGTAGAGCTTTTCTTGTAGCTTCTTTCTTTGCAGCGGCCTCTTCGACTTCCTTTTTGCGGTAGTGTTCACCTGCCGTAGGGTTGGCTTGGAGATGGACATTGTTGCTGCCGCTGTTTTCTGCAGTTTCCCAGGCGTAGCGTTGTGCTCGCGCAAACTCGGCGGCGTCGCCTGAAGCACGTTGGAATTCACCTTCTGCATCGTCGATCAAGGTGCGAGTTTTGGGGTCGTATTTTGCGGATTCAAGGTCGAGGTTTTTGAGGTAGCCTGCCGTATCTTCTCGGAGACGCAGGTTTCGGGACGAGTTTGGTTGTTTACGGCCCATGTCTGTCTCTTCCTCGTACTTGTCTCCATCTTCTTGGTTTGCTGCTTCGTCGTCCTCATCTCCTTCTTCGGGGATTCCAGAGGCTTTGCGTTTGGCGTCTTTGATGGCTTGCAGGTCGTTGTATTCGTCGACGACTTCTTGGTATGCGCGGGCATCGTAACCACTCCATCTATCCCTCTTGGCCTCCCAGCCCATGTTGATGTCTTGACCAGTCTCATCTGCCTTGATGTCCCTGCCCGTAAACTTTGCGCCTACTTTTCGTTGTCTGTACAAACAATCCTTCTTTTGATGTCCCATAGCGCCACAGTTTTCGCAGGCACCTTTGCGATACTTTGTGGCTGTAGCGGCGCCAGCGCGTTGACCTCTGGTGTACCATCTCTGGGTGGCGAGCGATTCATCTTTTTGGGCTTGGAGACGTTGATGTTCGAGGTAATCTTCTTGCGAGGCGGTTGCGTCGTCGATGTAGAAGGGTTTCTTGGAGATGAAAGAAGGAATGTATTCGTTGCGTTCGTTTTTGCCCTGCGGCTCGGTCGGTTTCTTGGGAGGTGGAGGCGGCGGCATTGTGATAGGTCTGACCAGGTTGTCGCAGACTAAGGCAAGTTGGTTGTTCGGTAGAGAAGTTGTGCCTGCTGAAAGATGACGATGGAGCATCTGAATGCCAAGACATTGAGATGGTCCTTCCCTCTGCAGTCAGTGAGCTCTTCTACTAAACATCGAACCTCATCACACGAAATTGTATACAAATATCTTGTCGCCATGAACTGGCACACTGATATCTTGTCTGTTCGAATTTACTGTTTGTCACCATATCTGCACCTTCTCGTCAGCTGCATTCGATAGTGCGGCCGTAGACAGCGCCATTAGTCTCCCAGCATGACATTCCTCCTAAGGGTCAGTACCTCTGTCATCATATTTCAGTGTATGTTGGTTCTCAATGGGTTACCATGCTCGGTATGACAAAGAGCTGTTCGCTTTATCTGCGAGGCTTTGGAAATTCTTTACGTTCATTCATTTTTTGCTTAAGCTCTCCAAGTCCAGCCAGACCGGATCCGGCCAGGACTAGACAAGTCGAGTCGATGGAGATCACATATCGGCACTTTGACATAAGCCTCTCATCTGGGCATCAGGAACCATCCCCCGTTTTCTACTGAACACACACGCTTCGCTTCTACCTTCCATCTTCGGTCTCTGTTCCTCACCTATCATGGGACAAAGAGGAGAAAACGATTCCAGCGGTCTGCCCAAAGATGATGAAGGTACTTGGAAAGGTGGTTTCTTTGTCGGTCAAGGCGGTAACGGTGTTATACATTACTGGGTCAACGTCGATGAATTCCAAAAGGTTCGGGATCGTATGGTCATCAAAGACGACTGGGTCTCGGACAGTAATGAGGAGCCAGAAGCTTACCGAGGTCTATACGAAGATCTTGTGAAGAAAGGAATGGATTTCGGTATTAACCCTGACAGACCTGGCAAAGCGAAGATTGAAGAAAGATTCAACAGAGAGGCTTACTTGCAGGCCATGCTGACCGATCCCGATTCGCGCGATTCTGCGACTACTGTCCCCCTGCGAGGCATCCGAAAAGGTCATGATCATGAATGGAGGATCCCTAACGGTGATACGAGTAAGAAGCTCTACACTCACTGGCGCTTTTATATGGACTTGTTCCATGCAGGCGACCTTCACGGAATCCTCGCATCCCATATTGTGGGTGAGGGTGATAACAAGAAACCGATCCCCGAGCCGATTCCCGAACCTTTTATCTGGTGTGTCTTCACCTGTATCGCTGAAGCTCTCGCGCAGTCGGAGAGAGTCGTACAGACACGACCCAATGCTCGTCAAGAACAGGACGAAGTCATCACGTTTGTCGACATGAAGCCACCCAACATGCTGCTGTACGTCACACGAAGAGACAAATATCCAGTCTACCCTAAACCTTTATTGTCCGACTTTGGCGCAGCCCACATCCTGTACAAGGAAGATCCACGGCAAAACAGGAACCATGAAAAGCCTTACTCTCATGGAGCAACGGTTGGTTTCTTTGCACCGGAGATGGTCAAACGGGACATAGTATTCAAGAGGGATAAATTAGCTATCGAGAGACCCCTACACTCTTGGACCAATGTTTGGCAAACCGGTCGAACCATCGAGTCCATGATGCATCTACGAACTGTCGTAAGAGAAGACCAAGATGAGATATGTATTGGAGACTGTCCTATCAAGGACAAAGATCCGATTGACATCAAAGGATTTCCCGACTTCAAGTACAGCGACGACCTCATTGATCTTGTCTGGCGTTGCCAGCGCTTCGAACCAGAACAAAGACCTACTACGACCGAGTTGCTGGAGCTGATTCAAGAACGCGCGCTCCAACATAGCCGTGGCATGGACACTTGGGCCGACGAGAGAAACATACCGCAGGGATGTGCGATCAACTTCAGTGCTGGCTCGGGTCCCAACACGGTTGCAGACAGCTTTGCCCGACCTAAGACAAAAGATGAAATGGATGGATACTGGTGAACACTATATTCTGAAGAACGATCAGAATTGAAGGGGTATACTGTTACTGTATGTATTAGAAATATATCTCGTTGTTTCATATGAACACGGAAGTTGCATTGATCGACAAACTTCAAGCAAGTGAGCAGTAGGACTCGGCATTTGGTGTACAGCTTGAATCGAAGGATCCTTTTTCATTGTCAAGATTTTCGTGTGGTTGACATCACTATCGCTGCGTACTGCAATATCACGAGGCAGAGTGTCGATGTGCACAATATTTTTAGCAAAGGCAAGGTGCCTGCCTTCTACAACCCGGCTGTTAAGAGTGCTCTCACCAACTACAACTTGAGTCTCGAACGCTCAACATATGCTGACAGCTCAACCTATTACTTCAAAACGCCTCATTTCACCACGGGAGTTCGCAAATGACTAAGTTTGATAAATGAAAGGCGATGATGCTTCTACGTTCGCATAACATTGACCGTGTGGATCCCCCATGCAATAAAGTACAAATCCTGAGGTGGGTACATCGGTAGGTAGTTGAGAAAGCTCAGCACGTTGTCATCTTCTGTGCTCTTGTTCGCAGTCGATATGGATACCGGGTTGCTCGTATGAGTTTGCAAAGGAAGGGGAAGTGTACAAGCTTCCAGGGTTGGGATGCGCTAGCGATGGGTTTGCCGCAATGCGCCGCTGAGAGCATGATGGTATCTGGACCCCCGGTATAGTACTTGAGGCATTGTGATAGCCGTCCCGAATCGTGGGATGGAGTTTCTGTGATCAAAATAGATACCATTGTGGAACCACATCTTCTTCGAATGCAGACCAAACTATGTAGACGTGCGTTATCAGAGTGCTAGCTGGACTCAACTCTTTGCTTCAGGGTGCTCGCTGATGTGAGGGCCTCACTACCGAGAACGCCCACTGAGTGTGCCGGCAGCCGGACGCCCATCCAAGCTTCCAGTGGCAGGATAAGCATTCCTCTAGGAAACACTCCAATTGGTTCGGAGGGGAGTTCACGACACCGTACAGGCAAGATCGCCTCCGACTGCAGATCGCAGGATTTCAGACGACAAAACTGGTCGCGTGTCCCTCATGAGCGAGCTTCTCTCCTTCCTTGCATCGTCTCCTGCCTTTGTCGCTTCAGAGAATCACATATATCACTTATCTCTTGCATCTATCCTAGTTACCTGTGGTTTTGCTGCGATTTCCAATCATTGCTTAGTGTTCTGTACTCGACCCTATTGGCACAAGCTGGACTCGTTCACACAGTCAAGAATCTCGTAGTCACCCCAAGCGACAATCACACAGCCCATTGCGACCTCGAACATCAGCTAAGCCATGGACCGGCCAACAAGCACCGAGAAACACTCTAGCGGTGCTAGCCCAGAGATTGCGCCTATCCGAGAGCACCCATCGACCTCCCATGAAGGACATCCTACAACCAGCTACGACGAAACCGAGAAGACCAGATGGGAACGTCTCTGGCCAGTCATCGCTTGCGGTGCAGGTCTCTTCAGTGATGGATACCTGAATGGTGTGATCGGTTTTGTGTCGACCATGCTTGGAAAGATCTATCCTACTACCTATGCTACCTCGCCCGCCCAACGCAACGTTTCGTCCATCACCTTTGCTGGAACCGTGGTTGGTGTAAGTAGCCCTGGACCTTTTTGGTACGAAACTGCGCTCTGACATAAGTTTTAGATGTTGATTTTCGGCTATACCTCTGACCACTACAGCCGCAAGTGGAGTTTGTTTGCCAGTACCGTCATCTTGATCTTGTTTGCCGCACTCAGCGCAGGTAGCTATGGAGCAGGTGGCAGTAGCTCTGGTCTCTTTGCCGCCTTGACCGCATGGCGTTTCTTGCTGGGTATTGGTATTGGTGGTGAATACCCAGCAGGCAGTGTTGGCTGTGCCGAGAGCACTGGAGAACTCAAGAGTGGAACCAGAAACAGATGGGTACGTTAACGTCAAGATCTTGTAATTTATGATCTCCAGCTAACCACCCTAAGTNTCATTCTATTCACTAACGTTCAGATCGATATTGGGTTTGTGGTTTCTGCGCTGGTGCCCATGATTGTGGTATGTTGTTAATCTCATAACGTCGCCCTTCGCATAGTTACTAAAGCTTTGTACTACAGGNTTCTCTGCACAGGGGAGAATCATCTCCGCGCTGCCTGGCGCATCTGTCTAGGTCTCGGTGTAATTCCTCCTCTTTCACTCTTATACCTCCGTCTCAAGCTCAAGGAACCTGAAGCTTACCGTCGCGAAACAATGGCAAAAGCAAAGACCCCTTGGTTTTTGATCATCAAGTTCTACTGGTGGCGATTGACTATTGTCTCCTTGATCTGGTTCATCTACGACTTTTCGGGCTATTCTTTCTCGCTGTTCAGTTCGACCATCGTGTCTAATCTACTAGGCGACAGTGCACCACTCTGGAAATCGTTCGGGTGGACTACTTTGATCTATCTCTTCTATCTACCTGGCTGTATCGGTGGTTCCTTTGTCAGCGACTGGCTGGGTCCTAAGCTTACTCTCAGCATCGGTGTGCTTGCTCAAGGAATAGTCGGATTCATCATGGCTGGTGTGTACAGCTATCTCGCCCAACCTTCCAACGTGGCTGGCTTTGTAATCGTCTATGGTGTCTTCCTCGCACTCGGCGAGTAAGTTCTCCAATGCCATAGTCTCAGTTTCAGTACACTAACCAGCATTACAGATNTCGGACCCGGCGACAACATCGGCCTCATCGCCTCCAAAACCTGCGCCACCGCCGTGCGCGGCCAGTACTACGGTATTGCCGCTGCCATTGGCAAGATCGGCGCGTTCGTGGGCGACCAGGTGCTCGCAATCCTCTACAACCGCTACGCAGACACCGATATGGTCAAAGCGGGTCAATACCCGTTCTTTGTGTCCAGTGCGCTATGCATCTTGAGCGCTTTCATTGCCTTCTTCTTGCTGCCCCACATTGGGCAGGATACGATCGATGAGGAAGATCTGAAGTTTAGAGCGTATCTGGCAGAGAATGGGTATGATGTTAGTCAGATGGGTGTGCATCAGGAGAGTACGGAGCATATTGTTGGACAGAGTGAGGTTGAGGGGGATAACAAGGGTGCTTAAAAGGTTTATGAGGTGACAAGAGCTACGTATGAGATACCCCTAGTAAAAGTTATTGTTTTTTATGTATTCATCTGATTTATCATCCCGTTGCGCTCTGTGAACAACGCGAGTTAGATCCATATACAGGGTATTTGCACGTCCGATGAATAGCGCGCACATCCATGCGTCTGCATATTCAAGTATTACAGCAAATGGCGAGCGTTGTCAAGGTCGAAATAGGCAGTCTGCAAGCTGCACGCTATCCATCGGCTGCAGACACACCCTGTAGAGTATCGGACGATCATAGTGGTACGACCACTGAAAGACACAAGAACAAATGCATAGACAGAAACCAGGACAGGATGATAGTCTAATCACATTACGCAAAGGCATTAAATCAATCTATACTAAATCCATGTATTCCTATATTATTCATCCCATCCGTTCCTCCGATGGACCTTGAACCCATTCTCTCAAATCGTCATGAACATTCTAACGAATAGTGGTTGTAACGGTCTTGACAACCGTAGATCTGCTGGTAGCACCAGTGACTGTAGCAGTGCTCAAAGTGACAGTGCCAGTCTTGGGCACACTAGTCACCAAANNAGCCGAACAAGCGCTGGAAATGATGCTACCAGGGTACTTTGTCAAAGCAGTAGGTGTAGCCAGAGAAGAAGAGGCCACAGCGCGCTTAGACAACGAAGTCGCCTTAGATGAAGAAGAAGAGGAAGAGGAAGAGGAAGAGGAAGAGGAAGAAGCCTTAATCTCAAGTGTCGAGGTGGAAGTGACAGTTGAAATAGGAGTTTTTGTGGAAGTTGCAGTGACATAGCCATTGAGATCGTTGTATCCCAAGAAAGTGCTGCAATAGCTCTGCAGAGAAGATGCGGAGATCTCTCCCTTGGCTTGGGCGACGGCAGCGGCCATGTTGGTGGTGCCTGCATTTGTGAGGTTGGAGAACGAGTATGAAAAGCCGACTGTGTAGTGGTCGTTGCCTTGCCACGCCCCGGCGTTGGTAGCATACTTGTTTGCCCAAGTAGCACTGTACATCGCACAGTACTGGCCCATTGCCGTCTTGCCATTTAATGACAAGATATAAGTGTTGAAGAACTGGCAAGTCTGAATAGGGCTACCATCAGTGGGGGGATTGGCAAGGTTGTACACGTTCTGTGCGTTGCAGGCTTCAGCGCAGAGTGTTGCGTTGAAAGGACCTGCAGCAAAGACCTTGGCGCCCATATATGTGTTGTAACCCAGAGTGTCGTAAGGTGCATTGATAGCTACGTTCCCCAGGTAGTTGGCGTCTGAGTAGCCAGAGGGTGCGGCAATGTTCTGGTTGACATAGCCGTTGGAGCCAGCCACTACAACCGAGAACGATACCCAGCTTCTGCCGTAGTTCTTGGTGTTTGCGGCTGTGACGGGACCACCCCAGTACACACACCTGTTTTGGTCAGAGGGGAATTATAGGGAAGGATGCATTGGTAAACTCACTTGATCTGGAGTCAGCGAGGCAGGGTTTGGGCAGGCTGTCTTGTCAGGGGTGATCTTGGGATCGCGTTCAAAGTAGATGTTGATTCCCATGCAGCCTTTGATGGCGTTNGCCTGTTTGTAAGAGAAACGTATCAGCTCGGGAGATCCAAGAAAAAGGAAAACTTTGAAGATTCACTCACACTTGGTGGCGCAGGTTTGAGGGCTGTATGATTGCAGATTGGTAAAACCCAGATATCCATAAGCACTGCTAGAAGCATTCAAGTTCTTGAACGTTTGAGCATATCCAACAGGAACAGCAGCAGCATTGGCCGCGTTTGCGTAAACAGAATTAGCTAGAAACGAAGCAGCATCATCCTTCGGGTTGGTAGTAACAGGTCCATAACCAGAGGGTTCGGGTCCGCAAGCTGCACGTTTCACTATACTCGGAGTTGACGAGGCAGCATCTGTCACAGCGACAGAGATTGAAGAGACCTTGATAGCCGAGGCAAGGATTGCTTTGGTATCGTAGGTGACGATATTGTCAGGAGTTCCAGTTGCTTGAACGACAGTCGGCGTAGGGATGTTGACAAACAGATCAAGATCAATCTCCTGAGGAGCAGGAGCGGGCAGGGCGGCAACGACTGCCACAATGGCGGGAATAAAGAAGGTCGAACGCATATTGAAACCAAAGTTTTCAATATTCTCAAGGTCTCTGTTATGTTTCTCATTTATTGATGGGGGATCATATCGGCTTTTGTATCCTTCCCTCTCGACTCAAGTCGTCACGATTAAGTATTGTGCACTTCGACAAGCATACTTACTACCGGCCGCGCCGTGTGGTTCCTGGATGCCATGAACACGATGAGCCATGGTTACCAGCATGTGATGTGTGAACTTGGCTCCGTGTCACGATGGCCGTACCTTGGATACGACGTATGAGGCTGAGGAAGGAGCCTTAGCTTGTTTGCGCAATAGACTGTGGCAGTCACGAGGCGTCGTCTAAATCCAGTTGAGTAAGAACAGAGTTTGACGCAGAAGACTGTTCAAATTCCCTTGCAATCGCAGCATTCCAAGTTCGATACGTCCATATCTCAGGCGCTTTCCTTCTGCGATGGCTTACGAGCTGAGGTTCAACTGTTTCGGCTTGCACCGAACACAGCTCCTGTATAACAGACGTTACCTTGTCTGAGGCTGAATCTCATTGTCGCGAGACAACTGTTCCTGATATCTCGATTGAGTCTTCGAGAAGGTCTCACCTCTCCTGAAAAGCGTGGTCGCCAAACCATGTCTTGGCAGATCGAATACTAAAGTTTGACGACGTTTTCGGACGGTTGCTAGACCGTTACAGGCAATCGTCAAGCCACAATTCAACGGGTGAACTCCATCGAGTCAGTGCTCTATAGCGATATAGTTAGAGTTGCTAAAAGCGCGTCTTGTTGGTGAGACAGCGGAATGATAGCATACAGCAACAAGGCGTTGATGGGGGCTTCGTGTTCGGTCAAACAAGGCCGCCATGGTAGCTGAACTGACACGCGAAGAACCATTTGCTGGTTGAAGCGCTTGTCAGCATCGGTCATCGAGATGAGTTGGGATAAAGTGTTTCTTGACTGCACCAAGAGTCCGCTCCATCCCGAGATACTCTTCACCTAGACGTGATTCTCGGAGGCTCTGAGACTCATGTTCAATAGTGTATGAGAAAGCCACTATCTCTCCCTGCGCTTGAACCTATGCCTCCACCTTGATTTGGCCTTGCTCCCAGCTCGTCTAACACTATCTTTAGGGTAGTTAATTGGGCTCTCTCCTCCTACGAAGATTGCAGTATCGTAGAGGATCGCGCCGACAATTACTCCGCCGATAGGGGCACACCATGCTCCGTAAACCCACCAGCCGTCTCCAAACAGGTCATGTTTATTGAAGCCAACTGTGATCAAGGCCAAGCGAGGCCTCATGTCGCGAGCAGGGTTGAGCGCAGCACCAGTATTGGCAGAAAAAGCCATGACCATGATGCTGATGACAAGACCGAGGATGAACGCATTCATTCCTGCTCCAGGAGGTGCATTGCTGTCGTCACCCAGAGCCAATACAACAACACCGATAAATGCTGTAGCAACAAACTCAGTCAGAAAGCCTGAGGCAGCATCAGCTACGCCTTCCACGCGGTTTGTGACAAATGAGTTATAGACTTGGGTCATCTGCTCTGGATTGGCCTCCATGTAGTTGATTATGCAGTTCCGATAAATACCATACGCAACAAGTGAGCCAATGTATGCTCCAAGCAATTGGGCGACGATGTACACAGGGATCCTTTTCTTCGGGAAGCCACGGAAGACGTAGAGCATGATGGTGATTGCTGGATTGAGATGTCCTCCAGACACACCTCCACTGATGTAGATGCCAGTCATCGTACCGAATCCCCAGGACCACGCCATAGAATCGTTGGACCCTTTATTAGCAATGTTGTGTGCAATATTGGCACAGATGCCAATCGTCATCAGGACGAACACCTGGAGAAGATCAGAATGTGAGATGGGTTGNAGACAATCTGTTGAGCTTATTGCAAGAATTTCTGCAAGAGGTTCGCGTAGCTTGGTCCTGAGGACTGCCCATAACGTGTGATGGTTGTGTAACTCTTCATGAATTTTGTTCAATGGCACGTGGTCATCTTCTCCTTGACCGTGCGTTGCGTCCACATCTTCGTCAGTCGTCTCTTCATCATCCTTCTCGTCGTCGACTTCGTTAAAGTCTTGATGGTGCCGTTCTGAATCAAGATGATCAGGCAATAGTCTTGACCCGATATTCTCGTCTACCTCTTGTGGAGGTCCAAGCTGCTGAAAAACTCTGATAGGCTTGGTATGAGACTCCTGGCCCATCTCCGAAGGTGGCTCGAGTTTCTTGCCATGTTTCTCGGCATACTTTCGTTCTCTATCTTTCGTCGCGTCATGAATATTCTTATCAATCTTGTTCAGATTCAACCTCGGGCCAATGCCTTGCTCCATCTGTGAATCAGTGGGCTGCAGCACATCTTCGTGTTCATCGCCTTGCCTTGGTGTGTCGGTCTGGATATCCTGATTTGATGGTTTCATACCGCGACGCACAACACGCGGCATAGGGTCTGCCAGTCCCCATATCGGTCGTACATTCCCAGGTTGGTCGTATGCCGGATTGAGTTCAATATATCCCGGCTCCACGTAAGGTTGATGTTGGTTTTGTGAGCGGCCACTTTGTTCGCCATCATGGAAATCGGGACCCGCCAAGGTGAACAGCTGTCTACCGTTCTGATCTCTGCCAGTGGTGTAAGGTTGGTTTTGGTTGCTTTGTTGTGTCTGGCGTCTATTGGAATTCCTGTTTCGAAGACCAGATGCTATTGAAGCACGACCGAGTGAACTCGTGCTTGATCGATTGGTTCCAGCTGACCTTCTTAAATCTCTGCTTTGGTTTGTTGACACTACTCTCAGTGTGGCTTGATTCGAGTCTTGTCCTTGATCGGTAGAGCCTTGAATCGACATGTTCGCTCCCAGGCTTACCTATCGTCAGCGCAAAGAACTTTCGTTCTCGCAGTAAAGAACACCAGCAATCGCCAACAATTGGTAGAGTATACGTGAGTGAGATTTTGTGATGGAAGCCATAGAAACCTGAAGAACAAGACTCTGTTGAGAAAGGCTTGACTTCGGTGAATTCTGTACTCGAGTAGCCATATCGCGACGCTGGTGGTCACAATCGCGTCACAGAGATGTGCGCATCGCGTAGCCTATTGCTGCCCTTACCGGAAATCGCAACGCAGACAGAAAAGTTCACACTTGGATGAGTCCGGAGGTCGCTAGGCAACCGGTACGCCGCAGTCAACACAAGAGTATGGCTGTGGCTCTTCATGCCAGAACTGCGAAGTGTCAAGCTGAAGGCATAAATTCCAAACAGCGAAGTCTTGGCCGAAAGCGAACGATGATCATCGTCAAACATGCAAAAGAATATTCCGACACGGGGAATTGAACCCCGGCCTCCTCGGACCTAGTTGTTCTTGCGAACGGTTTGAGAGCGAGAAATCCTAGCCACTAGACCATATCGGATGTTGTTGAAGCTCATTTTATCAATATACCGTATAACACTCGAATAAATCGATATTGACAGCTGGAGTCAGCCACCCTCGTGGCCAGACGGTCTGATGAGGTCCTAAAGATCGACGATTTGGCCGCTGTCCAAAAGTCGAGCAGCAGTCTCAGCGAGGCATGTAGTCGATTGTGAGTATACTACCAATACCAGAGTCGGGTAGTGCTCCATGTTGGTCTATTCACAGCATTTTGTATTAAACATGCTCGAAGTGTTGATGGTCATGCATCAAGCGCGTATTTCAGCGCCAGCGTCTCTTCCTCGTTTTATCTAAAGTTATGCATAGGGTATCGTTAAAAATGGTCTTCGTAGTCGCAGTCGAAACCAGCCAAACCTCTGCTCATGCTTCGCAATCTCTCTCGCGCGATGTACTCAAGGACCACCCAATCTCTTCTCAATCTTGGCCTTTTCACCCTCACGAATGTTTTGCAGGTCCTCCCTCGTGCTGTTGTAGGAAGCATTGGCCTGGTTGAATGGATTTTCGGGATGCTTCTCAAACTCCTTGCGAATCTGCTCAATCTTCTGCTGGCGGCGCAGGCCCTTCTCATCCTTCATCTCTTCCAAGCGGCGTTCTTCGTACTGGGTGTAGGCGGCCTTGAAGCGACGCTCGGGGTGACGGTCGACCTTGTCTGAGGAGGCAGCGGTCAGAGACAGAGCGTCGAGAGCATTGTCGATACCGGTTGCCGAGAGTGAGGAGAGCGAGGAGGGACCGTCGAGGCCAGACAGATCCAGACCGCGGGATTTCTTTGGGGCGGTTTTGGCGTTGCCGGTCTTTTTGGCAGGGAGGGAGGCGTCTTCTTCGGCGAGGAGAGCTGCTTTTTCAGCCTTCTTGCGCTCGGCTTCGGCTTTCTTGTCGGCGGCAGCAGCACTGGAGGGAGAGAGTTCAGTACATTTGGCCAGATAGTGAGGGTAAATAGTGTAAACTCACGCCTTAGAGCTGTCCTTTGCGCCCTTGTTCCACTCTTCGGCTTCCTTCTGGCTCTTCTTCTGGTTCTCGACAGCTTGTTTTTGGGCAGCAACCTCGGCCTTTTTAGCATTGCCGGCAGCCTTCTTTGAATTCTCCCCTTTGGCCATGGTGCCGAGTCGGTCGTTTGTGTAAAGGGTGGTGACGAGTAGGAAGAGCGAAACACAACAAGAGCGTGTGTATATCAGCGCAGAAACGAGCACAGGTAGAGCGAGACACAACAGGTCTTTTGTATAACAGGGTTGTAAGAAGGGCGAACGAACAGGAACAAAGTCGAGAAAATCGTTCGACTCTCGAGGCCGGGTTCGGGAAGCTTCTGTTGCGTCAGAACGCCAAGCCAAGCACTCGATACGTCTATACCACAAGACAATCACACGAACTTTGTCTATCTCGTAAAAACATGTGCTCATATTCATATTGACTTTCGAACGCTCCATATGCTGTCTCTACGAAAGCCGTGCCCAGATGGCTATATGTGCTACTCCATCTCAACCAGCCTCAACTTGCTTCTAAGGATCGAGTAAAGTGCTGTAGACTATGTGCCTTCCTTCCTCCTCCTCTTCCCTTCTCCATGTATCCTCGATGAGCTGTTTACATTTCTTCGTAAGCATTGTCTTCGACGTCTTTGTGCCTTGTGCGTAAATGTCCGCCGTGTAGGTGGTCGCACAACACATGAACCCTGCTGCCTTGACCTCGGGCGGTTGAGGAATTACATCAGGCTGAGTAAGTGGCGATACTCCAACATAATTGATTATTTGCGCCATGGTCATGCTTCCATCCCTGAATTTTCGCATATTGGTGCAGTCTTGCTGTAGTCTTGTCATTAGGGGCTGAGCAATTTCCTCATTTGCTTCGATGCAACCCATGTTTGTGTATGTGTCCACCAGGATTTTAATGTTGAGCAGATCGCTACGGTCTCCAAGATAGTAGCAAACGAGGAGTAGCCTATGAATAGACATCTGAGCCTTTCTGAGATCTCCATATGTATCGACGAGCACCTCTACTGTCACTGGCTGCGGGGCGTTTCGGCGCCCACAGAGTCTGGCGAGAAAGTTGACAGTGTTCGCCTCGAGTCTGGCACCAAAGTCGTGTTGGTAAAAGTCTGGCCTGCGGAACTTGGAAGCCGGCAAGATGAATTTGGTGTTTTGAAACCATGTCTCTTCGTACTCAGGCGTCACCCAGTCAGGAATCGTCATCTCCACACTAATGTCCCAAGGTGGTTGGCGAGACTGTTTAAGCCAATGACCAAAGATGATCAATCGAACCTCGAACGGCAAGTCTTCGTAGTTTCCTATCTCGTGTATTCCACGAAGCGCTTTGGCGGCTTCGCTCTCCGGAGGAAGGTCGAATTCGTCCGGGTCGGTGGCTGGATCTATCGATGGACCCGGCCATATACGATCCATGACCCAGAACATCCACCTGCCGAGAGCTTCTCCGAAAGGTCCATTCATTGGTCCATCCATGCTTTTGTAAATTCGATAGGCTGTTAATCTTTTAGATAGTAGCGAAGGAGTTTGACTACACTCCTTCTACAATCCTTGATTTTTATGGATTTGAGATGCACAAAGAACAGCGCTGCCAGGGTAAATTCATTCATGGCGATGGTCAGCACAATGATGTGGCAGGTCAGCATCGCCGGATCCGGACTTGTCATTGTTGGTGGGTCTGGTTCGAGTGTAGCTAACGAAGAGTGATTCTGTCAATGGTAATGAACAGTCCAGAACGCGGTCTCTGCTTGGGGATGCTTTGATCCATGGAGAGAGATGCATACCTACCTGAGCGTTGATGCAATGTTCTGTCGCCTTTGGATGATGACAGCCATTGAAGTTGGCTATCGCGATATGAAGAATATATTCGACCATGATTCGAGATAGGTACCTATCCGAATGATGCTCCAAGGCTGGCAATCTTGGTCAACTTGCCGATCAAAGCACGGCAATGCATTTGATATGGTCTTCTGATCTTTTTGAGCAAGTCACTAAGCACATTCATCAGCGAAACCAACTCTGTTGGTGTATGCGTGTGGTGTGTGAAGTGCTGGTCAGGACGGGAAGTGGTGATAAGATAGGGGTCGGGAGTACCCCGCACGGCACAGAGATCGGCAGGTCACGGGCCGGCGTAGGGCGCTGTTTCCCGGCTCGAAGTGCGCTTCGGGGCAGTCGCGGAGGACGATTGACTCATGTTTGGTTGTCGGGTTTTCTTATCTCTGGTTTGTTTTTTAGGCTGATTGTAGAGTCTCCCTCCTTCACTCGATTGAGGCCTTCCGAATCACCAGATTTCCTCACTTGGCTGCTCCCCAATCGTTCTTCACTCTTCTTGGATCGTGTGACGGACCACAGCCATGTCGTCATACAGGATTGCCGTCGGTAGAGCGACCACAAGGTTTGGAGGGGTTCACTCTGTGCCGCAGCGCCTATCTACATATCCTGCCCTATCCCCATACTCATCCCCACGCTCGGTAGTCTCTCTAGCATCAGGATCCGCAGCCATGGCAACACAAGGTCTCATGTCTTCGCTACCCGTCCCAGCATGGCTCCAGGGCCAGTCAAGCCGCTCCTTCTCGACCACTCCCCGCCAGAGACGCCTCACCATTGAGAACATCAACCAGAATGTCGTCGAGGCCGAATACGCCGTGCGTGGCGAGCTCGCCGTCAAGAGCGAGAAGTACCGCGAGCAGCTGAGAAACAAGGACACTTCCCTGCCCTTCGACACGATCATCTCGGCCAACATTGGTAACCCCCAGCAACTCGACCAGAAGCCCATCACCTTCTTCCGCCAAGTCCTGTCGTTGATGGAGAACCCTCTCCTTCTCGAACACCCCGATGTCCTCACCAAGACCCTTGGCTACAAGCAAGACGCCATCGACCGCGCAAAGACACTGCTGGACGATGTCAAAAGCGTGGGAGCATACTCGGCCTCCAAGGGTGCCTCTGGCATTCGCCGCAGTGTCGCCAACTTCATCGAGAAGAGAGACGGCTTCCCTGCCGATCCTGAGAACGTCTTCCTGTCCGCCGGTGCTTCGGGTGGCGTTAGCACCCTAATGAATGTCATGTGTGCCGATGCAAACTCCGGCGTCCTCGTCCCCATTCCGCAATACCCTCTATACACCGCCACCCTCGCTCTGCTCAACGCAAAGTGCGTTCCTTACGAACTCGAGGAAGAAAAGGCCTGGGGCACAAACCTTGAGGCCATCCGCGCATCCTACGCAAAGGCAAAGGCAGAGGGTACAAGCGTTCGCAGCATTGTCATCATCAACCCCGGTAACCCTACTGGCGCATCTCTCTCTGTCGAGGACATCAAGTTAGTCTTGAAGTTCGCTGCCGAGGAGAAGCTGGTCGTCATGGCCGATGAGGTATACCAGACCAATGTGTTTGTGGGCAAGTTCACCAGCTTCAAGCAATGTCTGAGGGAGCTTCAGCAAAGCGACGAGAACAAGGATGGCAAGTTTGACACTCTCGAGCTTGTCAGCTTGCACAGTATCAGTAAGGGTATGGTTGGTGAGTGCGGCCACCGCGGTGGTTACTTTGAGCTTGTCGGCTTTGATGAGAAGGTGAGTCCTGCAACGTTCACATACTGATGGTCCCACCAACTGATTCCTCATCACAGGNTCACTGAGCAAATCTACAAATACGTCAGCATTCAGCTCTGCCCTCCGGTCATTGGTCAATGCTTAGTTTCGCTCATGGTCGAGCCGCCTGTCGAAGGAGATCCGTCATACGATACCTACCATGCTGAGGAACGGGGTATCTTTGACGGCCTTCAGAAGCGCGCCACCGCCCTCTACGAAGCCTTTAGCGAGATGGAGGGAGTCTCATGCCAGTCGCCCACTGGCTCCATGTACCTCTTCCCTACCATCACTCTTCCTCCAAAGGCCATCGAAAAGGCCAAGCAAGAGGGTAGAAGCGCAGATGAATATTACTGCCTTAGACTGCTCGACGCAACTGGTGTTTGTGTGGTCGCAGGCAGTGGGTTCGGACAGAAAGAGGGAACTCTGCATTTCAGAACTACTTTCCTCGCTCCTGGCACCGAGTGGGTCGGCAGAATCACCAAGTTCCACCAGGAGTTCATGGATGAGTTCAGGTGATCATGAACAATCTCGGGGGATTTCTAGTTCTTGTGTATGAGATATTTAGGGGAGGATGATACTTCTTTCATCTTTGAGTGAGCGAGCATGGCGCTGTTTTATGGAAAGGCATTCTGGTCTTCTTTCATGTCTCGTGGTTACCGTGGTTTTTATGGGAAGGAACGACTTATCAAATGTGTCACCACATTTTATCTGCCCCAATTCCTGACTGTGAACAAAGTAACCGATTACTTCTGACAAACCTAGCTTTTCCATGGTAATCACTCTTCAAACAGTGATGACTTAGAGTCACGAATGTGATCGTCAGCCTGGTGCTTGCAGAACATGATTCTTGCATTCTTGATCTGGCGCACCACAACACCAGGATGTCATCCATGCCATATCTATATCGTTCAAATTATGACATAAGGTATGCAGCAGGCCTGGTGCTTACGCTATGCATTCGACGCTGCATGAAATCTTGAGCGAACAACCAAAACTTCGACCACCGGACCTCCACGACGACCACAACATCGTGTTCGTCAACAGACGAACAACAAGTGGGACATGTCGCAGCGCCTGGGTATGTGGAGCGCATAGTATCCGGAACCTGCCCGCAATCGTCGAGAAGAACACAAGGAAGGCTCTGTTTGCCAGTACTTGGATGTCGTCTTCGCCTCTGAGTTCTGTGTCCGCGTGCTTTATATTGACTCCCGATTCGCAATGCCGCATCCAACAGCCACAGAAAGCCCAGCTTTCACGTCTTCCGTGGCGCAATTGGCTAGCGCGTTCGACTGTTAGATCTGCATTCGCGGATCAGCTATCGAGAGGTTGACAGTTCAAGCCTGTCCGGGAGAGCTTTTCTTTTTCTTCCGGCACCGAGAAGCTGGTTATGGATAGCATATCAACCCCTAGATTGGGGACCGATCTTTTTCGCCTCGGGCAAGTCTTTTGCACATGGTATAAATTCAAAAGTCGAACGCTTTTTTGCTTCCCACTCTTTGTTGAACAACTCGGCAGGTTTTGCCGAACGTGATGACTCGGGTTGCTGAGTATATCACCCTGGTCACAGGTTGTAGCAATTACCACTCACTCTTACGGGAGAGCGATATGTTTGTTGTTGCTCTAAAGACTACTCAACATCTGTGAGTTCGCTAAGCTACACGTATGAAATCAATCAGATCTCAATGTGAGGTTATGTGGACAAGGTCAAGCTTGTTCAAAAATGGCACAAAGGTTCAATCGCCAGCGTAGAGTAGTATCCTCAACCTTTGGAACGGCTGATCGACTACACCTCGAACGACGAGCGTAGAAACCATGCCTTGCTTATAGTAGCATCTACCACTCCAGTGCAAAAGTAAGCAGGTGACAAACAAACACAATTGACCATGTGGTCGAGATCCGTCTCTTCTCATCAGCCAACTTGGTCAAAGGTAAAGCCGCGTTCCAGACGACTCGAAAACACCCGCAGTTTACCCAGCCGTTTACCCCTGGATATACACACTTCCACCCATCTCCTAATCACCACACGCCTACCTTAGCCAACACAACTCTCACCATCAACATCAATCATGCCTCAAACCGCCGACAACCTCCTCAGCGACCCTGAGATCGCCAATGCCTACGAAGACGTACGATCCGACAAATCAGCCACAACATGGATGGTGCTCAAATATATCTCGGGCACCTCCGATGCGTTGAAGTTGGATTCCACTGGTGAAGGCGATATTGCGGAGATGGTGGAGCATTTGGGAGACGACGAGGCTGCATATGCGTTTGTGAGAATGCAGGTTGGGAACGATGAACTCTCGACGAGAATAAAATTTGTGTTTGTCTCTTGGTGTGGTGAGTTTTGTGATTTCTTCTCCTTTGCACGCCTTCAGCTTTGAGAAAGAGGATGGAGTGGAGAACTGGATGTTGAGATTGCCGGCGTGTCTACATCGGCATCTCAGCGAAGTTTGAGATGGAGAGACTTGAAGCCTTCTCACAATACAGCATGCTCGCAGTACCTGGGACAATGACTAACCTCACTCCTCACCANNGGTCCCAACACAAGAGTCATGCGCAGAGCAAAGATGACTACTCAAATTGGTCAAGTCAAGCAGGTCCTGCGAAGCTACGCCATCGAGATTCAAACCGACAGCAAGACCGATCTCAAGGAGTCAGAAGTCACCATGAAACTGAGAAAGGCTATGGGCGCAAACTGTAAGTTGAAGAGTCAAACGCGCATTGGAAATAGTGATACTGAACAGAAATGTAGACGACCGTCAAGCATCAGGGTACTAAGAGATGCAAAAACTTTAAATTCGACATGCCAAAGAATGTCTAGGTCGCCAGAGTTGCAATAGACAGAAAAGGCTTCACATAGGAATTGACTGATCTAAGATTCTAGTATAGCGAGCAGTCGCAGTCGTGTCACGAGACACAACACCTCACGAAATGTCGCTCGACGTCAAAACGAAGTGTCGTATTGCTCTAATGATCTGCTTGTGACGCGAAGTGCAATCTGCTCAGGGATCATGTATGCATAATTACATCCCTATAATTCCATCAGTGATCACCGCGTTCCATTCTACTATTGGTCCACCCGGACAGTGTGAGCGTTTCAGGTATAGGAGGTGCCTCGATGCGGTCGTGGTGGCTTGTGGTGTTCAGAGTTTCGCCAAGGCGGTGAGTCGTCCTTGACGCACGAGCCACAAGGGTCTGACGGGTGCATCGCGATGCACCAAAAGCCGTCGAGGACTTGAGGCCGAGTAATGATGCCTTTTCCACCGTAAGGTCCCCGGACGTGAGGCTTCAAGGCTATCTTTACATCAGCGACTAAAGAGGGGGAGGAGCGCCATGTCGCTTGTGCTTGTTCCACTGCTCGACGTCTCTTCCTTTTTGCATAACGCAGGCGACCGCTCGTGTAGGCGTTTACCCGGGAGTCATGTCCCAAGAGCGGACTCAAGGACAGCCGCGGCAGGGAATGCTCAACTTCATCACCTTTGGCGAACCGCAGCAGTCGACATCGACGCGTGCCATCAGGTCGCACGCCGCCAAGGCAGGATGGAAGTCGAGGAAGAACTCGAGGAGCCTCGCCGCAGCCGCGGCCGCCTCAAGTCCCCTGCCCGGTCCCAGTCCCACCACGGAACCTGCTCCGGCGGCTCAACTTGCACCACCACGCCACAGGAACCTACCTGCTGTGCCATCTTGGCCAGACGATGATACTGCATCCCGAGTCGTACGGTCTTTGGCTTCATCTAACTCGCGTTCTCCTTTCTCAACCAATTCTTCTCGCTCAACCCCGTCGTCGACTCATTCGCCGCATGAAATTGCTATGGATGCCATGACAGACGACAAAATTATCATTGACGATGAACAAGAAACTGAACATGTCAACTCGCATGCATTGCAAATCGCTTCCACATACTCGACAAGCTCACAGCCTTCATCCATGTCGTTTCCCCATCAACTCGGCTCTACTCATGACCCCTTCTCCCAATTTCCAGTCAGTTGGGAAGAGTCGTTTGGTCCTTTGGTTCAATTTTGTAAGTCTCTCCCTTCTATCCGTCTGTCAGGAATCGTAGAGAGCATAGCCGGATTCGTATTCTACCGTCACGTGAACACATCCTTGGTCCCTCATGGCTAACACATCACGTCTCCAGATCGCAACTGTCTTGGTGAAGTGTGGATGGGTCTAATCTCTTCCGACTGGGGTCAGCAAGGCAACATCGAGTTCGTCGATTTTCCTCTACAAATCTCCATCTCGCAGCGAGAACCTGCAATGTTCTATGCTGTATTGTCCAACACCAGCGTTATGGCGCCAGCTTCCAACTCGATATCCATGCGACAACAACCGTTTCTTTCCCAGTGGCTACGGCACAAAGCTGTCGAATCTCTCAGGACGGCCATCATGGACCCGAAGCGCGCTTATACAGATGCCGTCATCTTGACCGTCACCTATGTTTNNTTCTTCAACGAAGCACTGCGGTCAGAACGCCAGATCGCGCTTGATATACACGGCCCCGCATTGCAGAGGATGGTGGAAGCAAGAGGAGGTCTCAGCGTCATCGCTTCGAATGGCAAGGATGGCCTCATCCTCTCGCGCTATATCTCTTGGTGTGACCGCGTGATCGCCTCGACACTAAACACCCAGCCACTCTTCGGAAACTACGTCGAGGATCTCTCAGTCGGAAAAACACAGTGGAATGGCATGTGGTCCAGGGTCCAGACCTTGATGTGAACGACATCACCCAACTTGGTAACCAGCACAACTCCGTGCCTCCATCAGGGGATATATGTTCTCTGCGTGCCTCCGAACATCACCGTCTTTCACCGTGGGGACTGAGCAGTCGTCGACAGTCACCTACAATTTGACCCTACCATCGTTGCCGACTGGTCGCGGAAGTGTATCACCGCTAGAGCACCTGGCGCATATACCGCAACGCAATGTCGGGTGATCGGAAATCACTGGCAACGCTTCATTTGCTCGCCCAAACCATCATGCTATCGGTGGTCGCTACGTATCCAAAACCCAGCGACTCAGTCCGACCACATCGCATCGACTTGTCCTCGACGTTACTGTGGAAAGTCCAGCACGCACAAATCGCTCATCAGCGCTTCTACAAACATTCGCACGAAGCCTCACCAAACCCATCCTTTGCATCCACAACATAAATACGCACATGACCATGACCATGACCATGACCAACGACAGCATCGAAACCAGCATCTACATATACATCGCTCGCTTAAACCAATCAGCAAGCTACATATACTTACACGACACCCAGCATACATCTTCGCCTCGGACCCCTCATTTTCAAAAGTCTTGGTGTGAAGGAAACATACATCACTTGTTTCTAGTACAAATATGCTTAAAGACACATTTTCATCATCGTCTCTCCTTCTTGTGCTGCCTTGCTTGCCTGTGCATTTTCTTGTGATCTTCTTGTACTGTTTCATGCTAGAGTGTTTCCCTACAAAGCCTCGAACTCGTGCCTCGGCCAAATCTCTATCACATATCCTCGCACGATCAATATCCTGCAAGCTCTCACTTCCTGAGCACCTAGACTCTGGGGCGTCGACACCAATCGCCAATATCTGATTTGCGGTCGATGTTTCAAAATTGTGTCGTCATGGCTAGCCCTAGCCTCGACGTGAGTACAAAACCATTCGCTACAAAGCTTTGGAATCCAGGAGAATCCCGGAATTTCCGACCCTAACCCAGCATCAACCGCTCACGTGTCTTAATGAGGTGCCTACAAGAGTGAGTTGATTGTTCAGCAAGGCAGGCTTAGCAAAGTGGTCTCGTGCAGGCTGCAGCCTGGAGGATATATAAGCAGGACGTTTCCTCTGTTTCTGCTTTCTTTCTCTCACCACCGCAGCTGGGTATGGCTGCGGTGCTCCATCTACTATTATGGATTTGGTGTGTGCTGACTTAGTTCTTAGGCCGAGGTTTTTTTCTTCTTACTCTTTAGAGGGTTTTTCCCCTTTACCTTCTCTTCGCATCCCTTCCTACCCCATGTCTCGTATGTCAATATCCATTACCAGAAAGTTGCCTTTGCACAATACACCTTCTCGTAAGTCGATTTCATCACACAGAAAGAGTCTTCGTGCCCGCTACCCTTCCCGTACGTCAACAAAGTATACCAGAAAGATGCCTTCGTGCCACCATTCCTTTGATATTTCATTCACCGCATCCCGAATTTGCCGGAAAGATGCCTTCGTGCCAGAGATCGCTTGGGATGAGGCTCCGCGTATTGCACTTTGCGCACAGCTGACCACACCGTCTCTTTTCTCCATCGCTTCTTCCAGAAAGATGCCTTTGCACACCTTCTCGTACGTCGTAACACTCACACAGAAAGATGCTTTTGCACAATACACTCTCGTATGTCAATTTTTTCCCATAGAAAGAGCCTTCGTGCCAGCTACCCTTCTCGTATGTCAACAAACTCACCTAGAAAGATGCCTTCGTGCCACCATTTCCTTTTCGTATGTCAAAGATTACACTTCTCCCCTTGGAAAGATGCCTTCGTGCCAGGGATTGTTCTGGTGTGATACTCTGTACATTGTACTACGTACATAGATGACCAAAACATCTCTTTTCCGTATCGTCGCTACTAAGAAAGATGCTTTTGCACAGCTACACGCTTCTCGTACAGCAAATCAACTAGAAAGATGCCTTTGCACACTGTTTTGTATATCGTCTATCACACCACACCCTATCCACCCCATCCACCCCATCTGACCACTCCATCCACTCTACCCTACCCTCTATCCAAAGAACTGCTAACCTTGATCTTCTCCTCTAGTCCAAGCAAAACTTCACCCAGCAAAAAGATAAACCTTCAAGCTTAATCATCTTCTTTGCTTTCAAGAGTTTCGATTCGCCTTTAGGGCAATCCTCTGAAACACACACAAATTTTTGGAACATAAAAAAACAAAAAAAGATTTTTATTCTTTTTACCCTTTTTTCTTTTCTTCATTGGTATACTTCTGGCTGAAGAACAGCTGGATACTGAAGAAGATGGTTTGTGTGGGAATGTGTATACGTCGATAAGGGATGTGACTTGAGATGAGAGCAGAAAACTGACTTGTTGCATGTGGCAAGGGACACAAGGCTTTGATTGCTCACGGGTGAATGAAGTGGCCATTGATACGTGGGAAAGAAAGTCCGTCAATGCCTTGCGGCCCGGTCTAATATTGTGAAGCTGGGTCTAATTAAAATAGAGTGAAAGCGTCTCATGTAAGCCCTCAATAATTACAACGCCGGTTATCATGTCATGCAGAAACGAAGCAAAACCATGCTTCGAGAAGAAGATTGGAAGAAAAAGGTATTCGCTAAGCGTATCATGTACAGAAGAAGAGAAAGAAAAGAAGACATTAAGAGAAACAGAGGTCGTATCCAGGTATCGTAGCGGTAGGAGGAGGAGGAGGAGGGATAGTGGAAAATATCCTAGAATGTGAAGATACACACCAAGGCCACGAGGACGACGGTGAAGATAGTCTTATCCGTCAGCATGATGGTCTTTGAGCTCGATGAATGCGCGGTTCCACTGGCACTGGCGCTGGCACTGGCACTAGCGACGCTGCCTGATGCCGCTGCAGCTTGGACGTCTCCTGCTGGTGTGGTTGCGGATGCGGTTGCGGATGCGGATGTACTCACTGTGGGTGCTGCGCCGCTAGTGCTGGCGCTAGATTTGTGGCTGGTTCTACCAGAGCCGGAGCCAGAGGTCCCAGAGCCGGAAGAGGACGTGGAGTTAGCAACTTCGACAGGGAGCGAGCCCAGACGAGCGCCGAGGTTTGCAATAATGGCCTGCGAGTCGCGAACAGTGATGGTTGCGGCGCCGTTGCTGTCAAGAACGACAGTCTGGCCACTCTGGTCCTGAACAGTGCTAGCAGAACCCACGCTGTCGCCTTCGAAGCTGAGACCGTTCCAAGTAACGTTGTGAATGGTGTCGGCACCGTCAGCACTCAAATACGACAGATACAGGGTCTGACCACCGAGGCTGGGAAGCGAAATGTCAAAGTCGATACCGCCCTTGTCGGCAGCAGAGGCGTTGACCTGCTGAGCGTTGATGATGACCAAAGAAGAAAGATCATCATTAGAGTAGGCGGCGTAGGCACGGACGTAAGAGTTCTGGGTAGCCAAAGGAGCGAGTCTGGTAGTACCGTTACCCGATCCAAGAAGCTGAGCCATAGCAGCCAGAGCGTAGTAGCTGGGACGGACGTTGGCGGCCTCGCCATTCATGAAGATGGGCTGCCAGGGCGAAGCGTACGAGTTGTCGGTCATGTGCATTTCGACGGAGGAGATGTTGAGGGTGGCGCCGTAGCAGTAGAAGTTGAGGAACCAAAGAGCGGCTCCAAAAGTGTTGCTTACGTTCTCCAAACCGATGGGACCGACGTTTGCCATCTCGCGGAGGTTGTAAGGGATGCCGGTGGATTGAGCATAGGCGATCTCGGTAGTCCAGTACTTGAATTGATCTTCGGTCCTGTCAAAGTCCATCATGATGTTGAGGGTGATGTCGTAAGTCGAGACGTCGACAAAGTAAAAGTAGTCATGCTGGTTCCATGACGAGAGATAGGTGGTGCCGTTGATTGCGTCCGAGATTCCAGCGTTGGCCAGGTCGCTAAGCGTGAAGGTCGTGCCAATCGTCGAGGCGGTTTGGGCAGCCTCGAAGAAATCGCAGTTCTTGCCCCTTGGCTTCAGAACATTGTTGCATACTGACTCTGCTCTTTCTAACCACTGCTGTGTGTAGGTGGTACCGTCCCAGGTGCCGTTTCTCATCTGTTGCCAGCCTTCCAGATACAAGTCTGGCTCGTTGCCAATCTCGAATGAGTAGAGGGAAGTGTTATTGAGACCATCGATGACGGCGGCTGCGGCTTCGTCGATCTTTTCGAGACGGTCACCCATGTCGTACGCCAGGTTCAGCTGGAAGGTGATGGGCATGCCCTTGGGGAAACGCTCGAGAGCCTCAAGGTAACCGGGTCCGAACACAGTTCCATCTGCAGGAGTGGGATTGGTTTCTTCCTGGTTGGGGTTCTTTGCGAGACTATATCCTTGGTGAGACGCATCCCAGACCATATGATCGCCAGTGTTGCCACCGAGTCTGAGATGTGGAGGCGCGCCCGAGTAATTTGTGAGATGTTGGAGGAGATTGATGGAGAGTTGATTAGGTGTGTTGCCACCAGTGAAGGAAAACAAATTCGAAGGTTCAATTCCGAGGCCAGCAAATGAAGGACCAACGACTTGAGAAATGCCAGAAGCTGCAGGCGCGTTGGCGGCGGGTGTTAGGGAGATAGAGACGGCATGTGCGATAGTAAAGCATGAAGCCGTTAGTAGTAGTGAATTGATAGCCATGGTGTATGGTATGCCAGATGGAAAATGCCTAACAAACAAACGAAGGTTATGCAACGAAAACAAAAAGCGACAGGAAGCAACCACTGCTCTATCAAGTTCGATATTGAAGAGGCCGGGAAATGGACGCGGCGACGGTCGTCTACAAAAGTGACCGTCCGGTCCTCCATCAATCAAGATCGGGATAGGGCACGGACAGTGACGTATACCATGGGGTTTCTGTCCACGGCCTACCAGCCGTCTCCCGCAATTCAACTGTTGCCAAAACGCTCATCAGCGAGTGGAGTCAAGACCATCAATAATTCTCAGCGCCACGCAACCACCAAATTTCTAAGCGTCATATCAGGTCCATCCATGGTTGTTTGCCGACACCTGTCGATCCCGCCGGGATCAACGATCCGTGTGCCTGAAACTTGATTTGCGCGTCTACGCACATGCGTGCCCACTCGACTGACGGGCCTCCGCATGTGTCAAACCAAGATGCTCATTGCTCGAGCGGTCTTGGAAGTTGGCACAATTCGGTCCAAGCAAGATGCCTTGCTGTGCTATCTTGGCCCCTGGGTCATTTAGGTCATCTCCAAGATCTGTATGCATGTCGACTGCGCCTAGATATTTTCTCGCCGCGCGGCTCAACCGAAGTTTATGGTTAATATAATGTGAAGGCCCAACCACAGACCCTCTGCTGAACTGTTAGAAGAAAATTCTTATAGCATTCGAGTCTTGCACGTACCCCTCTGCGCTCTTCGAAGTCTTTGTACAGCCAATTCCATGCATCCCGGTTACGACAGTCCTTGTGCGCCGAACCCGGCATAGTGTCACAGACTGGTACTGTTTTGTGGTAAACATCTTCGGTCACAGGGAACCATGGCTTCGGACGCGGCCAGTCTGAGAAGTGAACGAGTTTCGTCTCATTCAACACTCTGTCCGGATCCCAGGTTTCGCCTTCATCCAGATACTTGTGGTGCGATTTCAGTCGAAACTCTCCAGATACCACCCAGTAGTCCTTTGGCAAAATCATCGCCTCTCCAGCGTAAACGTCGTTTATCACTTCCATGTCGTAGAACTCGCTTGCATTCGAGCGATTGTACATGGCTTTGAACACACGCTTGAATTCATGCATCGACGGTTTGATCAGTAGAACGGCCGACGAGATTGTGTCAGGTTCAGGAAGCCAGTATGCATGCGGTGCTGCCACGACATGATCTGGCAGAAGGAAGAGCTCATCAAGAGACTATGGTTGGTAAGACAGTCAGACGGGCCCTGACATCAAATTCATGGGGTCACAAGTCCAACGTACCTTCAAAATCGTCGCGTCCGAATCCAAGCTCAGGACTCTGTCGTACTGGGTTTGTTGAAATGCCAACAACTTGGTGAAACTTTCTGCCCACGTACCATCTCCTGACTCTGTGTACTGAGGCCTTACTGGTAATATGTGAACCTTGTAGTCATCTTGAGCTTTCCGTAAGAAGATACTTTCCCACGTTGGCGGCTTTGGATACAACTCCCACTGTTGAGGATAGAGCAAGACACGATCTGCCTTGCTGCCCAGTCGGTGCAAAGACTCGAACATCATCAAGCTGTTGCAAAGATATTCTTTGTCCGTGACATATTGGACGTAGGCAAATCGTGTCCAGTCAATGCCATCATCTGAGTCTCCACCAACTGGAGTGACATGTAGAGGCTCAAACGTATGGCGGACAGGTGCTCGCGGAGGAGGTCTTAGCAGTCGCACCAGAAGATATATGCCTGCGGCGAACAGAATCCATTGCCAAACCGTTCTTGACCGAAGAGTCCTTTTCAGTGCGTGCCAATTGGCTTGTAAACTCATCACAGTGTGCCGGTATTTCGATCTGGAGTCAGGCGGCGTGGAAAGGGTTTGTTGTGAAAGCTGTAGACATGGCAATCACGTTTCAAGTTTGTTCGCGAGTCTCCAGAGCGTGAGAAGGAGAGAGGGTTTCGGAGACTTCGGGACATGTCTTGGCTGACGAAACAGGCAAAGATCGTTCACCCTGTTGCTATCATGCTTCCGAGCACTGTGAGTTGAGGTTTCTTGTGTTTCTACTGTATTTGCAAGTACCAGTAGATCCTTATGAGTCAGTTGTGTGTGAAAATGTCTATCATATGAAAACTACTAAATTATGGGATTGCCTCGAGTCATCTCCTTAGATGATGCGAAGGATCTATACAGTTTTCTGTTTGTGCATATGTCATGACACTCATGCTGTCTTCTCGTTTTGAACCCCGTCAGGGATTGTGGGATCGGCCAACGATCTTGAAGGGGCCGGGTTGAGGATACCAGCAGCATCTATCAAGGGAGCAGAAGGATTGATTTCGAGACCGAACCCAGGCTTGTCCAAGACGGACACATCGAGATAACCCTTCTCGGGAATTGGCTCATTGAGGAATAGGTTTCCGAATACCGGAAGAACCGATTGACCGTCAGGAGAGTTGGCGAGGTACTCCTGGAAAGGCGAATTCGTCTGAGAGACGACAAAGTGGTAGCTGTAGGGACCGCTTGCGTGGGGAACGACGGGAATGTCATATGCAGCAGCCTGAGCCGAGACCTTGAGCAGTTCGGTCAAACCACCAAGCCACATAACATCAGGCTGGATGATGTCGACGTGACGTCCCTCAATGAGCTTGCGGAAACCGTATCGTGTGTACTCGTGCTCGCCGGTAGTGAACTTGATGGTGGGATGAGCACGCTTCAGGAGAGCGTGACCATCAAAGTCATCGGGAGAAAGAGTCTCTTCCCACCAGTTGATGTTAAGATGCTTGCACTTCTCGGCGATCTCGATAGTGTAGGGTACAGTCAGACTCATCCAGCAGTCAACCATGAGCGGGAAGTCGGGACCGACACTCTCGCGCATCTCGGTCAGGTATTCAATGTTCTTTCTCATACCCTCGAAGCCCTCGGCAGCGCTGTATGGAAGGGCGACCTTGCCACCAAAGAAGCCCATTCTCTTAGCAGCAGACGGCGCAGGGCCGGTGCAATAGAAGTTGAGTCTGTCTCTCGTTGCACCACCGATCATCTTGTACACGGGTTCATTCCTGATCTTGCCTAGCAGATCCCAAACAGCCAGATCGATTACGGAGATGACAGCCAGCGGAAGACCCTTTCGACCGTAGAACATGGATGCCCGGTACATTTGGTCGAAGAGAAGGTTGGTATCGCGGGGGTCTNNGTTGTGCGCATGTCAGTAAACCAACTGTGACTGAAAGAGCAGCAGCAACTCACCAGCACCAATCAAGAATCTGTTGAAGTGCTCAGCAACGAGCCAGCATGCCGGCGGACCGCCAAAACCGGTAGCGAAACCCTTCTTGCCATCGGTAGACTCGATTTCGACGCAGAAAGACCCGAGGACGTTGATACCAAACGAAGTTCGCGACTTGCGGTACTTGTCATAACCAGACATGGGAGTCGCAATCTTGGAGTCGATCAGCCAGTGGCCGCCCTTGACATTGTGATAGTCACCGCCGGAACCAACGCCTTGGATGATGAAGGTCTTGACGGCCTTGATGGTAGGGAAGCTGTTGACAGAGGCCATGATGAGTGTATGCAGCCAATGGATGGGAGAGAATAGGCACAGTGAGGGGGCAGAAGAGAGGAAGGGAGAATCTAAGACTTGGCCTCTGCTCCTGGGGGAAGCATGGTTATATGCCGATGGATAACATGGTTCCCTCGGCACGCGTGCGAGAAGGCAGTATCACGCCGCATCTCTCGCATTAAGGTGCTGCTACCGGTGCAAACATGTCGCGGCATCGGCTTTCGCAGACAATGATGTCCCGCAGAAAGTCGGTTGCTTGGCAGAAGCGGGGCAGCCCCAGCACAAACAAAAGCCTTCTNCGGTCGCCATCCCTCCGAAGCCTNCTGCTCTTCTGATCATGGCGGCTCAAATCACCCCGAACAACGAGGCTCAGTCACCCTCTTCACCCAAGGTCGCCCAGATACACGCCCGACCCTCCATCGATGCGGCTGCTGAAGACCGGGACAACGGCCATGAGGAAGCCTGGAGCGATGACGACGGCGAGGAAGAGGGCCCAAAGAGGAAAAGACTGCGTCCTTTGAGTGCGTTCTAATCCTGTAAACCTAACACCACTCATGCCCCGTCTCCACTGCGTCCTGTCCACAAATCACATGTGAAACCTCTCTTGACTCGAGTGTATCATGTCTGACGACTACGAAGGTGTTTCGTGTGAGCTTTGCAAAATTCGCAAAGTCCGATGCGATCGCGGCAAGCCGTCATGCGGCTGGTTAGTGGTTCGTTGTTATGAAGCCGTCTTGATATGCTAAGTCCGACCAGGTNGTGTTCGAAACAGCCAGATATGCGAATACAGAGAGCGCAAGAAGCCTGGCCTGCGTGCTGGTCAGTATCCAATGTCCAAGAATACCGTAAAAATATCAACTGAACCTTCAAAGNGTTATGGTAGAGAGCTAGAAGCCCGTCTTGGTAATTGTTACAAGATCTAGTCTTGTCTTCGAAAGACTGACATTCGTCAGNACAAGTTGGAGAATGTGCTACAAGCACAGCAACAGCTCCTGCAGCACTTCACCTCGGTCATTCCCGGCTTGACCTCTCAACATCTCAACCATCAATCCCCATCAGCACTCTCCGCTGCACAATCAGTAGACCATGGCGCTCGCTCTGAGGCCGCCCTCTACATGCAGAGGCCAACGTCCTACCCCTCCGTGACCTCTCCTGCTTCTGCCATCACTAACGCAGGCTTCGGGGCACACACTATGAATGCCTCTCAATCCGTACAGCAGGGTGAACAATATCCTCAGTCTTTACAAGAGGCACAGCAGCAGAACAATACGCCTCATAACAGGCTCGAATCTCACCCTGAAGCACCTTATGCTCCGACCAACCCACCACTAGAATCTCCTAGCCTAAACATACCCGGTTCTGGCCAATCTGGAAATCTGACAAGCCCTCAGATGCAGATGCCCAGCCAGATGGCAACCAGTCAGGATGCTGAGCTGCCGCCTTATGATCTCTTGTACTCTCTTGTCGACCTGTTTTTCAAACACGTCAATACGTGGGCGCCAATCTTGCATCGCCGTAGTACCCTCGACTCTCTGTTTGGTACCTCCAGTCTTGAGGAAGCCGATAGAATTCTCCTTCATGCCATTGTCGCAACGACGCTGAGGTTCTCGAACGATGTGCGTCTGACGGAGCAAGCTCGAGAACGATATTACTCAAACTCAAAACAGAAAGTGTTACTTTACGGGCTCGAGAACAGCTCGGTCAAGGCACTTCAGGCTCTAGTCATTCTAGCCTTGGATATCGTCGGATGTTCGAACGGTCCGCCTGGCTGGAACCTGCTTGCTCTAATTGCGCGTAGTGTCGTCCAGCTTGGGTTGGCAGTTGAAACCACATCGACATCTGTGTCTCCTCTATATCCTTCAATCTACACTCTTCGTGCCATGGTTCTTCCAGAATCAAACGATTGGATTGAGGATGAGAGTCGTCGACGCCTTTTCTGGATGGTCTATCTCCTGGACCGCTATGCTACCATTGCTACAGCTTTCGAGTTTGCACTTGATGACAAAGAGATTGACCGCAAACTGCCATGTAGAGATGACCTCTTCGCTAGAAACCAGCCTGTCGAGACTCGATGGTTCCACACATCGGAAAGAACCGACTACACTCTGAACAAGCCAGAAAACCTGGGGTCTCTCAGCTACTACATCGAGATTGTGGGCATCTTGTCGAGGATACATCGGTTCTTGAAGAAGCCAGTTGACATCGGAGATCTGTCAGATGTTGAACAGTGGCAACGTGAATACCGCGAGCTCGACAGTGCTTTGAACAGCTGGAAGTTTTCGCTCCCTGGTGAGTACGGAAACATGGCACGTCTGTTCAACCCCAACGGCAGCAGCAAGATTGTCAACTGCATCTGGATTATGTTGCATATTACGTATCACACGTAAGTCCTCTCATGCATAGATCTCCCTGACTTGTTGCTGATGTGATCTAGTGCCGTCATCCGTTTACACTCATCTGCCGCATATCCAACAACCAGGTCTCCCATCTTTACTCCGTCATTCAGTGCTAGCCAAAGATGCCACACCGCCGTCGAGGACATTTGCTCACTTTGCACTTACGTCAGAAACAACAACATGCTTACTAACCTCGGCCCGCACTTTGCCTTCTCAATCTGGGTCGCAGCTCGCTTGCTACTCGTTCATGGTTCGACGATCGACCACCAGGTCAACCCAGCCATATATCCTCTCGTCGAAACGTTGCGAGACATGGGTCGATACTGGAACGTTGCAGAAAGATATGCTACACTCCTGCAGCGTGTACTTGACGAGTATAGTGAGTCTGAACGTGCACCTACTGGCGCCAATGGCGAAAGAGTCACACCCTCAACGGTGAAGATTCTTGCGGACATGAGGCGGTGCGCCTACGATCTCGATTTCCTGATCTCCAGGCAACCACGGCAGCAATACAACGGTGGTAAACAGCATGCCATCACTCCTGCGCGGACCCCAGCCCCACAAGAGTTGGAGTATCTGGATGTGTTCGACTTCTTCAACATGCCTCGTCTTCCCGTTCCGAACGACGCCTCTCTTACTACAGCTGGCAGTAGTGGAGAGTTCCAGGCTCCGGATCTGGGTAGCAACAGTGAGTTCAACATCACTAATTTCATGTACGATCCGACAGTCGACTTCCTGAATGTACGGAATTCAGGAACATGATTACCACAATGAAAGGACGTCTTGTGGATACCAGTCCTCGCCTGTTTGTGGTTAGAGAAGCAAACCAGGAGATGCACTCTAAGATTGGACGAGTTTCGGTTAGATGTCATCGGCGGAGACCGGAGTGTCGCTTATTGTTTAATTCATTGATTTGGCAAAGGCTCCAAGTTTCGAGATCCAATCGGCAACACACCAATCAAACTTGTGTCGTGATTGTATTCGAAGCCAATCGCATTCCCCAAACCTATGCAAACGCAGAGTGCGTATCTATTTGGTCGACAGTTCGACAATTCTAGGCGGGATAACATGAAGTCAAAATAAGCCCCTTCGGTTATACTTGATCAGACGATGTCTCGGTACTGCGATCGTGCAGCATGTTGCAGCTCTCCAGACTGTCGTACGCAAATCATATGCGGCAAGCATGATCCTTCGTTCCTGCCAATAGGTATCGTAACGTGTCAAAGCCTGTCACTGTGCAAGGTGACGCCAACCTCCTGAACCGCATCCGAACATGTGCCCATTGATACAGCTCGATACCAGGGCGGTGTCTTCAGTGGGATGGCTGATCTACCCAGACGTTCATCATGTATTTTAGCGACCTGCTCAACACTCGGGCAACCTTGTCCATGTGTGCGTCTTTAATTGAGGCGTTCTTCAGGCAACCCGTGTATACGAAATATGCCGGTACCCCACCCTCCAGTGTGCTTGCAAATCGCGATGGAACTGCGAGCCAAAGATTGCATCGATGCTCGTGATGGTTCGAATCTATTCTGTTGCTGCTGACTGTGCGAATCAGTTGCGCCATCTATGTCATCGTTACTGTATTTTTGGCTCGCAGTTCGTGAGAATAGCAATATGTGCAAGGCACCGCGAGCTCACCCACATGGCAAGCTTGGATGTGTCTCGAGGACCTGCAGCATACTTATTGATCGCCAAGAGTATGGCTAACCCATGTGATCAATGCAGTCTCGCCATCCAGTGCCTCTTCATGAACGTACAACTGTTCGCGAAGACGAGTCTGAAGGTTTTTCGGTAGTTGCCAAAATAGCATGTCTGGCAGCAGTGACATACAGCCGACACCAGCCGCAAGACCCTGTGACGGCCATGACGGGTACCAGAAAGTAGCAATCTACGCGGACTGGAACGTTCCTACCTTCAATGTTTGCTGCCAGCATTTTCTGTTTCGGGATATAGGTGACATTGATGAGAAATTCTAGGGAATTCAAAGACGATGTACAGAAATATCCGTTATCCCCTATCTACCGCACTTCTACTCGCTTCCTGTTCGCGTCACCATCTTCATCCACACTGTCACACACTATCCCACTGTCCAAGCCTTCGTACAGGATTACTAAGGTACTTTGCTTTGGCTGCCTTGTCGCCGCAGAATGGTCTTTCGGAATACTACGTACGCATGTCAGATGCTGGACACCCTGCGCGTTCATCCAACACGCTACATCGGTAGGCCTGACTACTGAACACGATATATACTAATACGTATTCTCCTCCCGCGACAACATCCTGTACGCAGTAACCATCTCTGAAACCAGCCAGAGTCCAGAAGGCCAGCGAAAACACCAGTCTACAACCACTCAACAGCGCCAACATCAAAGCAACAATGTGCATCCAAGTCGTGGAGCGCTACGCAGTCTGTCGCTGCCTCTACCACAGACATTCTATCGACCCCTGCGCTGCCTATGGCTCTAGAAGTCATGGCATTACTGAAAGAGTGGTCTTTGTCGGATACAAATGCCCAACGCATTCGTCCGCGCAGAGACCAGCACCTCAACAACAAGTCAGAAGCTCGCTGGCCCGCAGTCCCAAGCCACCAAACACTCTCAACTACTTTTCGTATCGGGGCTAGCTGCGAATCAAACATGGATGGGCCGCAAGTCCTATACACGGGATGCATACAATGTATGCAATACTGGGACTTCCCGCCTTGTCTTTGCATCTTGCATCGGATGGCACATGACAACGCAACCTTGTTGAAAAAAAAACCATGTACAACCATCTCACCTGACTCCATCGCTTGCATCAACATACGACCCGAGTGCCCCTAAACCTCGGCAAACTGCGAGTTCCATCAACCACTGCGTTGGGCCTGGGATCATCTTCTTTTCTCTTTACCATGGAGCTGGGTCGGCAATGCCTTCCTGTCTGGTCAATACCGCTACGAAGCATGACCCGTCCTATTTAGCCTGTTATAGCGCATGTACCTTATTCTCCAACTACATCAAGTTCATGATTTATGTCACACACGACTGTTTGGACCAGATGTTTTACTTCTTACTGCACACGAAACAGCCGACCCGAGCACCTCGTTTTCTTTCTATTTTTTTCTTTTCTCCCCTCAATCTTTCCGTATATTGTTGTTGTTCGGCGCATCACAGTACCATCCAAAATTTTATAGAGTCAAGTAAATGGAGCCATAATCGCAGATTGGATATTATGCTTATCCTACCTCGTCACAGCTAGCTATCGCCGTGACTTGCACACCAAATCAGGGTTTCTTCTTCATCAGGGGTGTACTTGAAAGTCTGTCTCGCACTGAAACATGAAGATAATGATACTTCTTTGCGCGTGTGATTGATACCGTCATGGACCCTTTGTATATGAGCATCTATCATCCATAACCAGTAGCGTTCATCACAAGAAGATACAGGATGAGGTCAAGTAATGTTGAAGATATTTTCTGTGTGGTTTCGGCATCTCTCTAGCGTCGGTGAAAAAGACATGTAAGAGTCATTTAGTCCCAATGCAAGCACTATCTTTACTCTTGTAGGACCATCTATCGAGGTAAGCAACGAGGAGTTTTCTGTTTCTGCTGTTGCCTGTTTGGAAGAGAAGGAAACAGTGTCAAATCATCCTCCAGTAGTTGCAGACTTGGATTAGCCTGGTGTTTGGTACAAACAAATTCTCTTCGTCTTCCGACTTCTATTGCATGCTGGTCTTGGAAGCACACAATATCTTCAAGCAGGGATTGATAATCTATGGGTGACATTCAGCGTGCCACACCAAGCAGAGGGTGTGGAACAAGTACAGAAGGCGTGAGGGAGGTGATCGTGTCGCGAATCGCTTGCGGGTCAATCGTGGTCGAGACATCCACGCTGCTATTCAGAAACAAGAAGTCTTCATGGAACAGTCTCTCCAAAGAGCAAAACTCAAGGGCAGAGCAAGCGAGAATAGCTTCCTGGATTTCAGACCAGGCCCTTTTGAAACCTATTCATGTCTGTGCTGGACATAGAGATGTACGTCTTCTGACATCAGATCTCGGAGTCTGTGAGCGTTGGCATGAAGCGTAGCAATCAACCAGCGAGTTTCAGTGCGACAATTGCGGATGAGAATGTGGTCGGCCTGTCAATCAGAAAAACATTTAGCGTGTATTCACGTAGCGAAGTTGGCATGATGCAACGACCGTCATTTCATGGGAGCTGGAAGCCTCAAGTAGTATCCTGCTTTGTCGCCAGTGACGGCAGAGGTCCAAAGACACCTGCTCGATCCCTTGAGAAAAGCCGCAATGTGATTACGTCCCACAGGACAAGGACTCCAGACTTTAGGCATCGAGTCCTGAAAGTCGTGTTGATCATCGCCTTCGCTCTCGAAGGATCGAGTAGCACGAGTAAAGGTGGTTGTAGAAGCAGTAGCTGAGGTCCAGGGAGTAGAGTCGTGATGTAGGCGGACAATCTGGCCCAAGTAAGACAACTCGGGGTTGAACGGCGGATGTTGAGGGCCCATGACCAGATGTCTAACAATCGAAGCATGAAAGGAATATGATTGTGGACGAGCAGGAAACCATCGGTTTGCACGACCGAAATGATAGAAGAACAGGTTATACGTGGTGACAGCGGGATATCTGGAAGATGTTTTGAGTCTTTGTTGTGATAGCATGGAAGCGTTTTCCAGCGAAGGCCTTGTAACACTCTTTAGCATGCATAGGAAGAAGTAGCAATCGCCGTTGACGGAAGGTGTGATGAAAGTTGTGAGTGTCGAGCTTCTCTGTTAGTCCATATCAAAGAACAAAACTATTTCATTCAAACTATCAAGGAGGGAGCGTTTAGCAGACGTATACCTAGTGCTTTCGAGGGCATTTCGTAGAAAAATTGAGTGGTACCTCATGCGTGACAAACAGTTGTGGCTGTTTAGACTACCGGCCGCCTACCAAACACAGCGACAGTTGCTACCACACGGAGAAGTATAGAGAATGGCCCCAAAAGTTGTGAGATTACAGATATATACATAAGAATCAGTCTCTAGAAACCTCCGGGCATCTCGAGAAACGTTATGGTAGCACTCGCGAGATGCGTCCCTACCCACCAAAACTCGACCACTCTAGTATACCGGGAGCACATGCATATCGACCATTGTAGCACTAAGATGTTTACGAGAATGGCAGGCTCTTTACACGAGGCAGCCTCTCTTGTAGGCTTGGGAAGTCCTCTTGTCATTCTCCCTACCTGACTTGAACATCACCAAAATCTCACCATTGCTCGAGAAACACAGAGGACTTGCATGCCGAACCTTGCAGCACCGGGATCTTCTAGAGAAAGGTCGACTCTATAGAGGAACGGTATCTCGGTGCGGCTCAGAAAGCTCTCGTAGATCACGCTGCCGGACCAAGAACTCCACCAAAAACCAGCACCACACGAGGATATGCGAGAGGATTTGCAAGCCTAAGCTCTTGATGACCAGAGTTCAAGAGAATGCATGGCTCGATACAATGGGGAAGTCTCTAGGTCGCCTCGGAATGTTCTCTAGTATGCTCCGCTACATACCCAAAACTCCACCAAGACCCGAATGAGCATGTTTGCGAGAGCATATTCAAACGATGGACACGTGTTTGTAAGATGTTTGTTCTCTAGATATGGTAATGCCGCTTGATGGGAAAAGAAAATTCTGGGCAAAAACTTGTTGCTTTGGTAGTAAGAACGCCTGACCTTGCAGTCCTCCACATGAAAAATGATGTGAAAATACAGGTAGCGTCTCCTGGACGCAATTTGAAAGAAAGCTGACGCCTTGCTGATGCATAATGTGATTCGAAGCTGCTTCGTTGCAGCCAATGGCGGAGATCAGGTATGGTGTGGTTGATCTGGCAAGCACCGAGAAGGGCGGTTCGATGGTAGTGAGACCTGAGTAAAGGGTGCACGAGTGGTGTGGTGTTATGCATCGTGCCATTGGAATCGGAAGTACCCTTGCTATGTCTTCCGCGGGAAGAAGCAGATGGTTGATCATGTTCGTGATTCGTAATGTTTGATCATGAAAGAAATGATGAGAATCATTTTTCGTTATCAGATCGCGTCCGGTCATTCAGAATGTGCTGATGCCGTTTCTTCGACAACGTCATCATACTTTGGTGGTGCATGTGTCATGGTCTGTGTCGTAGAGCCGTTTCTCGAATGTTGTTGCATCTCAGGGCTGTGATCGGTAACACCGTCGCCATACAAGGTTCTGCCGTCCATTGATCCTTGATGTTCTCCTTGGTTAGACAGCTGTCGGACTCGATGTGCGTTCTGCTCCTGAAGAAAGTCGAAGTTTTCGTCGTACTCTTGCTTACGCTCCTTCTTTGCTCTTTGCTTTGCTCTGAGCTTGGAGGTGGTCAGGCCTAGACAGCTGAGAAGTAGAGCGGCCATGTTGGAGCCAGAAAACCCGATTGCAGCTGAAATGTTGTTGGTGGTGATTTATATGTTGATTTGAAGATTTGGTGAGACGATACAGCGATGGGTTCAAAAGTGGTAACAAAATCACGCAGAAAGTGAGCGAGAGGTAGGCGAGATATATACGAGACGTATGAGAACACCGAATAGTTTAACATCCGGTGCAAAGGAAGAAGGGTCCTGTTAAGTACGTCGATCGAAAATGCTATTTGAACTTCCGCCCGTACCGGCTTTCAGAACTGTGGCAAGACATCATACGGAAAGTGGTCATCGCAGAAAAGATGTTGCTTTGCTGCATCATGCGCAAACCACAAGCCTCATCATGTGGAGCTCATGACCCGGGGACTTGCGGAGTTTAGAAAATCGGGTCATGCAGATCATAAAGGTCTTGAAGGCATTTGAGTTTTAGAAACAGAAAAGGGACGCACCATCATCGCAAACGTCTTTTGACTATCCGAATGGGGAAATTTGTCCTGCATCCCATGCATGCATCGTCGGTATGCGGATCAGAGGAGAACGACGCTGCAAATCGGCCAACGGCACTCACGCAGTAGTGACGGGGGCATGACTTTGATGCCAGCAAACACTGCAAGCAGAGTTGTTATGGCAATATATCCTGCATACCGGCCGCGCGTTCGAGATATGAATGCTCAGTCAGGCGGGATTCAAGTCCGACGACCGCAGCAATGAATAATGATGATGATCACCATGATGACCAGAGTCTCGTCTGCCGTTCTTGAGATCGAGGTGATGACCCATCATGAGAGAGCGTGGTGAAACAGCCAAAAGACTGAAAGTTTAGCATGACATTTTGTTCGCGTTCGCATCTCCTCGGCCTTACAGAAGTTTGCCAAGGTCTTTCCCTCTCTTCTCCAAATCGCACCCGTTGCCCGCGATGATCCAAAATATATTTTGGCTTTTCCGTGCGCTGCGGCCGCCAGATGTTGAAAGTAGAAAAGTATCACGACAAACGTAGCCGTCGATGACGTGGAAAAAGCCTTGACCATGGGGCACTGCCGCCCCCAGTCTGGAGAACACCCCTGGTGCACCATCCGACATCCTCGATCGAGGTCGTCGACCATGCGCCACAAGTAAAAGTGCATGGAGCAACAACCTGATGAGAGAACCAAGCATTTCTTGTCCTTGCTCTAGGAGATCCTTCCCGCGGTTCCCGAGTACCTTAAGAAGGATTGTGGCTTGCATGCAACTC